AAAATTGTTGATGATAAAACCAAGGTGATCACTTTTTTGTTTTGTTCATCTGATGAAAACGATACAAGAATATTAAACAAAATAAGAATGATGTGCGAAATATTTTTTGAATTTGGATTAGTTGTTTTTGTTTTTTTTGGATTTGATTTGCATGTCATTTTTTTTATCTTTCAAACAAAACAAACAAAAAAATTATGATGAATGATGGTTTTTTCCTGATAATCCATGTTATGTTAATCTTAAGGTCATTCGGTTCATCTTGGATTAATGAGTGATGAGTGGTGAATCATCACTCATCATCCTTGATTTTATTCTGTAAAATGAATTTAGGAAAAAAAAACAAAATTTTCGATGATTCAATCGGATTGGAATTTCTAGGTTAGGTTTTTGAAATAAATACAATTTATAAACCAAACAGATAATTACATCAGATAATAGGGTTAATATATTGATTTAATTTTCTCACTTCAATCAAAAACTTATATTGCATCATTCAATGGCAATATTGAACAACTCTGAGTGGTTTTCTCGAAATTTAATTGAATCTTTTTCTGTGTTTGTTTGTGTGTGTGTTTGTGTGTGAAAAACAAGGGGTTATCACATCATTCATCAACAACAACAAGGTAAATGTGTGAATTTCTTCACTGCTCTGCTCTCTCTTTCTTGATGATTGTTACAATGGTAAACCAATGATGATGGTTTCCGGAACTAGGTGGAGTAAATTTATTATTATTATTTTTTTACCATTATCATCATCATCATCGACAACAGCATAATAAAATTTGAAAAAAAAAACAAATTCTGACGCGTGTTTGGCGTCCGTACAATATCGTCATTCCCATTATCATGATGATAATGATTACATCATTATTTTATTTTACATAGAAAGATATCTATAGAAAGAAAAAATATATCCCATTTTCTCTTGTCTAACCTTACTGGTCTGAATCAATGAAGAAGAAAAAAAAAATGTAAATGTTTAATCATTGAATTAAAATCAGTTTTTTTTTTCTTTTTCTTAGATTAGAATTATTTTCGCATAACCTGAATGAACGAATGATGAAGAAGAAGAAGAAGAAAACCTTGATCCAATGATTACATATCAATCATCATTGTGAATGTGTTGATAATGATTTGCGTGGGTAGTTTGATTCGAACCAAACCAAGTCAAGTCAAGTCGATTATCGATTAGTCGTCAACAACATTAAACAAAGTTATATTCATTTATTATCTATGTTATAAGGTGGCATTCCATCATCATAATAATCATCAGCTAATAATCGTTATCATGTTAATTATTTATTTTTTCTTTTCTTTTTGGGCTATGTAATTACCATTATTTATCCATCGATATTCATTCGATTTGATTTTCTCGTCGTCAACATCGATTAATGATTATGAATTATGTATTGACAGGGCGAAAAATCTGATTGTGTGTTTTGATCTTGAATTATTATTATTATTATTATTATTATTAATTGGATGAATTCGAGGTCGGATCATTTCGATACAAATTTAATTTTTTTTTCTGGACGGAAATTTTTATTATTATTATTATTATTGGTAGAAAAAAAAAATCGATTTTTTTTTCATTTTTACAATCATCGATAGTATTCGTCCTTCACCGCTCCTTCATGTGATTGATGCATGCATGTGTTATAACAACAATATGCATGCATGCAGTGTGTATGCGCGTAAAAATGTGTGTTGCGTGTTGTGTGATACAGCTGCTTTTTGTTTACCAAATGAACTTTTTTTTGTTGTTACCCGAATGGAAACAAACTTTTTTTTACTGGGTTTTTTCCAGTTTTTTTTTGTTTCAACCACTTGATGATCTTTGAATTTTTTTTTGTTGAAACAGTCCAAATTGTGAATTTTAAAAAAAAGAATATGCTTTTGATGTTTTTCTTTGAACAAAATGGAACCAAATCCAATCTGCTGGACTAATGATGCATATTGGTCATATCGTTATTTAATAGCATTTCGGTTTTTTAATCAAATTATTCCGGTTCAATTTGATTCCGGATAATCATCATTAAAGGTATATTAATTTTTTTCGGGCTAATGTTTTTATCAATATTCTTCTGCCATTATCCCGAAAAAAAACACATTTAGAATTAATGATTTTTTTCTATGACAAAAATCTAATTATCCATTGCACGAACTTGAATTATTTTACTCTATTAATGGAACAATAACGTAAAATTATAGTGAATCAGAATTATTTTTGTGAAAAAATTTTCTATCCAAACAACAATTTGATTACACTGTGCCTTGTGTGTGTTCGTGTGTTCTTTAGTGAATCAATTCCAAATTGATTGATTGTACCTTGTGTATCATCGATTAGAAACATTGATCCAATCGATTCATCCAACAGTGAATGAATATTATGAAACTTTTGAAAAAATTCTTCCAGCAAAAAGAGTGATTTGTGCAAAAAAAATTGTGTCTGTGTTTGTGTTTATTGTGTTCATTCATCGGTTATGTGGTTCATTTCGAACATTTCACTTTTATTCGAATTCTTTTCAACAAAATCAAAATATTACCGTTGCCGCTATTGTTACTGCTACTACCGCTATTACTACTACTGCTACATCAACAACAACTTCCATTATCCCACTACCACATTCTCTCTTTTTTTCGAAACCAAAAACCCAATTTGTTTTCCATCGAAAAATACCATACGCTACTTTCTTGAATTATTCTACTTTTTGTTTTATCCGAACCAGAATTTTCCTATCATCGTCATCATCATTCTGTTATGTGGATACTATTCAAAGTATACCACCAGATCAAGGCGCCAAACATTCAACAAGTGTAAATGATGATGATGATGATGTTGATGGAAAAAAATCGGAGGAGGGAAAAGGAACAAAAGTAGAAGTCAAGAAGAAGAAACAAAAAGGTATTATTCGGTGGGCATGTCTTGTTTTGTTTTTTTTTCGATTTTGTTTTTTTTTGAAAAATTTTGTAACATGAACATCTAACACCAACACTACACTATCCTGGTTCTGGTAGCCAAAGAGAGAAAGCAGGCAGGCTTTATTCTTTTCTTTTTTTTCGAAAAAAACAAACTCATCACATATTTTGAAAACGGCATCATTTAACACACACACACACTGATTTGATGTAAAGTTAATTTTGAAAATTCGCAAACAAAAAAAAAAAATCTTTTCTGTATTGGCCATCGTTGCCGCATCAATCACCAACAATTCTCTTTTTTCATTCATTCACTCACTTTCTGATCCTGTCATTTCAGATCAAGTTCTCTTCATCAAGCACTTACACATCAAGACAATCCTGATCAAGAAAAATAAAAGAGAGAAACATCAACATTCACGCAGTACTGGTTATCAAAAAGAAAAAAAATATGATCAACATCTAACAACAAACAACAAAAAAAAAAGATTCAGTCATCATGAAAATCTTGAATAGAAAAGATCGAGCAGAAAAAAAAATTATCATCATCGTTAACTTTATCATCAAGAATTTTACTTTATTCTTATTTTGAAAATCGTAAATGTTGGCGCGAAAATTCAAATAAAAATTCCTATTTTTTCCTGATTGATTTTACCTGAAGTTTGTGTTATTTTTCTGTTCTGTTCATTCTCGTTTGTTTGGCGAGATATTTTTTTTTCAATAAGTGTGTCCTTTTTGTTTGATTGTTTTTTTTCATTTCATTTCGTATTAGATAATAATTTACTGTGCGAATTTTTTGTGCCCTCTCTCTTCACTGTTTTCATCATCATCATCATCATTTGAATTCCGATCAATTACAAACTTGTCAAAAAGAAAAAAAGTTTTTCAAGAAACATTCAAGTGTGTGATCTAAATGAGAAGCGAAATTTTTTTGTTTGAAGCACACACAATGTAATGAAGAAAATCAATCGATGATTTTTTGGTAAGAATAAGACACCGAAATATTTTTGAAATTAAGAAAAAAAAGTTGTCAAATTTTTCAAACATCATCATCATCAAGAAGCATCATTTACATAGCAGACAAATTAGAAAACAAAATCAAATATTTACCAACAAAATCATCATTTGAACAACAACAACCACATATATTCTTTGCACTGGCCTCATCAAATCAAAATTTTAATTATATCTCGGGGTTTTCATTGTTGTTTTTTTCTGATGAAATTTTTAGCCATGTTCTTATTTGTTTATGTGATCATATCACACATCAAGAGACGCGTGGTCTTTTGAAGATTCGGCATTTTTTTTAACAAGCAAAGAAGAAAATAAATAAATAAATAACCATCAAATGATTTAAAGGTCAATTGCAAAACGATAAAGAAGAAGAAGAAAAAATTTTTTTTGACATCATTAAATCATTATCATTTGGAAAAAAGGTGTCGAAAATTTCAGTTAACAAGGCAACGACAACGAAGAAGAAGAAGAAAAAAAATTAAATTTTGCCTGTCAATATTGGCTTCGAAGAAGAAGAAGAAAAAAAATCTATCTTGATGAAGATTGAATTTGATGAATATGAAGAAAAATTGAATTTGGTGACAATAACCGAAACGACAACAGCGCCGCCAATTCAATCATTACATAGAAATCATCAATTTAATTCATTGATGCATTTTTCAACAAATGATCAATATAATCGTAGATCATCAAATTCAATATCATCATCATCAAATCTTTTAACGAATAATGATAATGATCTCTTTATCAATGAAAATAATAATCATAATTCAACAACAACAACATCGACTAATTCAAATGGAACTACAACAACAACAACAAACAATATGACCAATAGTAATCAACAATTAACACAGCAAACAAATACTCATTCATTTATTGATACACCACAACCACCTCCGCCACCATCATTACAACCAACAACAACTGCAACAACAACAACACCAACAACAGGATATCATCAACATCAATCATTGAATAATTCAAATTTAAATCATCATCATCATCAAATGATTGGTCAACAACAACAACAACAACTGCATTCGCAGATTCCTAATCATAATCATCATCAATCATCATTGGCAAAATCATCAAATGGCCATCATAAACGTGGATCATCATCATCATCATCAACAACAACAACGGCCACTAAATCTGGATCATCATATAAAAATGGATCGGGAAATAAATCTGGTTCGAATCATGGAGCAAGTGGTGGTGGTAAAAAAACCAAAGGAAGAGTTAAAATCAAAATGGAATTTATTGATAATAAATTACGACGTTATACAACATTTTCTAAACGAAAAACTGGTATCATGAAAAAGGTTAGTGTTTTTTTTTGTTTTTCCATATGCGTTTGAATGAGAGAATCCAAAGAAAGATTTACTATTTATTGCATCTTATGATGATGTTGATGACTGATTTTTCTTTCTCGGGCATTATGCCCAAGTTTTTTTTCTTGTTCTGTAATTGGCAAATGAATGTAATACGATTCTTTTGGCCTTTCTTAATGTTTGAATGTGTGTGTGGATACTTTTTGGTAAATATTTAACACTACATTTTTGGCAATAATATCTAAATTTGGCTTTTAAAAATATGCAATTCTTGTTCATTATTCTTTTTTTTGCCTTAGTTTCCAAAAATGAAATACTTTTGATTCGTTGCCAGAAATTAGAATTCTTATTTTTCTCTCTTTCTCATTCATTTGAACGAATGTAAATGAATGAATGAAACACAGATTATGTTAATTCGTTGTTTTCTTTCTCATCAAATTCTGAGCGTCATCATCATGTGTCATCTTACATATCATTCGCACATTGATGATTGAGCTCAAAGAATCACAAACGGAAAAAAATTTTCAATTTAAATTAAAATTCATTTGACCAATGAAATTCGAGAGGTTTCTCCAAATCATTTTTCATTTTTTGTTTCTTCTAATAATGTCGGATGATAAAGGCGATGAAAGTTATCATCATGCGATTATATGAGACGTGACTAAATATCTTTTCCGATATATATTCGAATTACCTACGCATATTTACAATTATCCCGGTTCTCATTAGCTTCTTTATATACACAAACGCCAAGCAAATGACCTTTGACCTTTGATGTTGGTATCGAAAAAGATTTTTCGTATAATTTATAAATCCCCAATACATGAACAAACAGAAAACTTGAACTAACTTAAGTTTAGTTAGTTCATGGTTCCAGAAACAACTTGTAATTTTTTCTTCTTTCTTTTGATTACACAAAAACTACATGATTATTATGATGATGGCTTTAGGAAATTTGTTTGTTTGTGTTTGTGAATGGATAATTATTATTTTTATTTTGAAAAAAATTAATATTTCTTTTGCGCAATTTTTCCGCCATGTAAAATTGACCTCCACCACCATCAAACCCCAATATATATGCCCCAAACGTGTGTTGTGGCTACATTTCAATACCGAAATTATTTTTGTTTATTTTGCACTCTTTTCGAATCATTTGTGAATCTTGTTTTTGCTTCTTCGTTGATAAAATAAAGATTCACAATTCTATCTATCGTATATTATTTGATGACTATCTTTTCATTAATATTATATTATACTGAGTCCATGACGCCTACACAAAACAAAAAATGCATAACCACATAGTGCCACCATCTGGCTGATAGTGTGTTGATGTAAGAAATGGAAGGAAAAAAAAACTTGACCTGACTTTTATCATCATTAGTGATGATGAAGAAGAAGAAAAAAAAGGTAAAACTATAGGCAGCATGTCATAGATGAATGGAGTGGATTTTATTTTCGCCCGGTAGAGAAAGATAGAGAAAACAATTTTTTTTTCCTTTTCATTCATTTAGCGGAGGCGTCAATGGCGGCATAGGATAAAGGGACATTGAAGAATGAATGAACGAATTTGTTGTTGTTGTTGTTGTTGATCATTGGAAATCAGAAAAATTAAACAAAATAAACATTCAGTAAAAAAAGAAAAGAAAGAATTCATTTTTTTTGTTGATGAGAATCATATTTTGCAATCATCATCATCATCAAAATATTGATGAATAAAATTTTCATCACTTTCCATTAATGATGATGATGAAAACCTTGAAATTTTTTTCGTTACATTTTTCCCTTCTTCTTTTGTTTTTTCGATTAAAAATTTCACTTAGATATTGATGATGATGATGGTCATTAATGTTATGAAGTGTTAATTGAGAGAGAGGAAAAAATGGAAAGGAAGATAACGAATAGAGAGAAATAGGAATGTTCCGATCTTTGGTGAATGGAAAATTTTTCATTTTTTTTATTGACTTGCCAAAAAAAAACTTGAAATTTTTTTTATGATGGTATATCGAGGAGATGAAATAAAGTGAGTTGGAGAGATAGAGAGAACAATGTAATGAAAATCAGAGTTTCATTCGTAATTTAATTAAAATTTTTTTTGTTCTTCAAATCGATTTTTAGGCTTATGAATTATCAACATTGACCGGAACACAGGTAATGTTATTGGTTGCATCCGAAACTGGACATGTTTATACATTTGCAACACGTAAATTACAACCAATGATTACATCGGATGCTGGTAAAGCCTTGATACAAACTTGTCTGAATTCACCGGATCCTGGTGTTGGTTCAACAACAACAACAACAACTGGTAACAATACGAATCATCATCAAATACCTGATGTTATACAAACTAATGGTCATTTATCAAGTGCAGCACTTAATCGTAAGTCATTTTTTTTTGGAATTTATTTGATTCATCATTTTTTTTTTGATCGTTATTTTTGTTTGTAGCATCAAATGGACATCATAATAATAATCATCATGGTGATTCGTCTCAACCATCAGATAGTAATAGCGGTAACGGTAATAATAGCGGTAATCATCATCATCAAAATAGTGCCAATAATAATTCATCTTCAACAACAACAACATCGATCGCTTCGACAGCATCAACAACAACATCGGCAACAACAACAACAATATCCAATTCTAATAATAGTCAACAACAACAACCAACAAATGATCAACGTATGTCGGCTGCAGGTTTTGAAGAACCTGAACTTTCTTATTCAGTCGATACACCACAATCATCATCAACAACAACTATCATTGATGATTGTTCACATCTAAATGATAAGGTAAGCTATTCTTCTTTTTTTTTCCTCGAATAAATTTTCTTAAATTTCATCTTTATTTTATCAACTTTTGATTTGATTTTTACTTATTGGATCGATCCAAATCCGTATAAATACGTTTTGTTTCCAAATCTTTTTCAAATTTTTTTTCACATCTTTTCACTCACCAAAAAAAACTTTACCTACTCATTTAATTTGTTTGTTTGTATGTTTTGGTGTGTTCCTTTTTTTTCTTCTTCACAAAAAAAAATTCCGTATACTTAACCCCTTTCTTCCATACTTTCATGATGACAAAATGTGATTTTTTTTTCATTCATTTTGTTTGTCAATATAACATCCTGTTGTGTGTTGTTATACATCTTTTATGCAAAGAAAACCTTCATATCTCAATATTGAAAAATTATTTTTGACATCTAGTTCCAGATATTTGTTCCGTTATTAATGGTTTTTTTTCGCGTTTCAAAGATTTGATGAATGAGTGAGTGGTGCTATGTATTTTTGAGCTTTTCACTGTGTTTTTTCTTTTTCAGTCAAGTGAGCAAAAAATTAAATAGAAAGTTTTTTTGCGAATCGACAAAAAAAAAATGAAGGTGAGAATTGCATCTTTGTGTATGTGTGTGTGTGTTTGTCCATTGAAAATGAAAGACTTTCCCTATTTTTTTTTTTTTTTTTTTGGCTCCCCGTTTTAAAAAAAAAATCATTATCATCAGATGATTTGATTCNTTTTTTTTCGCGTTTCAAAGATTTGATGAATGAGTGAGTGGTGCTATGTATTTTTGAGCTTTTCACTGTGTTTTTTCTTTTTCAGTCAAGTGAGCAAAAAATTAAATAGAAAGTTTTTTTGCGAATCGACAAAAAAAAAAATGAAGGTGAGAATTGCATCTTTGTGTATGTGTGTGTGTGTTTGTCCATTGAAAATGAAAAACTTTCCCTTTTTTTTTTTTTTTTTTTTGGCTCACCGTTTTAAAACAAAAATCATCATCATCAGATGATTTGATTCACTCGATATGTTGATTATTGGATTTGAATGGAAAATCAAATCTAAGATGAACAACAACCGAATAAAAAACGTAGGCGATTTGATCATTAATGATTTTACCTTGTTGTTGTTGTTTTTTTTTCAAACTTGTCAATCTTTGATATTTCGATCTTGATATTTCCAATTATCATTATCGATCGATTGATGATCATGCTGATCATGATTCGAGAACCTGAATGAAACAAAAAAAAATTTCAATGTCAATTAAATGTATACATTTGGGAGTTTGTTCAACAAAATGAAATAAAAACCAAACAAACCCCTTGTCTGCTCAAATTTTCCAATCACATATTTTGAAAATTATGACAAAACAATTGAAATGCAACAAACGAAAAAAAACTTTTTATTTATATATTCATTGTAATTCAACAGCAACAACAAAGAATGAAATGAATTTATTGAAGGTCGAATTTTTTTGTTGTCCATCAATGATGATGATGGTGAAAGTTTTATAATAAATATGAGATGCATGGTTGATTGCAGTGGTGTGTTGTGTTTTTTGTTGTTGTTCGTATGATTGACTCTTCTTCTTCGTTTTCGTTTTTTTTTGTTCAGAATGTTTCTGGTTTCAATATCATCATCCATAATATTCATTGTTTAGATGTGACAGATTTTTTTTGTTGTTTTCCATTGAAATAACAACAGGTTATTTGTTCGCGCCCTTTGTTTATTGTCATTCATTCATTCAGTTTTGAAATTTTGAGGGTTTTCGTTCCGAAGAAAAGAAAATCATCATCGTTTTTCCGGGTTGTCCATAATTATTTAGTCAAAAAAAACAACCGACGATATTGCGAAAATCATTTCATTTTCTTTTTTGATTGGTTTTTTTTTCATTTCAAAAAATCAAATAACATGGATTTATGGTTGGCCAGGACAAAAAAATTGCGTAGGATTTCCATTATTCCAATTTTTCGTTGTTGATTTTTGATATATTTGTGTGTTGTGTAATAAGACGGATAATCGCACACACACACACTTATATCATTTTCTTAGTTGGTCGAATTGTTTACCTGAATTTTATTATATGTAACGGTTGGGAGAAACAAAAAAAAGTTAAAAATGACCTCGTTTTTTGAAAATTCAAAAATCGAAACCAGATCAAAAAAAAAATTTCAAATCGATTTTTTTTGTTTCATTCAATTTTACTTTGCCAAACCCACATTTTATGTTGTTGGCAGCCACATCCTACTTTTATTTTTCTTCAATGATGATGATGAGATTGATATAATCCTCTCATGGTTTGAAAGTTGTACTTTCTTACACACTATACACATAACAGAACAAACGACTTGTTGTTGTTCACCTGTTCTCAAATGATTATTTTTTTTCTCGAAAAAAAAGTGAGAGCTAGAAACTGAAGAAAGAGAAAAAGAAAAGAAATTTCAGCATTAAAGACGCCATTGATTGGTTGAAATTGGCGCCCTGTTTCCTCCTTTTGATTTTCAATACCATAGATATACACACACACAGATAGTCTCAGGAAGAAAAAGATTATTATCATTATCATCATCATCAACAACAACAACTATGGCAGTAAGTCAAGCCACAATGTCTCTTTCGAAAAAAATTATATGCTGATCCTATAATGTTGTTGTCGTTGGCTAATGATAAATGATGGTGATGATAAAAAAAACGAAAAGGTGTTTGGTAAAAAAAAAGTCGGAACTATTTTAAAATGAAAAAAAAGATGATAAATCATATAATAATAATAGCGGTAGCCAAAAAATCGTGCAATATTAATGATATGTTCTCGTTTTTCTTTCTTTCTCGTGTGGTTGAAAGAATCTTTTCTTTTCTTTTTCTTTTTTTTCAATTAACTTTGAACACCATCAATCAATCAATCATTAACGATTGATGGGTGAAAAATTCTTGCAAAGATGATGATAAGAATTGAATTTCAGAGTTTTTCTTGCTTAAATCGCTTTCGCTACTTTTTTTTTGTTTTTCTTTTCTTTTTTTTTCCATCTTGATTCTTCTTTTTCTTTTCCTCCTGGTTCTTTTGTTTCAAAAATTTTTTAAAAAAATAATCAAAAATTCTTGAAAAAAATTATTTGCTTTGCTGTAGCATTTATATGCTTCACCGGCTCCATCATCTGCTTCATCATTATCATCTGTTGGTGCGGCTACATCATCATCATCATCATCTTCATCATCATCACCACCGATTCTATTGACATCGATGATTGTTGTTGGTGATACACAATCACAAAATCATCATCATCACCATCAACAACATCAGCAACATCAACATCATTCAAGTCATCTTCATTCTATTCATTCTCATCATCTTCAACAACAACAACACTTTCATAATAATCATCATCATCATCAACAATCACCTTTATCTCATCAACATCATAATGAACAACTTAATCATCATCATCATCATGGTGGTCACCATCATCATAATCATCATCTTAGTGAACATCAAAATTCACACCTTATGTCTCATCATCAATCGTCATATGATCATCAACAATCAATGATGGATAGCTATACGAATGGTGGTGGTGGTGTTGGTGGCTATTCACATCAAACATTAAATTCAGCAATGACAAATGGTACAGATAATACTAATAATCAATCGAATGGTTTAACATCAATATCTACTATTTCAAATTCTTCATCATCATCTTCATCATCATTTTTTCCAACAACTGGTACATCACCACCACCATTAACACCAAATGGTTTACTTAGTGGTCTTCATTCATTTTTATTTGCCGATTCTGTTAATGGTCTTGTTGATCCATTTGTTGTTGATTCAATGACTGGAAATTCAGTTGTTGATAGTTTATCTGGATGTTTAACACCATCTACATCGAATAGTAGTTCGACTGTTATTGTTGGTCAAACAAATGGCGTTGGTGGCAGTAATAGTCCTAATGTATATTCTACATCAAATGGTAACAATTCATCTTCATCCGTATCAACTGTAACAACATTACGTTTACCACCATTTTGTTCAATATAAAATCTGATAAATCTTTGATAAATGCTTTTACGTTGTTGTTGATTGAATGCCATACATATTTTTCATATTATATTCTTTATCTCTTTGATTTATATTTTATTTTCACAGTTGAGTTTTTTTTTAAATTTTGCATTCTACACTTGATCAATTTATTATAATATCGTTTTGTTTGGCCATTTCTGTTTCTGTTTCTGTTTCTGTTATTGTTGTTGTTGTTGTTCACTTTTTTTCCATTCCATCTTGAGCACAATTCTTGCCATAATTTTTATCAATTTTCATTGATTTTTTTTAAAATATTTCATTACAAAACACCTGTGGCAATTGTAACTTATCCACTCATCTTTTCTAAGAATAATGTCTTCACACACACACAAATACACAATAGATGTGTCTTCATATATGTAAAATAATGACGATCTCTTATCAATGTTTTTTTCTGAATTTACAATTTTTTTTTTGCAATCACGTTTACAAATGATCACAATATATTTATTTCCAAAACAATTGTTGTGGTTGATGGTTTTAAATTCTTTCTTCTTTTTTTTAAATTTGTTATTCTGTATCAAAAGTATCTGTTGTTTTTTAATTTGAAAAAAATTATTTTGTTTGTTTGGTTGTCGATTATATTATGTTTGTTTTTTGTTTTGTTTTTTAAATTCTCCATTTTTACCCTATATATAATGATTTCAGAAAAAAAATTTAATTTCCTCAATGATGATGATGAACTTTTCATGTATCAATCACACACGCACATTTATTTTCAACAAAAAATAATAATAAAAAATAATTGATTTTAACGCTGCGCACGCTGCTGCTGCTTTCGCTTGCTTGTTCATCAATTGGGCGTCTTAATTCGCGTTCTCAAGTGGTGCCCATCCTTTTTTTTTTGCTTGTGCTTTTTCACATGTTTCATAAGCATTCGACAAAATAAACCCCGAGAGAGAGAAAAAAAAGGATATTTACTTCGGCTAGGAAACAGTTAATCTAATAATTATGACAACAACATCATGCCGCATCTTTTTTTTCAAAAAAAACTACAATTCAAAAGGTTATTATTATCATTTCAAACAGAAATTAAGTATAAAAAAAAATTCAAATTGAATATCAATTTGTTCAATTGTCAGTCATGTGTTTCGATCAATAATTGTTACAATTTGAAATGCATTTTGATGATGTTTGTGTGTGTGAATAATCACCATTAGTTGTGATTATGATTGACATTTTCTTTCATTGAGAATAAGAATTATGCCTGTCAGAATAGAAGCAGATGTTTCCCAATAATCAATTGTGAAGAAAAAAAACGACAACAATTTAATGATTAGCAATGTGAGAAACATTAGTTATTTTTCTTCATTCGAAAAAAAATGATTAGCCATTATTATTACTTTTTGTTACATAAATATATAGAGAGAGAATTACCACCATGTTTATGGTTCAATTTTTTGTTCCCGAGTTAATTGATTTTAACCAAATGATGATGAACGATTATTTTTTTTTCTAGCTTAAAGAGAAAATTGTTATTGTTATTTTTCTGCAAAATTTTTTTGAAAAAATGTTTTTTGTTTTCTATAATAAAATCTATATCAATGTTTGAATAATGATGATGGATAATTTATTTTTCATGTTTCCTTTTTTCCTTTCGATCATCATCTCCATTATAAAGTAATAATAAATATACATAGAGAGAATTGAGCAATTAGTGTAAATAAAAATGTTACAGTTTCACGGTTATATTTGTCGGTAGAGAGAAGATGATGTCAGATTATAATCAGATAAGTTTTTTTTACCTAATAATCATTCATTTACCGTGAATTTTTCTTTTTTCTTCGTGACTTTTGATCATCATCATCATTTTTTTCGGCTAGTGTTTCGATCGTGATCGTAAACTTTTTGCTTGTTGGTTGGTTAATGATAAAATTTACGATTCTTCGACCATTTTTTTCACCGTTGATGACATTATTATTATCCATTAACCTGATCTATTAGATTTAGTTTAATATTTATGGCTTCCTGTCAATTATCATTATCATTATCATGATGATAATGATCATGATGATTTGTTCACTATAAAATATTCATTTTTTGTTTTGTTTATTGAAAAAATATTGATTTTAAATTGGCTGACTAATTTATTCATTTTTTGTTTGCTTTTTTTTTTGTTCATCATCATTATTATTATGGCTATTTTATACCGGAACCTTAAATTTTTATCGATTTTTTCTTCCATTGTTTTCCAGAGGGAGAGAAAGAAAAAATGATAATTTTTTTTTTGGTTCAAAAAAAAATTGTCAAACTTTTTTTTTTTGACATGAAATGTTTCTAATCCTTTTTTGGTAATCGATTGGATATCTATGGTTTTATATCTGTTGCTATTTTAATCCGATAATTAGCTTCTGTTCAACTGAAAAAGTTGATGAAAAAAATTCATTGAGAAAATTCTCTGGAAAAATATGCAGCAAAATAACAGGAAAAAAACAAAATTCTAGTCTAAAAAAAGATGCCCACCCAGAAAGTGTTTAGTTTTTTTTTCAACTGATGCAATAGGAATTTCAACAACAACAACAAAAGAAAAAAATTCTAATTGATTATTATCCAGAAGAGAAAGATTATATTATCCATTCATGTTGTATGATGATCCTGGTTTATAATTGTAAATTGATATTAATAATATATGTAATGAGATAATGAATCCTATGTACAATCTGAATGTGTGTGCGAGTGTGTGATCCGGTTTGATGTTTTTCTTTGGAAATTTTGATTTGAAATGAAGGTGTGTGTGTGTGTGTGTTCTATGTTTTCATCATTGTTTTCTTATATATCCAAATGAGAACCACCTGCGAAAAAAAAGAAACAGAAAATTGATCAGTCGGTTATTCTTTCATTTTGTTGTTGTCGTCCATATCGTTTGATAATAATTATGATTCCCGTCCGTTTATACATTCAGAAAAACCACCACCACCGACATTAACAAATTGATGTGATGATATAATAATGCTCAATAATAATAATCATAATCATAATGATCATAGGTTTTGAATTAAGATGATGAAAATTTTTTTCATAACCTACAGAGAGAAATATAAACATTTTTTTTGAAACATAATTGAAAAGGCAGTTGTTTGATTTACTATTTTCTTAACCCCAAGATGATGAATAATATATCATCAGGACAATGATAATAGGGAAAGAAAAAGATACTTTTTTTTCATAAACATTTTTTTTACTCGACCACTTTTAAGCTTATTTTTTTCATCTTTGTGTATAAATGATGATGATAATAATAATATTAAGCATGTGTTTTTTGTATCATATCATTCTAATCATTATAATTGAATATTTTTTTGTTGTTGTTCGTTTTGCTGGTTTCTTAACTAAATTATAATGTTTTACAAAAAAAATGATTTACATTTATCCTAATTGATAATTACTTTATTTGTTTGATTGTTTGGCTTGTCTTAAAAGAAATTATTATTATTATTATTATAATGATGAATAAAAGGATTGAACAACTGGCAATGTTTTTTGCTTTGTTGTTGTTGTTGAATAATAAAATGTCTTAATCAGCAGCTAATTTTCTTTCCATGTTCTTAATTCATAGGAAAAAAACCGGGATAATTTATTTTTTGAATGCAATTAACGACTTAATTCATTTTTTTATATTGAATTCATTAAATCAAACATATGTTTTTATCAAAGATGATTTTGATTGATTGATTTTTGTTCTATTTCAATAAGATTAATTATTGTTTTTTTTTCTAATTTTTTCTATATCAAGAATATCTTGACTGGCTGCCTAACGTTGGGTACAAATATGACCTCTTTGTTGAATCAACAAAATTCGTTTTTTATCAATGGTCAAGCAATCGATCGTTCAGAATTTGGTATTCTTGATGATATGGATGATGATGATGATGATGACGAAGATGATGATGACGACGACGACGATGATGATGATGATGATGATGAAGATGACAATGATTATGATGAAGATGAAGATGATGAAGATGATATTAATGCTACAAATTGTCTATTACCAACATCTGTGAATAGTTCGTTATTGTTTCCACAACATCAACAGCAACAACCCGAAGTAACATCCGTATCATGGTCAACGAATTCGATAATAAATGCACATAATTCTATTAATAATTCCGATTGGAATCGTGTATCATCAACAAGTGGTCATCATCATCATAATCCAATTAGTGGTCATCATGTTTCTGATCGAATCAAAATGAATTTGAATCTTAAAATTCAACAAAAACAACAACAACAGCGAAACAAACAACAACAACAACAACAGTATGTCACGATTCGTCAACAACCATCGACTTCTACGAATTTTCAACAGCAACAACCACAACCACAATCGCAATGTCAAATATCACGTGTGCAATCTAATCGAAAAAATATCTCATCAAATATTAAAACTAGCTCAAATCCCAAAACTCGAAAAATTTCCAATCCAATCAATTCGATGGACCAGTCTACATTGCATTCAAATCTGGATTCTAATTCTATACTTGATTCTTGTTTTTCTTTCAATGGTAAGAGAGAAAAAATAGCGAAAAGATTTTCGATTTTAAATTTTTGAATTTTTTTTTCAGATGATTTAGGATCATTGATTGAAGCAAATCAATATCATTTGGATACCATTCTAAACACATCAAATTCAGCACAAAATAATGCCGATCTATATTCACAATATTCTTTTGGATCTAATGATCAACTATCGAATTCTAATCTACTTCTTTCGTCAACTTCTTCCAATATTGGAAAAAATACATCATTATCATCGAAAAAATCTTCATCAAAATCCAATACAAATCGTTTATCCAAATCAAAAGGTTTGATTTATTTTAAAATTTTGATCACAATAATTTATTACAAATTTTGTTTTCTTGGTTTTTTTCAGCTGGAACTTTAAAAAATTTATCCAATCCTATGATGATGTCTGCAGCCATGGCAACAACATCATCGACTACATCATCGATAAACACTAACAATAATAATAATCATGATCCGAATCGATCAATGTTATTATCAACATTATTTTCAAATAATTCACTTGTAAACAAAAATCGAAATGAAGCCAATGTTAATAATAATAATAATAATAATAATACCGGAAATGTTGATGGCGTTATTTCCACATCTACTGCCGCCAAATCAAAACAGCAAATTCTCTCATCATCATCTATATCGCAAACGATACCGACAACGATAACAATTCTGAATAGTAATAATAATCAACAACAACAACAACAATTGTTAAAAGCAGCCAATTTAAATACAATCATCAATAATTTAGCTAATAATAACAATAGCAATAATAATAATAATAATAATACGCCGTCGGCAACCGTATCGCCATCAATGATTCATAATAATAACAATTGTGGAAACAATATTTCTCATCATCAATCGGCTATGATCAATCCAAACAATATGCATCAAAATTTTATAAACCAACTTTCATCATCTTCAATATCATCATCATCATCATCTTCATTTGTTCTCGATTCAATGATCGGATCAATTGTCACATCATCACCAACATTAAATAATATAATCATAACAACGACAACAACGATGCCCATCAATAACAATAATACGATAACATCCTCATCATCATCATCATCATCTACATCGAATATTCAAAATCAATTGGCAGCTATAGCGGCTCAACAGTTTCTATCTTCTGGTACTATAGTTATACTTTTTTATTGTTTATCTAATAATTTCTCTATTTTCTCATAGGTAATGTTATACTTTGTCCACAACCAACTACTGTAACGGCCAATCATAATTCAACAATGGTGAATCAATCAACCAATGTTGGTCAATCATTTATTTGCAAATCTGAACCATCATCGTCGACGCTACTAATACAACAACCATCTGGATCTGCTGGTTCAGTATCGGGTCAATTATTTTATAATGCATTAGCCGGTCGACTTTTATGTACGACAACCGCATCGAATTTTTCTAACAGCAATCATACCGTTTCTTCATATAATTTGCTTAATGATAACTCAACAGTAACAGCAGCTAATTGCGGTCCCACTATTCAATTATCAACTCCAGATAGTCTCAATTTTTTATTTGCCAACAATGGAATGGCTCAGGTATGATAATATTACAAAAAAAATTTTCAACAACTTTAATTAATTTTATTAATCTTTCATAATAGTTGATAACATCATCAAACAATAATCAGCAATCTAGTCAGGTTCAGACTTTGGGTTCATCATCATCATCATCATCATCGTTATTGTCGAATAGAACCAATCGTCCTAAATATGATTTTTATCAGACAAAAAATGATTTACCTTCTATTTGTCCATCAACATCAACATCATCATCATCTAGTTCATCGTTGACAACTACAGCGTTGCTGGCTACAATCAACGCTAACAATACAAAATGTACAGACAATAATATTAATCCATTTGATACTGATAATTTGCTCAATACTCAACTTCAACATCATCCTGGTTCTCATCATAATCACAGTCAAAATCATTTTCATCATTCACATCAACAACAACAACACCAACAACATAATCATTCATCTTCACAATTAAACATACAATCAACACGTAATAATAATAAAAAACAACGAAAATAAAATATTTTATCTTGAAACAAAAAAGGAATTTTACCTAGCATTTTTTAATAAATAAATGATGAAAAAATCTGTCATGTTTTTTTCGGACAACATCTAATCATTAGATTGAGAATAATGAAAAAAATAATACTGATAGCAAAATATATGGCACAGAATTTCATCAAAATTAATGGTTCACTATTCAATTTTGAACCAATTAATAATGGTGTAAGCACTGCACCTAATCCTGCACAGAAAAATATAAATGAACTTGATCGATCAGTTAATCGAAGATGATTTTCGGCAAATGAAATCAATGCTGGCCACATGGCTGAATAACCATAACCAAGAAATGCTGTAGCTAAATAATTGGATAATTCGGAATTGTGTGTCAGATTAAGCCATGTTAATGATATAATAATTATAATATAATGATAAACAATTATAATGTCCGGTTTCAGACGAATTGATATGAATGCTGTTACTAAACGACCGGTAGTATATGCTGCTGCAAGTGTTGCCAATACAGTAGCCGATTTGCTTGATGTCATCACCGGTTTCCAATATTGAAACATTGTATCGGAAAAGAAAAAATATCCTTGTTCGGCAGCTGTATAAAATGATAACGTCAAAGCCATCAATACCAATTTGGTTTTGTGAAATCTTATCTTTGGCAATGGTTCTTTAAAATCTTCTTTTTGTTCGGATAATTTTACATCCATTGGTTTTCTGTATCGTCTCACAATGAACAAAATAAGTAATATTATTGATGTAGCTACTTGTATGGATCCAATCACAGAGAATGGAATGATTAACAAATCTTGCCGCGATTTTACAGTGACCTCGGTTTCATTCTTATTTATACCTTGAACAAATTTAGACATGACACCTGCACTTGTAATTGATCCTAAACCAAACGTAAATTGTTGGGCTTGCATCATTGATGCTTGATGTTTTGGCCACATTTCCATCAACCATAACGTATTGGAGCTATCCCATGATCCTAGCCCAATTCCTGCAAATGTTGTAGCTATAAACAAATTGCTTAGCGTACCGTAATATGGAACAAAAAGTATCATAATAGCAGCCATGGCTATCATTATGACCAAAATCAATTGTCGATTTAACCATTTGTATGCAATTCCACTTAAAGCTCCAATCAAGTAACCCAATGCTGAGAATGATGCTATAAAGTTTAAAGATTTTGATGGAACATTATAAATATAGCTCAAATCGACCAATGTTGGCCATATTGAATTTAATGTTATGCCCTTAAATTGATTTCAAATTAATAATTATTATGTAAATTTTTTTTTGTTGTAAAAAAATAAACTTACAAAAAAGAATTCATTAATCAATATAAACACTGTATAGATTATGTTTGTTATGCGTGTTGATTTTGCCATTTTTTCTTTCGATGATATTTGATTCAATAAAGAAGCTTATTAAACAATTAATTGATTTTAATTTCATTTTTTGTTAAATACCTAATCATTACATCAAAACATACCAAAAAAATCCTGTCTCTATAAGTAGTATGGAATTTCCTATTATCTTCATCACTAATGATAGTAATCTGAGGTAATGGTACTAAATAATTGAGTTAAAAATTTATTGTCATCATTGTTAATTATCTATAATTAAATTGATTAAAACAAAAAACATTTCATTTATTTAACAGAAAGGATCGATAAATTATTATGTTAACAAAAATAACATAGAAATTATAATGAACAAAATAATACTGATAGTCATATAAATAGCTTCAAATAGCATCAATATCAATGGTTGTGTTGTTAAATACTGGCCAATTAATAAAGGTGTAAACATTACGGCTGATTCGGTAAAAAAAAATATAAATGAACTGGCACGATCGGTCATTTTAAGATGACGTTCAGTGAATGCCAAAATTCCGGGCCATACTGCTGAAAATCCATAACCAAGCATTGCATTCGATATATAAATAATAATCGTATTATGTCTACCTACATATAATAATGATAAGGCACCGATTATAATAGCTAAATGATAAGCTATAATTATATTCGGTTTTAATCGAAGTGATATGATTGCTGTTATTAAACAGCCTACTGTGCATCCTGTACATAGACAGGCCATCACAGTGGCCGATTGAGTTGCTGTTAAACGATCTGGTTGCCAATACTGAAACATTGTGTCCGAATAATCATTGTATGCCATTTCGGCACCCATATATGCAGCTAACATAAGTCCAATTAAAATTAATTTTATTTTACGATATTTCATCTTATATGGCGCTGAATCACTTTCATCATCAGAATCAGTTTCACTTTCATCATCAGATTTTGATGATTCACTGGTGATCGATGACGATCGATTAGTTTTTTCATATCGTCTAAAAAAGAACATTCCGAACATGATTATTGGTGCAATTATTTGCAAAGCACCAATAGACATAAAAGGTATAATCAATGAAGATTTTCTAGTTTCTACATTGATTTCCGTTTCATTGGCTATGCCATGTACAAATGGAGCCAACAATGATGGACTAATTATCGATCCTATTCCATACATGAATTGTTGAATTTGCATAACAGATGCTTGATGTTCTGGCCACATCTCTATTAACCAAACAGTATTTGAACTTTCCCATGATCCTGAACCAATGCCAATAATCAATGTTGCTATGAATAGTTGATAAATTGATGTATAATATGGAGTATATGCAATCAGAATAGCCATTGTTGTTACCATACCGATTATAACTAATTGTCGATTAATCCATTTGTAAATAAAACCAGTTAATGATCCAATCGTATAACCAAATGCAGCAAATGAAACTAGATAATCTAATGTCTCACTCGATACATCATAAATATAAGATAGATCTATTAACACTGGCCATAATGCATTACATGTTATGCCCTAACAAAAATATTGTTATGTTATGACAATTATGTTGAATGATTAATTAACACTTACGAATGATATATAATTGATGTAAATTAGAACAGTATATATTATGTTGGTCGTATTCGTTATTATTTTCTTCATTATTATTATTATTATTATTTCTTTTAGGTAAAATTAATATTGAAAACAAACGATTTGGAATTTTCATAATTTTTCTTTGAATAATATCAATAACAAAAAAAAAACTATCACTTTCAAAACAATAACAATTTCAACGGATTAAATATTTTTTTTTTAATTTGCTAAATGTATTGGCAATCAGTTTTTTTCCATTAAAGATTGATGATTTTTTTTTGTTGTTGTTGTTTTTCTGATATTTCGGCATCAATCGGCAACTGATGGCGGACATCCTTATCATTATCAAATCGTCTTAATTTCTTTCAAAAAATAAAGTATATAATGAGGCAACTATCACAAGATCAATATTATCCTACCCACTTCATTTGGCGAAAAAATATTTGGAAAACAATTGTTTTACCTCACTGTTGATTCATTTTTTTAAACTATGGGTAACAAATTAGTATGGATACAGATGTCACATTAGTGACAATAAATTTATCATGACCAACTTGATCGATGATCAAAAAGATATTTATTTTTCTTATATATTTAGATCATTATCATTACAATTTAAATGGAGTATTTTAAATAATTTATTTGAATAATAATAATAATAATAATTTTTTTTTATTTAACAAACAATATCAACAAATTAACGATGATAAACAAAATAATACAAGTGGTTATCGATATGCCTTCATATATGAGTAAAACTAATGGTTTGGTAGTCAAATGAGATCCGATCATGAATGGTAGTATGAATGTCATTAATTGTGAGGCAAAAAACAATAATGAACTTGCACGATCTGTCAATTTAAGATGACGTTCGGTGAATGCGATAATGGCTGGCCACATGGCCGAATAACCATATCCAAGCAGAATGGTTGCAGAATAAACCATTGTACGACTTTCACGACCAAAATATAGCCAAGTCAATGCCAACATTATCAGTATTAAATGATAGGAGATAATTATGTCCGGTTTTAATCGCAACAAAATAAATGCTGTCAATAATCGACCAACGGTAAATGCTGCTGTCAAACATGCCAACAAAATTGAAGATTGACTAGCTGTCATTGCTGGCGTCCAATATTGAAACATTGTTGGTGAGTATAGAAAATATCCTTGTTCAGCAGCTGTATAGATGCTTAACAATAATGATATTAAGATTAATTTGAGATATCGATGTGAAATTGGTATTGATGATTGTTCTCCTTCTTTACAACATTTTGGTCGTTTATATTGTTTGATTAGAAACAAAAATAACAACATTACTGGACCTATTATTTGAATAATACCAATGACTATGAATGGTTTCATCAATGATGTTCTTCTTTTTTCGACATTCACAGTTTGATTCGTAATTCCTTTGACGAATGGTGACATTAAAGATGGACAAATTATAGAACCAATACCATACATAAATTGTAATGCTTGCATAACCGATGCTTGATGATCGGGCCACATTTCAACTATCCAAACATTGATAGCACTATCCCAACATCCACCACCAATCGATAGTAAAGCCGTTGCAACAAAAAATAATTCTATCGAACCAAAAAATGGCGTAAAAGCAATAATAATAGCCATTGTGGCTACCAATATGATTAGAACTAATTGTCTATTAAGCCATTTGTAAACAATTCCTCCCAACGATCCAATCATATAGCCTAATGCTAAAAATGTTGGAAAATAACTTAACGTTGTTGAAGATACATTATAAATATAACTTAAATCGGTCAATGCCGGTCCTATCGCATAATAAGATATGCCCTAAAAGGGTTAAAACAATGAAAGGAAAAAAAATGTTCCATAAGATTCAAGATGAAACAAAAATCAAGAATATACTTACATAGGCAAAATGATTGAAAAATATTGTAATTGTATAAAGTATGTTGGATACTTTTTTTGGTTTTTCCATATTGTTTTGATCGATTTGTACATTAAAAATCGAATGAACGATAAATCATAACTCGGTTACTACTAAAAGGATTTTTTTTTTCATTTTTTTTTTGATTTGACTGATGCCATTCATCACAATCATTATATATCCGGATGATTTTGAATTATGATTAGATTCTAATCATTTATTTAATCATCATTCTTTATATTATTTTCATATATAGCCATTATCTTACAATAAAGGCCTCTTCATTATTTGATTTGATGATAGACCAAATTGAAATTTTTTTTCATATGATCATTGACAATGACATTAGTGATACAATTACTGTAATCATATTTACGAAAAGATAAGCAACAACAACAAAAAAAAAAAAATCCATTGAAAAAAAATATTTCTAATCATTTCATATTACCTATCGAAAGATGACCATCAGCAATGTTACAACAAAAAAAAAAATTTGGTTTTTTTCTTGGGTAATACCCAAAGCTAATCATATTTTTTCAACAGTTGAATCTAGTTTTGTCAACAAAAAAAATCGAAGAAGAAAATTTATCATTTATCACCATGATGATTTTGATCAATTTTTTCAAATCATACCATTTCTGTTTATGATTAATTCTTCTTTTTTTCCAGAAATTACTTTGAATATAGAAAAGGAAAAATTTGTACGATTTGGATTTATTTCCAAAAAAACATTTTTAAAAAATTCAAAAAGGTTATTGATTTGCAAAAAAATGAATAAGGTCATGACCTTTATCGGGTGACCTTGTGTCACCGGTAATTTGAATAAATAGAAAAAAGTAAATGATTTTATTTTTAAAAAAAAAAATATTTTAATTATCAAAATTTTTGTCTCGAGATTCAAAAATCAATGATTTTGTTGTTTTTTTATTTGATGCAAAAAAAATTTAAGGTTTTTTAAATCAATCTTCCTCTTCATTTTTCGACATTTGAAGTTGATCAATAATCTGAACAAGCGGTATAATAAAATCTTTATGTTCTAATGGTTTAGTCCAATTTGGTGTTTTTTCAATCACCGAATCACAACGATCATTATCATCACCATAATCACCACAACCGGCATTCAATAAATCACCCACATAACCATTTAGTATATTTTCAACTTCAGGTAAGTTTTCCGGACAATCATTTTGGAACATGTTTTCTATATCAGTTTTGAATTTGTGATAATTGCTGATTTGTTTTTGTTTTTTTTGTTTAGAAAAAATTATTATCGTTATTAAATGAAAATTTTCATCAATATCATGATAAATTTTACTTACCAACAAAGCAATGGTATAGCCATATTTTGTTCTTTATTCAAATGTCTGATTGAATGAAAATCTCGATTCAATTGTGCCATATATTTGTTCAAATGTTTAATATTTTTATTGGCACATTTACCAAAATTTAAAAATGATTGTCGTTTTTTACTATTACGACAATAAGCACGATTAGTTTTGGTTATACTGTATAATAGGATCAATATATAACGATTTGTATCCGGATCATAACAATTCTGTGCATTATTCTTCACACATCGTTGTAATGGTTTTATATCACGACATCGTTTTTCCATCTGCTTTATATTCGTTGGAAAGATAAATTTTTCATCACCAATCATTGTTAATTTTTTGCTACAGGATTCCATTGCTTTATGATCACAAGCCGATCTGATTCGTTTGACAGTATTACGATTTTTTGCTGCCTGAACAACATTGTTATGATGATGATAACCAAGAATGAACAATATAATGAAGACAAATAATACCCGTAAAGATTTCATATTTTGCAGCTATTCTTTTTCGAATTGTTTTAGGTATTTAAGTTCAAAATAAAAAAATAAAAAAGTATATCGGATGTCTTGATTATGTCCAGCTTATTTATATACCGAAAATCTTACTGCTATCTTGCAATTCTTGCACGTAAACCATCGAGAAACTCTTAATATAATAACATTGTCATTGTATTGGGTGTAATATTTCATACCTGTTCAGCGATGACGCCAATCAATTGTGGAATGTTGTTTTTTTCATCTTCTTCTTACTTTCAAATAACAAATGACTATCACATGTAGATGTGAAAAGTCAAGATACCCAACAAAAAAAAGCAAAAAACAAACATATGATTGATTGAATAAATTTATATAATAATTTCATCATCATCATCATCATATTGGCAAAAGAGTTAATTTATTATCGACATTTGTTAGGGTACCGGTTGTTATTTGTTTAATTTTTCTACGATTGTGGTGTTAATCAATCAATGAAAATCTTGAATGAATTAAAATGTACATTTTAAAAAAAATTTTATCAAATGTAAAAACCAGAAAAAAAACATTGACAATAATGAATTTTTGCAGATATTTATTTATAAACAAAGATTATTTATCTAATAATGATAATGTTGACAAAAAAAACAAAATGAAATGAAATGAAATGAAATAAAATAAAATAAAATAAAATAAAATGATCACACATTGATTAATTTTCATCATATGTTGGTCGATTCAACACTAGTCAACAGTGAAGAATGTTGTTGTTGTTGTTGTTTAGAATTTTGTTGTTCATAATGAATTTTATCGTTATTATCTGTCATTTGTTTTGTAATTGTTGGTACTGTTTTCATTTTATTACTAGCTGGCATAAGCATAGATTTTTTAGCAAAATCCATCATATGTATGAATGGTGATTCAAATAATAAAGTGAATATGAATGCCAATACATATGAAATGGAAATCATACTAGCAAATAAAAATATAATCGCTGTTGGTCGTATGTCGATTAGATCACGTTTAGTACCGATCAAAACTGTAAATGTCCATGCATGGACTAGATAAACAGAGAATGTCATTCTTGATAATGGTCGTACAGCTGACCATGATAGTAACCGTCCAATCCACATTCCATTGCCAGTGATACAAAGCCATATGACCAATGTCAAAACTAATGCCCATATTAATCGATTTGAAGCAAAAATTAGTGCAGAAAAAAATGGTTCATATTCACGACCAAATAGATAAAAGCTATTCGAATAGATGCATGATAAATAACCAAACAGAGCCAGCATCCATAAAGCTATTTTCTTTCCCTTTATTCAAAAAAAAAAAAGGAATTGATCGTCATGTTTGATTAAATCCTTTTTCATTTTGGTAAAATAAAAAGCGTACCTTATTCATTTGTAATTTACAGGAAATTTCCGAAAGATTTTTATGTAAATAAGCACCAAAAATGAATCCAATGAAAAAAACATTACAATGATTCCATGGTTTATGAAAAAATTGTACCAATTCGCTTGGTTTGCCTTGTTCGTCAAGAAAATCGCTTTTAGTTGTCACCACATATCCTGGTGGTAATTGACCAATGTAAATAATTAGACTACTTATTAAAGTGAAAAATATAACTAAAAATTTAGCAAAAATTAATCCAATTCGAGGATTTTTAAGCATAGCAATGATGGGAAACAATGCAAGCCAATGTAATTGCATGTCGGCAGCAAGAAACCAAGTATGAATCGCACACTAATGATATTGATAAGCAAACAAATAAAGAATTTTTGTTCAAAGAAGGAAATATAAAATCATAATGTATACATACAATATTTTCATTATCAATAATGTTTTGCATGTAAATAAGGTTATGCCACCAAGTACGATGACATTGACCAATCATTCGGTCATTGTACATCGTCCAAAGAGGACCATCAAACATAATCGGCAATAGACTAGTGAGTAACATAAATGCAACCAGTTGTGGTGTCAATCGAAGATAACGAAGAACAATAAAGGCAATTGAATTAAAATTTTCAAGTTTTCCTTTTGTATATCCAAGTGTTATATATGATGTTAATAACCCGGTAATGTAGAAAAATGTTTCGACTGAAAAATGAGTTCGAAAAAAAGGTTGCTTTGTCAAATCGGAAAGACTTTCTTTGATAAGAAATGTATCACCTATATGAAACAAATGAATATTACATTGATGATTGATGGTGTTTTGTTTTTAACTTACGGAAAACATTCAAATTATTCCAATCGAGTGTATGACCCATTATGATCCAGCAAATGGTAAGAACACGTAAACCATGAATACAAGATAATTCATCATTTCCGCTCGATGATGTTTTAGTTGTAAATAGTTTACGACAATTTCGAGCCGGAGAAAAACATGTAATAAATTCGTTTCGGTCTGCATAATGTAATGTTATCCGTAGTAAAATTTTGACAATTTTTTATCTAAAAATATTTTTACCTTTTCCATCGTGTATGCAATCATTGATAAAAGCGACGATAGACAATACAAAAACTGTAATTAACATTAAACTAAAAAAGAATTTTTGAATTTCGATTATGATTTTATCATATTTGATTTATTTAACTTACATGGCAATGAATTGTGGTAAATTTGGACGCCATCGTTCGGTTGGTCGATGTTCACATGATAATTTTTTCAATTCAAGACCTATTTTTTCAGCATCTATAAAAGAAATAAACCATAACAGATTTAGATTGAAAAAAATCATCACAATAATTTAAAAATTTTTAATTCTATTAAAATCAATACCAGTGCTTGCTATCAGTTTAATATCTTGTATGCTACATGCTTTTGGAAGACAGATACCGAATTGAAAATTAGCATAATAAAATATGGATGAAATTTCTTCTAATCTATCACGATAAATAAGATTAGCAATAGAAGGACGTGATGGTCTAATTCGATGATTGAGATTATTATGTAAAGGCATTGGTTTAGGCAATGGTATCGATAAATCAATTAAACAATATTGTGGTTGTATTGGTGAATCAAAAAATTGATCAATTGAAAGACATTGATCATAATGACCATAATCGGTTATAGTACCCGTAAAAATACCGGATGGTGGTATACGAGCCCATGATTGAAATAAATACCATGCCCATTGATGATCATGATGTAATGATTTAAGACTTAACAATAGATCATGACGACATTCTTCACTTGGCCATTGATGAGTATTATTATCCGATGCCATCGACCAATACCATAATCGTTGATAATAATAATAATTTGGTCCAATCCATTTACCAATATGAAAATTGGTTTGAATAGTCGTCCAATAGCAATGAATGAATATCAACAATAATAAATATAGTTTGTAACTTTTGAACAAAGATAAAAACATTGTACCGGATTGTCGAACGAACAAATATTGAATGCTGGAACAATTATCATCCTCATCATCATCAAAATCATGTTCAACAATTCAAGAGAAATCTAGACAAAAAAAACTCACTCACTCTATACAATTGAAATCTACATATCTCAACTTGTTGTTATCATTTTGTTACAAGATCAAATCATATATTCAAATAAAACAAAAATGATGATGATAATAGAAAAAACCATACTGTGAACTAATGTGTATTAGGTTGTACACTTGAAACAATTGATGCATAATCTCTTCCGGTTGATAAATTCATTGTTCACAGTGAAAATTTTTTAAAAAAAACAACATGACAAAGAGACAAGTAGATCAATTGATTAAAAGTGTTTGCCCATATCCGTCGTATTGTTATGTTGCTCTTGATGGAGATTTTTTTTCTCTGGGAACTCAATTGTTTTCCAATGAAAAATGATCAAAGGATGAAGGTTTTTCACACTCTCTTAACATTGAATGCGGATAGCAATCAAATCATTTGGTCATCATCTCTGTTTGGATCGAATGATAACGAAATTGAATAAACAAAACAGAACTTTTGAAAAAATGAATGAATGAATGAATGTATTAACCAATCAATCATAATGGGCTCTTTATCGTATTGGAGAAAACACATCCCGATTGATAAACTGTATAGGAAATGTTGTTGTTATTTGTTTGATTGTTCAATTCATTTCTCCTGTCATATTTTGTTTTTTCGTTCTTTCTTTTTTTTTTTGACAGATTTTTTTCAATGTTTTTGCATTTTTTTTCTCAAATTAAAATTAACCAAAACGATAAGAAAGAATATTCAAAATAATGAAGATTTTGACAGCTACCAGTTTTTTTGAAATTGATAGTGGATTAACAAATTCAGCAAACGAAACTGGATTTTTGGAGAAAAAAAAATTGAATAAGACTAATGATGACAAATCAAGAAGGCAATCAATTTTGTTTTCCTAATAAATGGAATCAAATGATGCTTTGAAATCTTCAAAAATTTCAATTAAGAATGTAATCATAGTTATTGGATATAATATTCTCAAGAAAAAAAATTATATTAATTATTTCGAAGTTCAAGGTGAATTAATAATAACTTTTTTTATGCATAATCATTATGGATTTGTAATTAATGAAAGAAAAATATTCTTTTTTTTAAAGAAAATATTATTATTAATACGTTACCTTTTAGAATGGTTTCAAGATCATTTTGATTGCAAGTGTTTGGCATACATATAGCCATCTCAATATTTGTATAATAAAATATTGATGAATATTTTTCCAAATGTTCATATATGGTTGATCCATTATGATGTTGAAAATTTTCAGGTAAAAGACCAATAGTTTTATGAAAAAAATTATGATGTTTTGGCTGTGGTTTTGGCATTGGCATAGCGAAATCTACTAAACAATATTGTGTAGGAATTGTTGATTTGTCAATAGATAGACATTGATCATAATCACCGTAATCAGTAATAGTTCCACGAAACATTCCACTTGACGGCACTTTCGACCATGAATCAAACATTTTAAAAGCCCATGTTTGTCGATTTCTTGATGGTTCAAACATTTCGGCCAATGATTCACGAATATCATGACGACAATTTTTACTTACATTCATCCATTCATTAGCTATTTCGGTAAGATTTAATAATCTTGGCATAAATAATTGTCGAATAGTATCATCACTTATATTAAGCAATGGTTGCCATTTTCCATCGATTACCGGTGTTGTAGATGATTGTATCGATTTTGTCGATATTGATTTGAATGAGATCAAAATAGTTATAATCACAACACAATATGAAACCATTATTATTGATGGCCATTTAAATTTTCGTTCATAAAATTGATACATTTAAGCAAACATTAAGCCAAAAATAAAAATAAAAATAAAATAAATAAATGATTGAATGAATGCAACCATTGAATTCAAAAAGTGAATGAAATTCTGATCGTTAAAGAAAAACATTCTTGCTATTTGCCAATCAATTTATATACTAAAGTCATTTTCGAAAAATTTTATTGATTAGGGTAGAATGAAAGATAGGATAGAATAAGAAATGAAAATTGTCATTAAGCTATGGTAAGTTTAATGATTATGGAGCATCATCATCAGTATGTGTATGATGTATGTATGTGTGTGTGTGTGTTTGTGCGTATGCAACCAAACTTCTAAACATTTTTATCGAATTTCAAGGATTATTAGGATGTGGTCATCTCATGATATGATGATGATGATGACGACAACGATGAATTATGGTAAATAGGAAAACTACCTTTAATGATTGAAAATGGGCGTTTTTTATATATAACCATTTTTTTTACTTTGTTGATCTTTTTCGTCTGTCTGTCTTTCCGTTTGGTTTTTTGTTTCGCTAAGCATCAACATCATTTACCATATAAATCTTAATGAATTAAACGATTTTATTTTAAGGGGGGAAAAAAGCCAATTTTTTTGTGATTCGATCATATATGATAAGATAGGAAAAAAAAGATGGACAATGTTCAACTTATTTAGATAAAAGTTCATACCGAAGAAAAAAATATTATCACTTATTATCCATCCATCAATCAATCAATCAATCAATCGATAAATTTAATCATTTTAATATTGAGGAAAAAAATTGATTGTATTCTCTCATAAAGAATAATTCAATCTATTTGTTTGTTTGATCATAGAATGAATGAATTATGAATGATGTATTTATGAAATTTACGACTACAACTAAATAATCATAATCATCATCAACGAAAACAAATCATCATCAATGCATATTATGAATTTTAGATAATGATTGAACAAAAGAATGAAAATTTTTCTTTGTATCTTTAAAACTGATATTAATGATTAATCATTTGATGATTACTGATTGTTTTTTTTTCAACGTTTTTTTTCGGCTGGCAATAAAAGAAAATATACATTTCTCAAAAATGTAGCCTGAAACAATGATGATGATGATGATTTGAAATGACAAACATGTATATTTTGTATCGTGTATAATTACTGAATGATTATGATGGTCCTTGAAACGATTCGAATAGAGATTGAAATTAGCGAATTCATTTTTTTTCGTTTCGTTTCGTATTTAATTGAAAAAAAACACGCAACAATAACCTTGATCTTGAACGAACGAACGAACAAACAAATTATTATCAATTTCATTTGATGCATTCAACAAAGAAGATGAAAAAATTGCATTCAATGTATCATATCTAATGATAACACACAGCCTGAATACACTATACAAACTTGGAAATTAATGAATAAACTATCGGAAGGTCATCTAGTTTTGCCATCCATTAAAAGAGATATATTTAATTTTTTTTTGAAACAATTTCAGTTGATGCGAAAATAATGCATTTGAAATCCAAAATCCAAAAAATTGCAACGGAACATGTAATTTCGAGTGAAAATGATTAAACCCTCAAATTTGAGAATTTGATTAATTATTTTTGTTAAATTATTAATTTTTCTTTATTAATTATCTTTTAATATTTATAAAATAAAGCCGAATCTTATTTTTTTTTTATCAGTGATGATTCTTAATTTAGAGTATCACATAATATTCCAATTAATGCTAGGCAATGAACTTGATGTTTCCATTAAATAAACAATTTGTTCGGGTATACCATGACGAAACCACATTTTATATAATTTTTCATATGCTGCTTCCGAAAGAAACATTGGATGACCACGATATAGACCAAAATCTGTTTCACCGAATTTGTCCACATATGGTGATGCTAGATAACAACCTATGGCTATAAGAATAAATAAAATAATTAGTGATAATGATTGTTTTTGAAAATGACATTATAATACCTCGACTTTTTGATATTAATAAAAGTATCTTGTTATCACGTATACGTAGAAAGATGCCTGTCGAAGCAGAACAATGGTTTGAATGATAGTTACAGGCACCCACCGGTTTTTTACCATGTTGACAGCAATAATTTTGCGAACAAAGAATTTTCCCACATATTAAACACATTGTTGGGCATCGACTTTCACCGCCATTCGAATTAGGACAAGTAAAATTTACCATTGAATTTATGAGATCACTGAAATCGTGTGGTAATGTTACCAAACGATTGATTTCATGAGGCTGTCGTAGGTAGGCATTAGAAGTGGTCAAACATGTACGAACAGTATTAGCAGTTCTTTGTTCGAACAATGTCGATATTTTAGGGTGTCTTGTCCAAATCAGGCACAAATGACGTAGATTGGTTGATTGCAATAATGAACCGAGATCGCGTTCGATGGCTAGATATCGACACAACATATCATATTCGACTGTCACAGGGATTTTTTCATCTTTACTTTGATTACGCAAACGTTTTGGCCATCGAATTTCTGTAAGGAAATAGGCTAATAATGCGGTTGTTCGAAGAAACGGCAATGTGCGCTGTTTGATGAAAGTTTCGATTTTGCTTGCATTAGCCAACATTTCATCTTCAGAAAATTTATGACCAGCGGCCATCAGTACGTCTTTACAAAACGAAGCCACTAACAAAGAATTATTAGACAAATTCAATTTTGAATCAGCATCTACATCATTAGATTTTGATTGTGATGGTTTAATTTCGCTGCCATCAACATCCATTGGTTCGGTTGTGTTATCATCGACTAAATTATCATTGGTCAATACAATCTAATGATTGATAATATGATAATCAAATTTACATTAATTTTCGACAAATAGCAAAAAAACAATTGCGAAATTAAATGACGTACCTGTACAATATGATAAGTTAACATCAATTCAATAATATTACACTCAAAATTATTGCCAATAGGCATTATGAAATTTTTAGGTTGTTTTGTCTGATCATCTTGGTGATGTACCCAAAGACGATTAGATCGATTATTAGGCAAATCATCAATGAAAAATGAAGGCGCAGTTATCACTAATGAAACCAATAATGTAAATGCATCAACATCTAACAAATGATAAGGACTCGATTGATAAACGGTTGTGACAAGCAGGTAATTCATCAAATATAGAAACACGCGACGTTGATGCAAAGCATTCATAAAGTTTGATTCTACTTGTGCTATTTTGATCAATGATTTTAAAGATTTATATTGGCGAGTATCGATCATCTGATTCATTGATAAACGTTTAAGTTCATTTAGACGCATCGAACGTTCCATTACTTGAAGTGTATATGATATCGACCAGTTCAAACATTGGATCAAATCATGTGGATCATCTAATCCTGATGCCAATGCTTTGTCAGGACACTGATTATTGAAAATAAAAATCAGATAGATTGTTAAAATTAATTCTAATTATACTTACGATAGTTTTTTGGATTATCATTTTATAAAAACTGCCCACAATTTCACAACGTGTATCACGTTGTGATTCGACAGTGTCCGCATCAATCATTGGATGTCTATTTAGATCATATTCATGCTTGAAGGATTGCATTGTCTGTCGCAATGAGTCATCGGTCAATGCATCGATTAATTGCGTAAAACCTTTAGAAAATCCAGGAACTTTGCCTAATGAATAAACTTAAAAGTTGAACACACAAAACAAAAATATAAAAAAGATAAAACATACCCAGATCATTGACATCATTGATCCAGATTGTGTTACAATTTTGTAATATAACCAACATTGCATTAAGCCATTGATCCATGGTCATATCTGTGGTAAGTGTTGCCGGTTGTATGGATTGATTCAATGAAGGCATAATGGGTATGGTTAAATTCGATAATGTTCCACACAAAGGACAAAGAAATTCACGTTTTTCTAGATCATAAGTAACTCTAGGATAACGATGAGGATTTCTACGACGTTCGTTCATCATAGTGGTTTCAAAATATTTATCAAAACAATCATTATGCATATAATGAGTGCAGGTATTTATGAATGGACCGAAATTATGATCTGATCTTGTTAGCATAAAATTAATATTTTCCGTATCTTTCCATGTAGAAATCGATCGATTCTTCGACAAAACAGTCGATTGTTGAATGAAACCAGCCAAAAGTAAACATCGACCATTGTTTGCATTTATATCTTGATCTTCAAGACAAAGTATACAGGTAAATAAATCACCCGATTTTGCTCCACTATGAGCAGTACATTGTCTCCCAAATGCAACACCAAGTTCGCAATCATTTTCACTATTCACGTCGTCCATGGATACATCATCGCTATTATTTTCAATAGCAACAGGATTTTCTTCAAAATATTTTTCATTCTCCTTTAAAAAGGATAATTGTTGTTGTTGCATTAGCTGTAGGATTCGTTTCTGACGTTCTGCGGCCAATTTTTGTCGCCGTAAACGTTCTTCTTCCTGAAGATGTCCAAATGTCGTAGAATTCAAATTCTGTTCGACTAATTGCTGTTCAATCTTCGATGAAGATGATGATTGTAGCTGCATTACTTGTTTGAAACGATTAAGACACCAATCATAAAGACCTTGATGCATTTCAACACGTGACAGTATATGACGATTGGAACATTGTTCCAATAATGAAACGATATTGAAATCAATGGCACGTTGGCTAAATTTGAAACTATCTGGATGTTTGAGTTCTTCATTCAATGCTATGCCAATCAAATAAAGACATTTTTGAAATTGAAAATCCGAAAAATAAATATCTTCGAGATTGATCGTCTTTTCCAGAAGACATTTTAGTAATGTTAAAGTAACATCACACAAAAGAATCTGATTAATCGATTGAAAAGGTTGTTCAAAATCGGGCAATGGTGGTGGTGGACAACATAGATATTTTTCCTTTTGACTACGCTTAATTCGCATTTGTGTTTCAAATGCAGCCGATTGATCCTGACGAGTATAATGGTAAAAAAATGGATTGAATCGTTCACGATACGTTTCTTTCAAAACATATCGACCAGCAGTAATTGATGTGGATGATGAATGACGAAATTCGGCAACTTCTGAAATTAAATCTTCAACATTTTTTTCAGAATTTTCTTCAGATAGATGTTCAAATAATTCTGAATTGGACATTGATTCTTTGCATAACCATTGTATTATTTCGTTTTTACAACAATCATCCTCAGTGACTGCACCAAGTCTCAAAGTATATCGTTCGACTAGAATCGTATAAATGAGACGAAGAAATTCTTCTAATAATGTAATCTGATGTCGAGTAGAATCATCATTGCGTTCATTGGGTGAATGTCGACGATCATCTAACATGTCATTGACTGAATATTTATACATCACATGTATCATGAATTCATTTGGATCAAGCATAGCAGCACAGATTTGAAGATTCAATATATCCAAATCATAGGTTGTAGCACGTAGACTAGGGCTTTGATAGAAATGAATTTGATTGATGAAAGAATAGCCATTTCGACGCCACATTCCAGCACGAAATTGTCCAAGTAATACTTGGGTTCTTAAAGCTAATTCCATCATTGATTCGACGTTCAATCGATATGGTGTCAATCGATTATTATTACTGCTATAATCAGCATATTCATTCCAGAGATCTGGAAATTTTGGCAAATATAACATTAAGCCAGCCAAAAATCGCGATAAAGGTATATGAATGCTCATTTCTTTTCGGCCTACATTATAATCCCAAACCATTGCCGAACGAAATGCATAATGGCGAAGAACAGTCTTAGATCGAGAATTAGTCTCTGGATTCTCATTTGTTTTATCACCACCATTGGCATAATATTCGAATGAATCTTTTGCCAAACGTAAACAAATGTTGAAAACTTTCAAATATACTTGCGGATCTGCTACTGACCAATCGATAAATGATTTAATTAAAGGGGAAATTACAAATTCAAAATTCATTGACATATCACGGCCAGGTTCGTATTCGATATGTTGTACAACTTGTCGTATCATTGTTTCCATTTGTTGTGTTCGTTTTAATAATTTGGCAAACGCTTCGGCACTTTCTATGAAATGGGCACGAATACGATCATTCCATTTAAATGAATCAGATATTTTCGGAGTTAGTAGATAACGTAAATCTTTTAATGCATGGTAGGATCGTTTGAATGGTGGAGTGTGTGGTACTGTAGAAAAATTAAAACGACCTTGTTGATGATATGGAAAATTCAATTCAAGAAAAGTATTGATTAGAATTGTCATTGCATTTTCCTCTTCAATTAACATGCTAGCAATCGATGGAACAGTATAAAACTGTACAGATAACGATAATAACGATACATGTTCTTCATGATCATCTTTAATGAAATCTTGTAACAAATGAGGATAGTGTCTGGTAAATAATCGGGCAAATTGTTTTTTTGGCTCTAGATCAAGTAACAAACCAGACATGAACATTCTATGCCATAGAATACGAATAGATTTCCAAAACCAAGTATCCGAATACATAATCTTTTCTAACAAACTCAAATTGGCCATCGAAGATTGTTCTTCAAAATCAAACCGAACAAAATGATGGCCAGGCTGATAAAGATAATCAGCCAACACCTGACGAAATTGCATACAAATTGGCAATAATTCCATTATCCAAACCATCAATTTGGTGACAAATGTCTGATGAGCAACCAGATCTCTACAAAGAACTTTAACTTCAAGAACCTTTTCTTCGTTCTTTCGATTAGTATCGCTAATAATAGATTTCACAGTATCGCAACGGTCTTTCGTACCAATAAATATGACACAACGTCCTTCACGATCAACAGTATTAGCATAATCCGTAGCTTTTTTATTATCGCATTTGATAGATTTTTCCAAAGCATGAGTAACATGTTCATAGGTATGAGTTTCATCATTGTAAAGAACAGATGCGTATCCATTAATTTCATGTTTATCCGATTGCGATGATTGCAATCGTTTTGGCAAATCTGTTCTATTCCATTTGAGCAACAAATAGATATAATCAAGCACATAATGAATAACGATTCGCAATCGAGCTAGCATATTATTAAATTCCTGTTCTGTCATCAATGATAAAATAGCCGATAAATCAGAATCTATTGAATTTTTTGCAGCATGTAAAGAACAAATAGCATCACATTTCCAAGCTTCAGGATCACCACAATCACAATAGCCACAACTTGAATGACTAATCCGATAACGATGTTGACGATGTACACTTTATATGATTATGATCAATAAAAATAAAAAAAACAATAATAATAAATTAATGAATTATTAAAATTCTAGAATTTAATCATTCAAGATTATTACCTATTTTTAAAACAATCAACACATAATACACAGGTAGGATCAGATGAACAATCACGACAACTATAATTAGGTTCACCTAATTTAAAAACTCGACCACATATTTGTGGTGGTTTTGAAATTATCTTTAATTTTGCTAATAATTCTTGTGATTGTTCTGTACCCGTAATAAAACATTCAAGTGGTTTTATTAATTCTTCGTGGACACGTTGTTCGTCAAATGATTGCTGTAATAAAGCGAATTGTGGACGGAATATTTCCGGAACAATACGTATCCATTGTTGTTCAATTAAATCGATAAATGCTTCTCCTTGACCATTATCATGACCGATTGATTTGGCATATTCAAGTATTAATGATGTTTCAAACATTTGTGATTTTGCTTTCAACTGTTTTTGTGAATTATCCATAATTTCATGAGTTCAATAATTTTACTGACTAACAAACAAAAAAAATCAGCAGTAACGAATTTCACAACGTGAGCAAATAAATTTCGTGAAGATTAGCCTATGAATCACAGAATAATTCGATTAGAAATCAACATACAAGTACACATAAACATGCGTATATATAAAAACAAAAACAAAAAAAAAAAGATTGGCAACATTCAATTTATTGAGCGAATATAAAATATAAGAGAATAACAAGACAAACATTATTTTTATTTTAATAGAATTTTTTTTTGAGCTGTATACAGAATACATAGAAAACTAAGCAAACAAAACTGCAGAATATTTTCAAGAAAAAAAATTTTTGAATACACTTACTTAATGATTTCGAAGAAGTCAAAAAGTGAAAAAAATATATTAATGAATAAATGAAAAGATCAGCTGTGAAAAAAAAACCAGAAACAAAAGAAAACATCAGAAAACAAAACACTATAGATTGGATAAAAGTAAAATTTGGTTGTTGTGTTGTTAGGTTTCCAAGCCAAAAAAAGAAAATCTACGCATAAGCAACATGATGATGGTAAACACATAAAACTCAATCGTAACAAATAATGATAATCTTTTTTTTCAGTTTATTAATTTTTATTCATGATACGAAAACAGACAAACATTTGAATCAAACTATTTTTTGATCTGAATTATTTTATATATGTGAAATATTTAAGAAAAAGAAAAGATAATTAATTATAGATAATCTATTATAAATTTATTTGAAACCAATTGGTTCTTTCTGTTGTTGTTGTTCGGTAATATTGAAAACAATTTTTATGCTACTGCAATTATGCGCATAAATATAGGTTTACAAGTAAATATAAAATGCTCGAATTCTATTCACATTGAATGTTTGTAGATGGCGTAATGGATACATTTGGCGTATTAATAATTTGTTTCATTATCATTTACATTGAAACTTTAGTTTTAGATAAGGAATTAGTTTTTTTTATTAAAAAAAACATTGTTTTTATTTCAATACATGTGTACAACAATTGATTACATAATTATGATGATGATGATGAATATAAAATATTTGTAGCTATGATCATGGGATGGTTATATGATTATGATGTATGTGTGTATAAATGAATAAAAATTAACAAAAATTTTAATGAGTTTTACACAATATGCATCGTATCGATTTTTTTATGAAAAATTTAAGATAGCAACAAAATTTTTTTTTAAAAGAAGACTATTGTTGCGTCTGTTGCATTATAAAAAAAAATTATCGTGGGACGCTATTTGGCGATGATATAATTGCCGGCTGAATAGGTTGCGGTGTTGGCAATAAGGCCGGTGTGGATCCACCAGAATTCCAAGATTGATGATGATGCATATGAGGATTAGAAGATGCTCCACCATTAGATGGATATAAATTAGTAGTTGTTCCCACAAGTGGTAATGGTGGTGGTGGTGGTAAATGACGATTATATCCCATAGGTGCCATATTAGGTGGACGTTGTGAGCGTTGATCATATGGCCTTTGTTGATGATCATTAGACCGATTATTATATGGCGTATTATTTTTATTAGGCGATGATGAATGATGATAATATCGATTGGAATCATTATAAACACCTGTTCCGCTGCTATTGTTTCTATATCCATCATGTTTTGATGACCATGAGGAACCGCCATGATGGCCACCACTACTTCGATCATAATCACTACGACGATCATGATATGAATGTTTACTAAACTTGACAGGGGGACCACCGCCGATTCCAGCAATAGGTCCGCTGCTAACATTGGAACCATGATAATCTCGTTTCAAGCCGGATGATTGTCCTGGCGTTAGAGATGGAGGTTGTCGAGGATATTGATGATTCGAAGAATTACGATAATCCCCACCTCCTCGATTCATCGACATACGATTATCATATCTATCATTTGAATGATGATAATGTTCATTCATGCGATTCGTTGCCGATGATCCAGCTTGATTCATTGATAGTCCTTTTTCCATCGAGCTCGATGATTTTGATGACGGATAATGATGATGACGATCATGATGATGGCTCGAAGATGACACTTGTTTGGTTTGTTTCAATTTCCTATAATGTTTATACAATTTTTTAGCTGGCAAATCGGTAAATTTCGAAACAAATGTCCATAAGTTATTACGCCATTCACGCATTTTGGTCGAATCTTGATTATAATCAAGTAGACATTTGTCAATATGGGCACCAATCAATGAAACATATTCATAAAAACGTTCACGATGTTCCGAGTTGGATAGTTCTTCTACTTTGTTTAATGCTTTCAAAGTTTTTTTCATTGCACGCATTTTTTCCTTACATTCGCTAAATATTTCATCATTGAGCTCGTCAACTGAACGAATAGAGTAGTTTGAACAATTTGTTGTCGTACTGTCGGCTGCAGAATCGGATAAATGTTGTTTTTTCGATGTTTGATTTGTGATCGATGATGAAGATTTTTTTTCTTTTTTACGTTTTTTATCTTTGCGTTTTTTCTTTTCTTTATGTTTTTTATTTTCCGGCGTACCATTAACCGCTGATTTATTTTTATTCTTTCCAGACGAATTTTTTTTCGTTGATAATGATGATGGAGATGAAGGAGAAGCCAATTTAATGCTTTCTTTGTTTTTAGTTTTGTTGTTTTTATTCTTTGTAGTAATAACATGATTTATTTGTGATGATTCTACACTGGTTTTTTGTTGTGGTGCAAGATGACGATGCATTATTTTCAACAAAAATTCAACACGAGATTGTAGCTGTTTAGGCTGTGGTTTCCGGTCACCGTCAGGCAACATCTAAACAAAAACATTGTAAAAACATACATGAAAATTATTATTTTTTCTTCAATTACCTTATCGGCTAATTTATAACTAGGATCCATTTTGATAGCTTCCCAACTGCCTAAACCATATTCATACACACCAGCTAATAATCGTGAATCATCTTCAATTGTCCATGGACAATCCCAACTTGCAGATTTGATTTTGATTCCAGTCAACACCCATCTAATCATAATGATAAAAAAACATTCAAATAAATTATAATTCAATTATTTTCAAATTAAATTCAATTACTTTTTTCTTTCTTCCGGATTCGTTGGTAACATTATGGACAAAGGTTCCAGATCTTTCTGTGTGGATAAAATGCCTCTGGCAAAAACAGTTACACCACCCAATTTGAAGCTAGGCCCTCGATTATTTTTCTTAGCTGTCCCTACAAAAAAAATAAATAATGATTTAATACAAAAAACAGAAATAAGATTGAATAAAAATAAATACCAGATTCATGCGATTGGTTTTTTGTTTCTGATTCTTTGATCGCTATTCTACAACTTTCTTCAAGTTGCATGGCTAATTGCTGTAAATCTGGAAGTGGTTTTTCCTGCAATTCAGCATCAATCGCAATCGATTCTAGTCGATTCATAGGAGTCGGAAATTTACGATAGCTTTTAATGAATCGTCGAACTTCTTGTTCGCTAAATCCTTTAATCAATTCTTTGTATGATGACTTTGGTCGGCCACGTCGTCTTGGTCGATCACCATCCGATTCATCAGAGCCAGATTCATTTTTAGCGTTTGGATCATATTCATCACACGAATCCGATTGATTTCCGTGTCCACGATCCATTCTGGATTTATTACGGCAACGTGGTACCATCATTTCAATTTCTTCTTTATGGCGTTCATCGTTTTCGAATTTAATACGTTCGGACTCCGGAATGATTTCATCCCAATCTTTTTGATTTTGTTCACCAGATGTAATGCCTGATGAAACTGCCTGTACATCTTCTTCTTCATTAAAATTGAACGATGCAACCTTAAATGAATTTAACAATTCATCACCAAGCGTTTGTGGGCCATCATCGTCTTCACGAGTTTCGGCACGTTTTAGAATTTCATCAATATCACATTGAGGTTCTTCATTATCAGTTTCCGTTTCTTTGAATAATTCTTGGGCACCAAATTTAAGAATGGCGCTCAACTCTTCTTTATTAAACGGCGTTGTTTTGGTAGAATTGTTGGTATCTTGAAGGGTAGTTGTAAGATTATTGGAGGACGACATGAAGGTATGTCCTGATGTGTCCATTCGTTGGATGACTAGATGATCGAGAACCATTTTGCGTTTAGCTCGTTCGATTATATCTTCTTCGACAGAGGCTTTTGTAACCAAGCGGTAAATATTCACCTGATTTTTCTGGCCGATTCGATGTGCACGGGCTTGTGCTTGTAGATCATTTTGTGGATTCCAATCAGAATCAAAAATTATCACAGTATCGGCAGTAGCCAAATTAATTCCAAGACCACCGGCTCGAGTCGATAGAAGAAAACAAAAATCTTGCGAACCTTCAGCATTGAAATGTTCGAGCGCTTGCTTACGAAATTCACCGCGAATCGAGCCATCCAAACGTTGATAGGCAAAACGTCTAAGTGATAAATATTCACCCAAGAGATCCAACATTCGTACCATTTGTGAAAAAATTAAAACTCGATGTCCGGTTTCTTTTAAACGGCAAAGTAATTTATCCAAAAGTAATAATTTACCACTTCCACGGATTAGCTGCTGAAGAGGATCTAGATTAGCATATTCATCGAATGGTCGTACAAGGCTTGCATGGTTACAGCATTTTTTCAGCTCCATCACAATATTTGTAAAACTGGATACCGATCCTTTTACACCTTTACTTAAGGCTTTATAGTTTTTCGTAAGTATCCATTTATAAAATTGTTTCTGTATAGAAGTCATATCTACTCGAAGAATTTGTTCCACTTTGGCAGGCAATGATTTTTCGACATCTTTTTTAACTCGTCGAATTAAATATTGTTGCAATTGTGAATGTAATTTGCTAAAACCTTTCTGGTAAGCATCTTTATGTTCGGATTCAAAAAATTCCCAAGAGTCAAAACGATTTGGCATTATAAAATGCAATAATGCCCATAGTTCACGAAGTGAATTCTGCAAAGGCGTACCAGTAATCAAAAGTCTAAAATTCGTATCAAATGTCGACAAACATTTGTAAAGAAAAGATTCATCATTCTTTAAACGATGTGCTTCATCGACGCCAAGCACTGCCCATGGAACCAATGCAAGCAATGATTTTTCACGCATCAAAATCTCATAGGTGGTCAGCAAAACATTGAATTTTATCCGTTGGGTAGTGCCTTGCGAATACCATTCATATTCACGGATCATATGGCGGCTGGTTGCATCGCCAATATAAACGACAACATTCATTGATGGTGCCCAATTTTCAAATTCTTTTTGCCATGCCGCCAGCGTTGATAAAGGAACAACCAAAAGGAATGGACCAAAAAGTTGATGATGATTATACAGATAGTTGAGAAACGATATCGTTTGAATTGTTTTACCAAGGCCCATTTCATCGGCTAAAATCACTGAATTATCACGACACCAAGATTGGGCTAGCCAATTAAGTCCATCCAGTTGATAATCTCTAAGTTTAAGCTGATCAGGACCACCAATAAAAGATGGCTGCGTTTTCATGGGCACAAATTTTGGTCGTTGTTTTAACACTCGGCAATATTTCGCCGGAATGTTTTGCGATTTTTCTCTCTGATAATATTCATTAACTTTTGACTTAAACTTTTTAGATATTAAGGCTCCATCTTCCCAGGTACATTCTCCATATGGTAATCCATCCCATTTACATAAGTATTCTGGAAAACAGGTTTCAGAAACACCGATTTTGGGAGGTTGATGGGCAATAACCCTTTCGACGTTCAAATGTAATTGTCGAAGTTGAGAATTGAGTTCTTCTTGACCTTCATAATAATCAATGTCTTCAGGTGATGCCGTTTTTTTCCTTTTGAAAAATAACCAATATTGTATTCATTAATTATTTAATCATCGAATACTTACCATATTCTAATTTCTTCATCGCGTTTCTGGTAAAGCTCGATTTTTTTCACACCACGTGCTTTTTGCTCTTCCAATGATTGACGTGATTCCCAAGTACAATGAATGTATGACCAGCCTTTCCATTTGATCAGAAATTGTATTTCTTTTGGCTCGTCAGAATCATCAGTACAGCCAGCATTCGGATCACCATTTTCATCAATTTGATATGAAGCAGTTTTAGGCCCAGTGGCTCCCAAACGTCCCATTCGATGCTCGAGCACTTTTTCAATCATTTCACCTTCTTCTTCTTCAAACTCTATCACCTGGGAAGAACCATTTTGACCATCCTCATTTGTATTAGTATCTGCTATCAGATCATCAGAATCTGTGTAATCCGACTCTTCTTTATAACTTATCGCCTGGTTTACTGTAGTACGTCTGGATGTTTTTTTCCGGTTACTACTGCCCGTAGAACTATTTCGACGGCTACGGCCGATGGATTCATCATCGTCGTCATCACTTTCGGATTCAGAAAAAGATTTTTTGGTCGCTGCCATGGCACGTTGGCTAGCTCGACGATTCGACTGTGGACGTTGTCTATTTTTTCTAAAATTTCTTGATCGTTTCGATGATCGATGTTCTGGATCAGAATCGAAATCTTCAGAATCTGTATCATCATCGTCGTCATCTTCATCATCGTCATCATAATTGTCAACACGGTTACGATTTTTCCATTCATCAGAGCTAAGGAAAAGTTCAAAAAATAGAAAAGTCGTATTTATCAATTTTTTTTTATTACATACTCTTTTCGTTTTCTTTGTCTTCGTTTTGCTTTTGAATCACTATCATCAGAATCATCACCGTATGTTTCTGCTTGAAATCGATCTGGTTCTTTTCGAGAACGTGAAGATCTTCGTAAAGCATCGGGAAAATTTTCCAAAATCTAAATCATGGCAAAAAGCCCAATCAATATGAATAGACGTAAAAGAATTGTTAGAACGAACCTGTTGTATATCTTCTTTATTGCAACCATAATTCACCGATTGTGATTGTAACGTATGTGGCGCTATCGTTTCAATAGTTTCATTATCATCTGACTCATTTTTTGCAGTAACTTTAGGTGCATTTATCGTAGTATTACTAAAAACGTATATTAAAATTGAATTCAATATTTATAATTACTGTTGAAAAACTTACTTTGTTTTTTGTTGTTTTATACTTGATTTATCACTATCCGAATCATTGGAAGAATCATCGGATGATCCAGATGATGATGATGATGTGGAAGATGAACCAGATGATGAATGGCTAGATAATTCGGAACCTGATTCATCACTGCCATCGCTTTCATCATCATCGTCATCATGTCCGGATGAATCAGCTGTTGGGCCAACACTCATGCTTTTATCATGATTTTCACCGCGCACAACATGTTGACTGTCCTGCTTGCTGCTATTATCTTTTTCGTCGCTGTTATTGATGCTATTATTCGTATTGTTCATGGACAATTGATCAACATCCATCCATTCAGATTTATATTACAAAAATAATCAATAACTGTCAAACCGTTTGACTGAAAAAAAATATTACAAAGCATTTATCAAAGATCAAGAAACAAATTGACTGAATTTCTAAATTATGATTCTGATACGTACCGGCAAATAAAATTGATTCTTATGAACAAATTTTCAAATGTTTTGGACATGCAAAATAAAAATTTCGAAAAAAAACAAATTCTTTAAATAAATGGACACTTGTTTGTAACAATTAAATTGATCGATTTGTGTTTGTTATTAAACACCAAACCAAAAAAAAATCGATATTCTTTATGGTCAATCAATGAAAAATAAGGTTCAATCAATGATTTATTGAATTAAATGTTAGGGTAATATGGAACAAAAAAAAAACACAAAAAGAAATGTATAAATATTCTGAATATTAAAAAAAAACATTAGATCACATCGAGAACAGATCAGACCAGACGACGAAATTTCACACACACACACACCATCAAACAATCATCCAGTTGAGACAGATGTACGACATCATCATCATCATCATATTCTTTAGTTTACTCGCCAAACAATAGAATTTAATGCTACTCCCATTGCTAAGGCTATTAAATGCTAGACGCATAATCAACAGAAAAACAAAAACAACATGGTCGATTTGAAATCAATTGGCGCCAATGCTACTACTACTAAGATCATCACTAAAACCACTGGATACTTGTAATGTGAGCAGTTAAATCGGCAATTTTATTTTCGGTTTCAAATGAATAAAGTTACTCTTTTGTCGCTTTTCGTTAATACTCATATTGTAAAAAAAAGAAGACAAATTGCGACGAATAATAACAACAGTTACAATACAAAAATTGGACCAGAAATTAGCAAAGGACGCCATCTATAGCGATAAAAAAGAATCTACAGGCTGACACGCCAAATTATTGTGCATTAATAGTGTAATCTGGCAACCAATAAAGCAATTGGCGATGGTGAATGCATCGTCGACAAGGACGATTCAATGTTAAAGCACTGTTTCCACATGTTCATTCATTGTTATGTCAAAATGGTTGTCGCTAATGGAATGGATGGATTTGAAAAAAATTTGCAGAATCACAATCTGTTTGAATTTCATTGACGAAATAGTCATGTAGATTTTATTCTTATCAAATTGGTTTAAATTGTTAACAAAATTCATTGATGTTAAATGTTGAATGAATTCTCTTGTAATTCTGGATGAATCGAGATGTCAGACAATCAATATTGTAAAATGAATGAATCATTATCAATAATTAGACAATGAAAAAGACAATAATAATAATAAAAGTCTTTATCGATGAAGTTATCATTCAGGATGAATATCTGTTGATCTGATAATTTAAACTTGTTGAAAATGATAAATTGAAGAATTCGTTTAATCAGCATTTGTTGAAAAGATATAATAATTCTAAAAGAGACAAAATTTAATCAGTTGATATAGTTTGATCAATTCAAAAATGAATACATACCTTGAATATTTAGTAAAATTAATTTTAAAAAACCATTTTGCTTTGGGCAGTTCCAGATTAATCACAAAAAATTATGAATGGATTTTATTGTTGTGAGGACCAGCACTCATTCGTATCGATATACAACTAATTCAATGATGTTAATGAACTGAAATAAAATATAAAAAAAGCTTATTAGTCATATAATTTTTCTTTTGAAAAAATAAGTTGTTAATTACAATAAATTTAAATTATATAAGAATCATTCAATCAAAACGGCTCAAGTTCAATGAACAACCTATTACAATTGAGACAGCTGATTTATAATGACCAGCTTATGGTCATTGACCTAAATATTGTCTAATTACATTATTTTTGACATATTTACACAGTGACAGGTAAAAAGCGAAATCTTGAGTTAATTTGCATAAAATGGTTAAAAAAACATCAATGTCAAAATCATGGCTAATAAAGGTAAAAAACTAATTAATTATAACTGCTTTGCAATTGAAAATGAAAAAATTGATTAAAATGAAGAAAAATTTGAGAAACACTCACTAGGAAAACGGAAATCAATAAAATTCAATTAAATAAAAATTCGAATCAATTAATAAAAATCATTCGATTTTAGATAAATTAGATTTTTTTCTATAAAAGTTTAACAAAAATAATTAAGACAACTATTTCCGCTATACTTAAGGTTTGTAATAAAACGGGTACAATTAGTGAATTGTATACTTCCGTTATGAATTTGAAATAATAAAATTTTAAAAAAATTGGTTCATACAAAAATAATAACTATGAAAAAAATCGAACAAAAACATTCGAATTCGAGAATATTCGAATGACCTCTATTTGTCCTTCACACACACACACACACATTGTTCATCATTAGGCTTAATGATTCTTCTCATATAAAATTTAAAAGATGAAACAAAAACAAAATCAACAATAATAAAATGAAAGCAAAAAAAAATGTAATTCAAATAGTAATCATACCTTTGACAATGCTTAAGGACGATTAGAGGACAAATTCGAATTGCTCACAAATAGCTATAGACATTGAAATAGACATCGAAATTCCAGATATACATCTCCAGCTTATGATCGAGTGTATCATAATAAACCATTCGACCCAAACATCATTATCGAAATGAACTGGATTTAAAAATTTCAAAATAAAGATAATCAATGATTATAAAAATAACTACGCAGTTATAATACCGATTAGGGCGTTGGTTGTTTCCAATGATGACGTTGATCATTTTTTTCAACATTGGTAAGCCACCATTATGATTGTTTCAGATTTTGACCATGTTTTTCTGGCCCAAAAGTAAATCTTTATTATTTTTACCAATCACAAGACCCCATTTTAGCCATTTTTTGCCATCAAAATGAATAAAAATTCAATGATTTTTTTGATGAAAAAAAAATGTTAGAAAAGGTTGAATTATAATCGATTGACATAAAGTGGAAAAGAACACAAAATGGATGCAACCATCATAACAGCTCAAATATAAATGGCAGATTTTTTTATTATTTTCGATCAATTTTTTTTTTCTCGCTTCAAAAACACACACATATAATCACATTGAAAAGAATAGCAGCTCTTTTTCTGAAATCACTAAAAATCATAGTAGCATTGATGGAAGATATTGGAATTCAATACCACAATTGTATGAACATTTCATATTGGCAAATGCTGCTAACATCAGTGAAAGTTGGAATTCGATTTTGTTTGCATTGAATTATTATTTTGCACATGTGCGCGCTTGTTTGGTTTATGCGCAATTCCTTAACCGAACCGACCTTCCAAAGTAAAAAAAAAAATAAAATAAATTATCAAGCATAAAGATTTTGATCTATAGGACGAATTTTTCGGAATATTCTCTTGTTTTTTTTATCATACCAATATCTCTTGGATTTTCTGATCAGTCATTTTTTTTCTATTTGTCTAATTTATTTTCTTTTCTGACCCGGTGACTTATTTTACTTTACTAAATAGTATTGATTATGCAACGACAATTCGTAAGTTTAAGATAACATGTGTTTATGTCGATTGTTTTTTTAGATAAATAAAAAATGAATTTTTTTTTTGTCTTATCACAGAGGTCAATCATAGCTCAATTTCTTCGAGCACAATCATTATCATCACATCAGCAAAATGTTCGTCATAATTCAATGCATACGGTTACAATGATTCCCGGTGATGGTATTGGTCCAGAAATTTCTGAATCAGTGGAAAAAATTTTCGCTGCTGCCAAAGTACCGATCGATTGGGATCGTGTAGATGTAACTCCTGTCAAAGGACCGGATGGTCGTTTTTCAATCCCATTAAAAGCAATCGAATCTGTACAACGAAATAAGATCGGTCTTAAAGGACCATTGGCAACGCCGATCGGCAAAGGACATCGATCTTTGAATTTGGAGATTCGTAAAGTATTTTCTCTATATGCTAATGTACGACCATGTCGTTCATTGGAAGGCTACAAAACATTATATGATAATGTAGACATTGTTACTATTCGTGAAAACACTGAAGGCGAATACAGTGGTATCGAACACGAGGTAAAAAAAACAATGATTGTCTTATTGAGATAAATATAATCGATCGATGTTTTTTTTTCTGCTATAGATCGTAGCCGGTGTCGTACAGAGTATCAAACTAATCACCGAACCAGCTAGTCGTCGTGTTGCCGAATATGCATTCGAATATGCTAAAGCGAATGGACGTAAAGTTATTACAGCCGTACATAAAGCTAACATTATGTAAGTTTTTTGTTTTTTTTGCAACTTCAATCGTTTTGAACATCATTGTTTTTTAGGCGAATGTCTGATGGTTTATTCTTGCAATGTTGTCGTGAAACAGCCGAAAAACATCCCGAAATAAAATACAAAGAAATGTACTTGGATACTGTTTGCTTAAACGTAAGTAATACTTTGATTTAAGCTGATTTTTTAAATCAAATTATTTTGATCTTATTACAGATGGTCCAAGATCCTTCTCTATTCGATGTATTGGTTATGCCTAATTTGTATGGTGATATTCTAAGTGATTTGTGTGCCGGTTTAATTGGTGGCCTTGGTGTTACACCATCAGGCAATATCGGTAAAGATGGTGCCGTATTTGAATCTGTACACGGTACCGCTCCTGATATTGCCGGTCAAGATAAAGCCAATCCAACTGCATTGTTACTTAGTTCTATTATGATGTTACGCTACATGGCATTGAATGAATATGCCGATAAAATTGAACATGCTTGCTTTGAAGTCATTCGAGAAGGTAAACATCGTACAGCCGATTTAGGTGGAAAAGCTAAATGTTCGGAATTTACCAATGAAATTTGTGCCCGACTTTAGAGATAAAAATAAACGTGAATATATTTTTCACCCCTTTTTAATCTACACCCAACTTGTTATTCTCATCTCTTTGTTCACGGCATGTTCAAAAATTTAGGTAATCCAAAATGGAAAAACTTAAAAAAAAAAATATATTCGCCCTTTGTAAATGTAAATGATAATCAATTTCGATTTATTTGATGGACATAATTTATTTGTGTTGTGTTTATTAGGAATTAAAAATAAAAAGAATAAATGAAAATCCAAAAAAAAAATTTAAATATATGATACATTAAAACATTATGAAACAATAAGACGTTTAAAACTGCCATATTGGTTACGTATTGAATTGATCTCTTGAATTAATCCACGACGTTCACCGGTACTAATGAAATATTGATCAGGCATATATGTTGCACTCATCTGTAATGATCGAGCATAATCATCAATATCGCTTAATGATGATGGTGATTCATCCTGTGAGCCTGGTGAACAAATAAGTTTTTGTGATTTTTGACCACAATGTCTTTTTCGAAGTGCTCGGCCAAACAAAAGTTGAGCTTCGAATGGGCTGGCACCACTAATTAATCGATATACGCCTTCATAGTAATACAGTTTAGTACGAGCTGAACTCATCATCGATTGCGATAAATATCGTAACACTTTCAAATCTTGACCGAACGCTGATATTGAATAATTACGAATGATCAATAATTGTTTCTCTTTATTACCACGTTGATCTTTTTCTTGATTCGACAATGATTGAAAGTGTTGCCACAGTCTTACTCGACTTGATAAAATCCAATCAAGTGCAAGTAATTGAAATGCTTCGACCAATTGAACATGACAATCATCACATGCATCACCATTGATAGAATTGGAATTGGATTCGAAAGATTTTCGCAATTCATAAGAAGCTCGATCTAATAACTGAAGAAAATGACCAATTTGTTTAATCGAATTCAAACGTTTAGGATGTTTTCCGATAGAAACATATTTTTTCAAACAGCTAGCAAACATTAATGACAAAGCGAGTAAATTGTTACGTAATGTTGATGGAAATCGACCTTTGATTTCAACAGCCTTTCGATCATTTCCAGTAAGCCAATAAAATCCAATACGAATCACTTGCGACCACCAAAGAGATGTTTCATCACCAAATTGTTCGGAATTTTTTGCGAGTTCATCAATCAAATCTATCAAAGGAATTTGTTCCATTTTGCCAGTTTTGCTAATCGTTGGTGTCTCAGATTCGCGTAGCTTTATATTGACACCATTTCTAGGATTCATCATGGTCAATATACATTTTTTAATTAAATATTTTCGATATTTAGCGGCAATAAACGCCATCATCGATGTAACGATTGATTTGGTTTCAATGAAAATTGATGGTTTATCAAATGCATAAGACCAATGTAGATAAGGTTTCATGAAATAACGGCGACCCAATGGACGCAATAAAAATTGTTCCTGAGACAATTTAGTTGAATAAGCTGTAGCATATGATTTGTGCCAAAAATATCTGGCAAATAGATTGTGTTGTGGTTTGAACAAAATTGCCGTCAATAAATAGGCCATTGAACGCTGGCATTTTCCATCTTCATGATTCTGATCAAATCGAAATGATTCATTGATTCCGGTTAATGCATAAACATAAGACAGTAATGATGGACGACCTTGACTTTTCAACAATGTAAGCATAGTCAAACGACCATACAAATAGCATACAATTCGCTGACCTATTATCTGATCACATTCGGATGATCCACAAAATGTACACAATTTACCATCATTTATGCTTGATGTTGGTAAAAATGATCGAATAAATGCGATTGTTTCGTTAAAATACAAAATGATCATTGCACGTACAATCCAATAAAGTTGACTTATAACCGAATCTATTGGAACTGTTTTTCCGCTTATTTCTTTCAATGCTTGTTGATAATAGCCAGTAGCACGACCAATATCACCATCACGTAATGCTTGATTTCCTTTTGACAGACTTTGATTATGAACTTTGTGATCATAATTTAATCGACGATGTTGTTGACTATCGTTGTTAGCATGCGATTTATGATAGGCCATCTGAATGATACGATAACAAACAACAACATTAACCAACCAGATGAATAGATCGACAATGGTAAAATTAAAAGCTTTCATCCAAAAAGATGTGTTACTTGTGGTATCATAATCGGACATGAAACTTAATATTGTTCGACCAACATGATTTGATTCGTAATTGACCAATGAAGAAGATTTTTCAACAACGCTTCCCAATGGATTATAAGTCACTACTGTCAAAATCAAAGCAAAACACATGAGACGTGATGGATCACGATAGAAACTCGGTGGTGTCGGCGGCTTTTGAAACCCTGATGGTGAAGATGCAGGAGACAAAGAGGATGATGATGAGGATGATACGGATCCAGGTGAAGTTGGAAAACTGGTATTATTCGTAAAGTTAGGCATTGGTGGCAATTGTTGATTGATATCTGTTGATGATGATGAGGAAAGACCAGCTATTTCCAGTTGCTTTTTCAATGCATTAACTTCTGTTTCGAGCAATTGATTCCGTTTTTGAAGAAAATGAATATATTCAATCACTTTTCGTAAGATTACAGCTTTCTTTAGTTTAGCATCTGGTCCGGCAATAATTGTTTTTAATTCAAGTATTTTGTCATTGATAGAAGAACGATAACGTTTTTCGATTGCATTATGTGCTGAACGTTTTTCCGGTGGAGGATTAGTTTGATTTGATATTTGTTGCGATATATTCATCGAATCATTATTGTTCATAAACGGTTGAATAGATATTTTTCCATTGTCAATTATTTCGGTTTTGATGGGTTGTTGTTGCGTTTGTGCTGCCGTAGTCGCTGGTTGTATGAGTACTGGCGTAGAGGTAGCGAAAGAACTAGAAGTTCCGGCACCAGCTAAGCGATATGTAAATAATGGGCCATTGGCTGATTGAATTAGTACTGGCTGAGCGGGTTGAATTTGAGTTTGTTGAATCAATTCATGAGGCTCGGTTTTTATTTGTACAACGGCCGGACTTGGCTGAGCAGCTGTCGGTAATTGATATACTATAGTTTGTCCATTCTCAGTGATTCCAATGTGAAGTTGTTGAGCTGGTTGAACAGGTAGTTGTTGCGGAGAATTTTTCGGTTGAAGTATTGTAGTCGGCTTAACAATCTGTACTTTGGTTTGCGGTTGTTGTGGAATAGGCTTTTGTTCAGGTGGAATATTGAATGGCATAGAAAACTTGAAATTAGCATCTTGTGGTGATTGCTGTCCGAATTTAAATGGAACATTTTTAGAAATATTAGCATCAATATTCTGTGATTGTTGTTGCGGAAAAACTTGAAATTGTTGATTCGAATTGGCCAAAGAATTCAACTGAAATTGTTGTTGATTGAAATTCTGTTGCAAATTAGGAGATGTTGATTGCTGTTGAGATAAAAGAAACGAATCCTGATTGCTCAGTGTTGAATTTTCGGACAAATCTTGCATTATCGCACCAAGATCGTCATTATTTATTACACCATTTTTCTGTTGCGGTAGTTGATTGGAAATAGTTGTTTCAGTCAAACTAATATTATCAAATAATTCATCAAAATTTTCATCTTGTAACAATATAGTAGGATCAAATTCCATAGGATTATGGTCATCACCCATTATCATTGATGAAAGATTTTGATCTAAAAAATCATCATTCAAATTAAATAAATCCAATTGAAGTTGTTGTTGTGATTGTCGATCCATTTTGGCTAAATATAAAAAAAAATGAACAAGATTTTTTTTTTTTGTTAAATTATCGAAAAAGAAATCACTATAAAAATCCTTTACCATTATTTACTAAAGACACAACAGAAATCAGGTGATGATTTTTTGAGAATAAAAAAAAACAAAAACATTGAAATTTTTAAATATTAATGATGATAAAATAAAAGTCTGATCGGAACTTTAACAAAAACACTTTTATGGTTAGGTTAATCATCGAAGATCGATCGATGTTATATTATCATCCAACAGTAAAGAACATTTTTTTTTTGCGTCAAACATCATTACTAAATTAATGAAAAAAAAAAATATATGGCGTGATTTTTACCAAACATGCGCAAATAGTTTTTAAAACGAATGATTATATCGGCTGATTGGGCGGAGTTAAATATACAACAAAAACATTCACTAAACATTAATATCATGCGCAAAAAATCGAATGAATGGTCTGATCTTTTTTTGATATGACCATATTAAAAAAAAAATAATTGAACAAAGCGAAGCGTAATTTAATTATTCAATTGTATCATTTAATTTCTAAATTAATTTTTTCTTTCAAGATTTTACAAACAGAAAAAAAAATTACAAATATCTCAGTCATCGCTATTTGATCATAGCTCTTGATGTTGCGAATGTACGGATTTATCAGTAATAATAACATCAGATTTATCATCAGTAGAAAATTCCGTTCGATCATCATTTTGTGTGAAATTTTGTTGTAATTGTTCGAGAAATTTTTTTAGTTCAAGATCATAATCTTCCCATTCAGCAACAATACGTCTAGCGCTTGTTAATTTTGGCTCTTTGGTTTTAGGATTATTGCAAAGATCAATAGTTTTGGCCTCTTTTTTAGATGTATCATCACACCATGTTTCACACCATAGCCATTCTTGTGGAAGTGATTTTATGGCGACCTAAAAAAAACAAAAAAAATTTTTAAAGGGGATAAAAATTTCATCTTTCATACCTGATGTATCATATTATTAGGTAGATCTTGATCAAGATTAGATAAACTATTAGGATCTTGACTTAGACCTTGATATTGACCACGAAGACGATCACCAGCAGCGATACGACGAAATTTCTGCAAATCTACAACATACAAGGCACTAATATGATATTTACGGCCATGTAAATGTGTAGCCCAATAACCGGATTTCCAAAAACGGAAACCATCCATATCTTTACGTGAATCACAGAATGGTGTATAACCATAAGGTGCACCTTCAAGATCAAGATCACGAAGTTCACGAAGATCGGCACGAACAACCTGATCAGCATCGACAAATATAATTTTTTTAACATCTAACGGAAACAGTACATCGAGGAATAAGATTTTATAGCCCCAAATAATACGTTGTTTTTCAGTTTGTTGATGTAACCATCGTGGCCATTTATATTGTACCAATTCATATTCGAATCCATATCTTTTAGCCATATGAGGCAGTATTTGTTTGAATTGTGGTGATAGATAGTTTTTTAAGAACCAAAATTTTACTGGTGTTTGAGTATTTTTCAATACACTGATCATCATGATCCGTAATAATCGTTCATAAAGATGTCCAGAAGCTAGTGAAAATATATTGATTCTTTTCGAATCTTCATCTTCACCAGATAATTCTTTGCTTTTATCGCCTGAATTTTGTCGTGTAGATTTCTCTGAATTCCAACCGGAAAACCAGCCACCACTTTGATCATCTGACGAACTTTCATCTGAATCGTATAATAGTTCTTCATTTTGTTTTCCGGGTTTTTTATTCACACGAATTTTGATTACCAACGATCGAAATGAACTGACAATAGGTATAACTTCGGTTGTATTGGCCACTTGATCGGTACCATCATGCGATACAATTGTATAGATATCAGTCGAACGACCTTGACGTAAACTAAGCAACCATATACCTGGTGATGCTTTTAATTGAAAATATCCAAGATTTGCCATAACAATTGTATCGTACATTGTAGGAATAGTTTTTGTACCCAATGTAAATTGTAATCCTCTAGGAGGACTACCGGATGATTGTTCAAAACAATGACCTTCAACAAGTAAATGTTCCAATTCGAATACTGCACCGACTATATTCGAATCAACCTGTGCTAAGTGAATATTATCCAAATCATAAATTGCATCCACAGCTTCAACCATCCAATTTTCAGGTACGGCCATTCCAAGCGTAAACAAAGGTGATTTTGGCATCGATTTGAACATTGCTACCGGATTTATAATCGATCCAGTAGAAAAATCAAATCGAGGTTCTTGATCCAAAACAAAACGATAGAATAATTTTAATGGCATATCGGAATGTTTTTCCACAGCATTAAAATGAATCTTTACACGTGCATTGAAAACTTCATAAAAAGTAGACAAAATGGGTGAAATTTTCTGTGCACCTCTATTCAATGATAAATATTTTGAATTATAAATAGTTCGTTATATAAATAGCTTACCAATCAAACTTACCTAGTCAAAGGATCTAATATGGCTGTTAATTCAATAAATGGTTCATTTGGATGTCGAGGTTCAAGTATCAAAACACTATGCTCATCACGAACATTGTTTATTTCATAACGTTGTTTATAGGCAGAACTTCCTGATGATAAAGATGGTTTTGACAATAATACCGAACAAATACGTAAAACTAGATCCGAACATTTTCGAGTTCCAGCACCACGTTCATCATCAGTCAATGTATTCATGATTTTTTCCGACCAAAAATTTTGTGCATATCGTTCCATAAGACCAAAATCTTCTTCATTGAAAGTAAGTTTTTTATCAGAGGAATGTACGGGTACTTTGTATATTTTTCCATTCAATAAAAGTGCCAAATTATCCGATGAAGATATTCCAAACAATCGAGAAGCAATTGCCTGATGTAAAGGAAATGGCGCAGCATTCGAATTCTGTTTGAGCACCGAATGACGTTCGAAAAATGCTTTTCGATATTCATCCGAAATAAGTTGACCAATTTGTTCAATATTTGCATCCCAATCATCATGTTCTAGGACAGCAACTTTAGTCAAAAACGATAATAATTGTGTTGAACTTGTGATTGTACTTGATGCAGATTCCAATACTCGTGTTACATGATTATGATCAGCATAAACCAATGATAATCGCATATAACGACTATTTTCTCGTAAATGATTTAGACCGGCACGAAGTATTTGACGAGAATCGTATGTAAGAAAATCTGATACCAACCAAACAGTAACTGGATTGCAATCTTTTTTACTGTTAATGTATTTTAATTGAGAAAAAATTGTCGTTTGTAGATCGTTAATGTTTGCTCCAAAATATGTGCTTCCATCATCATTATCTTGTTTTGATAAAACTCGACCAGATGTCAGTTCCAAATATTTATGTGCTTCAACTCGTTTCTGATTGGATTGATCAAGACCAAAAATTACCCTATTCAAACGAGTCATTACAGTTTTCTTTGACATAAGCCATTCAAGAATATCATCTTCATCTGTTATTTCTGCTTTATAAATTGCTTTCTGAAACTGTGAACTTTGACGCATTATTTCACTGAGCACTGCTTCTTCGAAATAATCAGCTTGTAGATGAGTGTCTTTAAGAAGAACACCGTTCATCATTGCTTTTGGTCCATGTTCAAGACCGGTACGATCGAGAAAATCTCGTGATAATTTTCTTCCTATATCATAGCTTGAATCTTCACCAAAAACATCATCTGCTTCGGATTTTGAAATTTTTGATTTAAAATGATTTACAATATCATCAGGTTCTAGATCACGAACAGATTTTGATGTAGCATAGGCTATAACATCGGTTATGAAAGATAATGCTTCATATGAACTTTTATGTTGCGATATATAATTGTAAGCTTCAAGACATGCAACACCAGCATCTTGATAACCATTGATCGTTTGATTATTATTAACATCAAAAACTAAACCAATTCTTACAGGAGCTTTGTGTATATAAAATGATTCAGCCATTCTTAACATATCGAATGATTCTTTACGGCTAGGATCCAAAATCAATATTAAATGATACATATTACGACGAATATTACGTAATATTCCTGGATATGTTGGTCGTAACATTTCCTGCAACGAACTTGGCCAACTTCTATACATTCGATCATTTTCAATATCATTGATATAAAGAACAGAACCATCACGAAAATCTATTTGAAAATCTAATTGTTGTTGTTGTCCACGTTCCCATGCAGCATTTAATTTTTTTATTCGATCATTATCACCATTCAATAAAGTATGTAATTTTGATACAGTATAATATTCATGTTTCATTGCATCCAACAATGTAAACACATCTGCAGAATCCATATCATGATAAAGACCATTAATAAATAAAGCTGTATCTGATGTAGCTAAATTAAGATTTTGATAGAAATAATTTTGATTCCAAGCAATTTCTCGTTTCAATTCCGGTTCAACATGTATCTTGACCAATGATCGAGCTACACTGGGAAAATTTTGTGAAATATCTCTCAACACTGACAATGCTTTTTCTTTTTGTACTGAAAGAACTTTTGTCACTGCTTGCAAACTAATTTCCTGTAATTCCCAAACTTTTAATGTGGCTATCTCTTTTTCCTGATCCATTAGATGGTCACGAAATTCATTGAGTTTATTCGATAAGGCAACATTGCTTGCTTTTAATTTGGAAAAAATAAATCCAGCTACCTCATCTGGTTTTGATTGTTCCAAATCATCTTTCCATTGTTGATTGCTTGATTTGACTACTTCTCCACGAACTCGAGTATCATCTTGTGCTTTGTATTCGGTCGATTTGATGGCCAATTCTACTCCATAGCCGGATAAAGCAACACGAGTTTTTGCCGGATTCGGATTATGACGAATAATGTATCGAATTGGTTTACCTTGATCGATTTGTTGTTTAATCAGTTTATGTAAACGAAAGAATGATTTAGAACCAATTGTAGCGTAAAGGATTACTGTTATGGAACGTGGTGAAGCTTCTATAGACGAATATCGTCCTGGATAAATATGATCCACCGAATAAATAAGCGGATGAGAAAGTTGTTTCACATTGTCAGATTTAACATAGTCAATCATACTATCTATAGCCTTAACAATATCATCACCATTATGACAAACATATCTTGGCTGATCTTGATCATCGATTGGTACGCTCAATTCGATGAATGGACCATTACATTTTTGAAGCTGATTTCCATCTGTTGAAGCATGAATATCTTCAATAATATTTTTAAATGCTATCACTCGCGGTGAATAAGATCGTAATGATAAAGCAAATTTCAATATGGATAATTTTGGTTCTGATCGTAAAAGTTTTGATGCTAATCGTAAACTGGATTGATATTGTTGATATGCATTCGACCAATTTCCTGAAACCGATTCGGTTGACGATAGCTCTGTTTGAAGATCATCAAGATAACGCCAATAAAAATCTTGATTTTCTTCGGCCAGAAATTCTGCAACTTCCAAATACATAGGTGTTTGCGACCATTTTGATTGCAAAAGAATTTTAACAGATTTTGATGAAGATGAATGTGACGATTGTTCGGACCATTTAAATAAAAATAAAAACGAAAATAACAAAAATGCCAAAATAGAAGGCTGTAATCGGTGGATCGAATTCAGCATTCTTTTAAATTCTATTCTATTTTCTATCACTTTGAATGAATTAATTAATACGAAATCTTGACGATATATTAACAATAGTATGGAATACTGATTGTCAGCATTTCACGATATGATTATTAATTATTTTCGATCCAAATTTACCGGCACAATAATTAATATAATTCTTTGTTATGCTGACGCGATGATCCAAAATATATTAAACAGACGTCACATGCAAAACCAAATAAAATAACCGATTCTATTCATAAGATACGTAACGGACATGTCAACAATGCAACATTGCCGCCGATGCCCGATTTAATAATCATTTTATAATTCCATTTTTCAAATTTTAAAACTTTTTTTCGAAAGATAAATCCAACAGTATTTATAGTTTTTTTAAAAAAGATTTATAGTTTAATTATTTTAGTTCAATTATCTTAAAAAAGAATGCAAAATCATAATAATGTAGAAAATGATGATGATGATGATGATGAACAATTTTTATTCGATATGTCTGATATGCTTGTCGAACCTCCAACCAAAAGAAGCATCTGTCCACAATGCCAGTAAGTTTATTTTGATTGAGACTAATCAAACATTTTCATTTTTATTCAAAATTAACACTTGTTACAGGCGACCACAACCAGTATGTTTTTGTTCGGATATTGATCCGATATCACAATTGCAAAACCATTTGATTATATTACAACATCCCAACGAATTAAAACGTTGTCTTCGTACAACAAAAATCTTGGAACTAAGCATTCCGGATACTAATTATCATCTTTTTAATGGAAAAAGATTTCCATTGAAAAAATTTCCACAACTATTCAAATTGATTGAACAACGTGAAACCATATTGTTGTATCCATCACCAATGGCCGAATCATTGGGTATCGAAGGTATTCAATCAAATGATCCTGATAATCGTAATAATGGATTCAATGTGATTATATTGGATGGTACATGGCATCAAGCTCGTGTTTTATTTAATTGCAATTCATTTCTACATTCATTACGTTGTATTAAATTAGAATCAACCGGTCGATCACAATATGTGATTCGAACACAACCAACCGAAACATGTTTATCAACAGTAGAGGCTGCTGCAATTCTTTTATCGCGCTTAGAACATGATCCATCGATCCATGATCGTTTAACACGACCATTACGAACCATATGTGATTATCAATTGAATAAGGGAGCTGTTACTCACCAAAGCAAAGAATATCTCATCACCAATGGCCTATATGAACGACCATTGAATCGACGTTTGAAGAAAAAAGTCAATCAACAAATGGACAATAATAATCCTATTTCGGATCTAAAAAATCTTGTTCACTTGTTATGAAATTGATCATTTAATTCATTATTTTTTTCATTGTTAAATTAATGAATAATACCGATATAATAATTTACCCATATATGTACAATGTTTTTTTTTCTCATCAATCACCAGTTTTTTCTTTCCAACAAATGATTTATATCTTTAACAATAGATGATTTTAATTCGAACCATGTTCCATCATTTGGATCGGTTGTAGTAAAAAAACGATCAAGAAATTCTGAACAACCAAGAAAATCGAATACAAAATCAATTCGTCGTTGAGATTTATCGCTTAAATGTGATCGTATCAATTGTTTAAGTTCAGTGCAACATGTTTGCATCTGTTTTTGTAGATATTGACAATCATAACTAAAATCTACTTCATGAAATGATACGATTGTCATAAGGATCGATCGAATTGAGCGTTGAATTTTTGTCATACGAAACATTTCATCATTATCCAATTGATGATTCATTATCAAAATGGCAACTTTTATTGTTATCTAAACCGAATTGTATTTGAATTATTCAATATATCAACAAATTCAAATAAATTTACCTTCATTAAATATTTTACAACTTTGTCAGCCGTTTCTTTGGAAGCTGATAGATTTTCTTGTCGACAATATAATTTACAAAGTTTATGTAAATTATCCATTAATCGTGCCGAATCTGAATCGATCAATGTTTTGGCCATTGTTTTGTTCGACATCATACGGCCCAATAATTTTTTCTGAATACGAATACCGATATCATGACTTTGAAATTGTTGTTGTTGTTGTTGTTGATTAGACGATGGTTGTTGTGATAAAATATTTTCAGCATTTTTCAATGAATTACCCGAAGACATTTTATTTGCAAAATAAATTGTGTGTAATCGGGCTCAAAATTCAGCAACAAATGTGAAACAATCCAACAACAGCTGCCGCCTGCAACAGTTGGCCTTTCTCTCTCTATCTCAATTCAATTCACATTATGCTAATGTAACTCACGATTATCATTATCATTGTTATACAGTAGGTTCTTCGGATGTTTTTGTTTTTTCTGATGCCCATCCTCTGATATTATATTTTTCATTGACGAATGTTTCCTGTTGCCATCCTACATCCGGACATTCAATTGAATAATGTCTAAAAATTTCCGAAGAATTTTTATTGCAAGCATATTTTTTTCTAAAAAATTTTATACAAAAAAATTATTTTTCATAAATGAAAAATTGATTTTTAAAAATTTTCAGATGAAATTATCTCAACATTTATAAAATAAAAAGATTTTCTTAAACTGTAATGAATTCCTACAGTCATATGTGACTACTATAAAAGTCATTGAAGTCATAATTATTTATGTTTGTTTGGTTCAGGTGTCGCTCTTGACTCGCTTCGAAGATAATTTAGATATTCTTCGTGGAAAGTCCTCGGCCATTGGCAGTTTTTTGGGCATCAAGTGTCCGTATTTTAAACTAAATGCTATGATCGTCTTAGGTTGATGTTATTCGGGCTGAGATGGATTCAGTTCCTGAGCTCTATTTCTTCTTGAGACTATCAATGTCAACTCTTTCGTTATGAAAGAGAATAGGCCAAACCTGGTACACGCTTGCGCGTGTTATCATAAAACTAAAGTAATGCGGGTAACGTGTGGTTCCACCACACGTCAACAGAACGAGGCTTACACGTGTCGATACCTGTTCCGTTTGTTATTTTTTTAAAATTTAAATTTTAATAAAATGCCTCGTACAAGATATGGTCCTTGGATTTGGATTGGTCGTAAACTTGGCTTCATAAACATTAATCGACCATTAGCATCAAAAGTATTGACAGAACATTTACGACAATCACAATATCCATATTGGACGGCATTTTTTATTCCATATCATTCAATTTTAAATGATCAATTTGGTTGGTCACATTTTAATTGGTCAGTTGATGGACATAATTATCATATACTAAGATTAGGTTGTTGGCCATATATTAAATATCATTGTAGTCGTCGACCTTTAGAAGACCTTTATATTCAGAATATTTTCTATACATTTATTAAATGTTTACAATTTGGTATACCAACATTAGCCTATGGTATTGCTGGCTGGATAATGGCTAAACATTCGAAAGATGTTCATATTGATAGAAAAAATTCGATACGAATTTATTTTTGGTATCCAGAAAATCATAATTCACCTCATTAATAATTTGTCCTTATGACATTTAATAATTGAATCTAATAAAAACGTATTTTATGAACAGTGTATACTTTTATATTTTTGCTGTTTTTTTTTCTGTGACGAGTCCTCAGCTGAGCTCACCAATATTGGATGATTTTTTTAATATTTTTTGTTAACCATTTTTGTTTCATGTTCATACTCCCATTCAACGATTGATGATTATATATATTGAATGGCAGCAACAAATATTTTTTTTTCTATCCATTAAAATCGATTTATAAATTTCAAATACGTTATAATTTGTGGGAGTTGTTTCTATCCCATTCTATTTTATTTGATTCATTTAAAAACCATAACAGTTCAAATCAATCAATTTGTTGCAAATTCTTCGGAGATTATTTGTTTTATTTTTGAAAAAAACAATATTTACAACAAAAAAAAATTCCCACCACCATGTCCGAATCTGTTGCCAAACATAATGATCCTTTGTCCACAGTTTCAGATGATGATGAAGATTTGTTTGCTTCAGCCTACGAGGTTTGTTTTGTTTGAAATGATTTAAAAAAAATCGAATTGATTTCTTTAAAATTTTAAATAATTATTTGAACAGCAACCAGCTAAGACAGAACAGAAATTAAATCATGAAGAACCTGTGGTTCAACCGCCACCTGTTACAGCAATGGCTGATATTAATCTTGATGATGACGATCAACAAACAGATTCTGAACCTAAAGAAATAAGTAATGGTGCAATACCAACACCACCTACACAAAATTCATCCATTCCACAACATTCTTCGATTTTGAATACATTAGAATCGGAGATGAATACAATCGATTTGAATGATTCAAAATTTGATAAAGAAGATCAATCTTCCGTTAAAGAAATTGATGATAATTTGAAAAAAGAGCCCACAACTACCGGAATTGCAGGAATGAAACCACTAGAAACGGTACCAATTGAATCACATCAGGCGGAATTACCACAGCCAAGTGTAACAGCAGCGACCACTAAATCTTCACAACAACCGGCTGTTATAACGCCTAGTCAAATAACGATCACTATTGCTGAACCACAAAAAATAGGCGATGGAATGGGATCATATGTGGTCTATTCTGTCAGTACCAGAACTACTTTGCCTTATTTTCGTCGTCAATCTATGACTGTAAATCGACGTTTCTCAGATTTTCTTGGTCTTCACTCAAAACTATCAGTGAAACATGGTCCATCAGGCCGAATCATACCACCACCACCGGCTAAGTCAGCCGTTGGAACGGCCAAAGTCAAAATGGCTAAAGATGATTCAATTCATTCCATGGATTTTCTTGCTAAACGCCGTGCTGCTTTAGAACGTTACCTTCAACGTACTGCTGAACATCCGGTTCTTTGTTCTGATCCAGATTTTCGTGAATTTCTCGAACTTGACACAGAATTGCCTCGATCAACATCTACATCGGCTTTAAGTGGTGCCGGTTTGAAACGAATGTTTTCGCTCTTTGGCGATACAGTCAATAAAATGACATTCCGTATGGAAGAATCTGATCCGGTAAGCTTTAATCAAAATGGATTTGTCTTTGTCTTTATTGATTGCTGTTCAATAATTTTTAATGTCATAACTGTCTGTAACTTTCATTTCATGCTGTCCTCGAAATCCAGAATCTTTGTAACAGCTTCGAAGAAATTAAGGTTTTTCTTTATATTTGTTGATTCTTTTGAGCCATTTCAATCTTAATTAATTGATTATAATCTATTTATCTGTTTTCATTTGTCATACGAATATATTTTTAGTGGTTCGAATCGAAACAACAACAAATTGAAATATTGGACACTCAATTTCGTAAATTATATGCGGCCGTTGAATTGTTGATCTATAATCGAAAAGAATTATCAACATCATTGGGCGTTCTGGGTAAAGGAACTGCATTGATCGGTCATGATGAAAACAATGTATCATTGTCGTGTGCGCTATCACATTTGGCTGCAACACATGAAAAAGTGGAAAAAATTTATGAAACACAGGCAAATCATGATTTTCTTTATCTATCCGAATTATTACGCGATTATATTGGCATGATTGGAGCTGTACGTGAAGCATTCCACGAACGTGTAAAATGTTTCCAAAATCTGACTACTTTGGAACAAACTTTAACTCGAAAACAAGAATCAAAAGCAAAATTAGAGTTAACATTGAAAAATGAACGTCCTACATCACCGCAAATTGATGATGAAATTCGTGATGTAAGTGTATTTTTGATTGAAAAATTTTTCGTTTTTGTAATGTTTTTTTTCTCTAATCTTCTAAAGCTTCAAGAACGTTCAGAAAAAGCAAAGGAAGATTTCGAAAAAATATCCGAAACGATCAAACAGGAATTCGAACGTTTTGACATCAGTCGTTTACGAGATTTTCGTAACAATTTTCTCAAATACATGGAATCCTTGTTACAAACACAGGAGGCATTGATTGAATGTTGGGAAACATTCTTACCCGAAGCCAGGTCAATTTCGGCCTAAAAAATGGAAAAAACACCTCTAAATAACCGGTTGATTAACAATTACACCAACGTATTGTGGCTCACAATTCTGAATTGTTTTTTTTTTTGTCACAATTAATATTATTATTTAAAAGAGAAAAAAGTCATATTACAAATAATAGATTTACTTATTCGATCAAATCAAATCGAGCATTTCTTGTATTAATGATTCATTCCGATAACGACTTTGTTCAATCACTCGATATCTTGGACTCACTAGACAATTTTCAAGCAAAACATTTTCCTCTATATGAGCTTCGGAACAGACAACCGAATTGATCAATTTACAATTGTTTTCGATCGTAACATTATCTTGTATAATACAATTTGTAAATTGACAATTATCACCAATAGTACAATTGTTGCCAATAACTGTTCGTTTTAGCAAAGTTTTATCACCCAATTTTGAACTATTACTGACCAATGATCCTCGATTTTGTGAATGTGTGGATTTCTGATCAACTAGAAATCGATTAGCCTCACAAAATCCGGTTAAATTATTCACTCGAACTAAATGTCCAGTGTTGACAATGAGAGCTCCACAATTGATCGATGATAATGTTGATTCTTCTTGTTCATCATTATCACTTATTTTGAGATTTATTCTGGCCATATAACATTCCAATTCTGGCGTACGAATGAAATCGATAATATGTTTTGACTTTTTGGTTTGTTCATCGTTTTCATACGATCGACTCGATTCAGCTGACCGATTTGAATTTAGGCGTCGAAATTGCTTTCTAACCAACGATGGTAACAGGTCAAATTTGATAGATCGAATACCACTAATATAATTTTAAAAATTAGTTAATCGTTGCATGGAACAAGATAAACTTACGTTTCATGTTTGAGATAATCGAGTATCCAATTGCGAAAAAGATAAATATGCGAATCAATTAGATCGGTTCTCAGCTGTAAGTATGGACATGATTTAAAAATCGAACGTTTCAATGGTATTGAATCATTCAACATAGCATCGGGTTCGTAGAAAACTAACCGATTTAAATCATTTCCATCCAGACCAACATAATCGAATTCTATTTTGTAAAAATAAAATCTATTGAGTTCCTTCTTAGAATTCCATTAACCGTTTACCTTTATTATCACTCAATTTGATGGCTGGCATTAGATTTTCTTTTGGGTATAACTGAGAAGAAAAGGCACAAAGAAAAGTGGAATTTCGAAGCCGATAAAGTTCAATAAATCGATCCAGATCAATATCGGCTACAAGATCGCACGAAACAAGAAGAATATCTTTAGTTAACTTTTCTTGCTTATGAATGGCACGCAAACTATCGGCCGTAGCATAATCTTCAGTATGAGGTATCGTAATGAATCTTAATTGAATATCCAAACCGAGAGCGGCAACTGCATTTTTAATTTGATGCTCTTCATTGTCTAAAACGATAATAAAAGCCTCTGTATCGATATAAATCGATCGATAAGTAACGAAAATCCAGATTTATTTATTTTCAAACCTAAAATATTATGTCGTTGCAGCAATTCCAATGAATATTGAATCATTGGTCTATTGGCTATTGGTAGCAAACATTTTGGTCGACCATGTAAAATATGGTTCATTCGACTACCACGGCCACCGGCCAAAACAATCGTATGAAATTCGTAATCGAATCGATTTTCAATCATCATTTAAATAAATTTTTAACAAATAAAAATTCCAATAATAATAATCAAAAAACATACACGTGTACAATGTTTATCTAATGCAAGTTATTCAATTGCATCAGGCATAAATAAACATCTAGTTTATACACTGATCGAATCAAAATGCCCGGTTTTTGAAAGCTTTGATTGTCGAAGAAATAATTTGTTTGGCGAATCAAATTTCAAGCTTACCAGCTTTTTTTAATCAATTTACACACCTGCTGTCATCAAGTGAACAGGTGTCATGTCAGGTCATCTTTTTTATTTTGATTTGTTCCTAATTAGTTTAATTATATAGCTAGATTTTGATCGATAATTGACATTGATTGGGATTTTTGGATTCGGATGGATAAATGAAGAGAAATTTATGCAAACTTTTCACATTTTTTCTTTTTTTCAAACAATTCTAAACATCCAATTTATATTTGGATTTTGCTCGGTAGCAAGCACATATAATAATAACCACGAAATTTCAAACAAACAAACAAAACAAAAAAACGACCGTTGAAAAAAGAAACCAGAAAAAAAATTGATAACTGAAATTAGGCGGACGCCAAGTCAACCAGATTATCTATCATCACAGCCCAAGAATTTCAAATCTAACCAATCATAATGCTAGTTTAGATTTAAATTTGAAAATTTGAATTTTGTTAGCCTGATAATGATGCTACTACCGATCAAGGCGTATGATGTTACAGGCGAAGCATTAGCAACAAGTATTGATGACAATAACAGAGACGGCGCCGATCATTATTATTATTCAATTTTTCTGTTGCCGCCTGTTTTTTTTTGATATTCTCCAACGGATTTTTTTTCTAACCATAATCATGTATAATAATGAATGATGGGCGCGCATATATCCACCACTATTTTATGTGTAAAGATTTGAAAATCTGGTCAAATTTGAAAAGTAACAAACAAACAAACGAAAAAATTCCGTTGGAGAATTCATTTTGAATTTTATTCAAGTGATGTGACACGAATCAAACAAACAAACAATATACCTGGACCTTTTTCCCTTTCACCTGTTTTTTATTGACATAGCGACCTGTATCATCATCATTATCATCATCAAATCGTCAACATCGATTCAATTCAATTATTTTAATACAAATTGGGGATATGTTTTGTTTGATTTCGTTTGAAATTTGATATATATCATCAATATTTGAAAATAAAAAGAAAATGTTTCATCAATAAGCAACAAAAAACAACAAAAAAAATAAAAAATAAACGGATTTGTTGGTTGGTCGGGTGGAATATTTTTTCCATTGTTCTTTGCCCCCAAAATTCCCCGACCGTTTTTTTTTTGATTGTTGTTTAATTCATCATCATCACATAATCAATATCCTTTCTTTCTTTCTTTTTTATCATCATCAAACAAAACCACAAAACCAAAAAAAAAACAAAAAATTTAATTTAATATTGGATTACCATTGCCCATTTTTGTTTTTCTTTTGTTTTTTTCACTTTATCCATCTTCGATATATTTTGTTTCAACATAAGCGACGAACAAAAAAAAAAGAATCCAAACAACATTATGAAGATCGACTAAAGTGTGTGTAATTTTCAATTTACAAATGACAAATCTAATGCATCATCAATAATTTTTTTTATTAATTAGAAATTTTTTTTTTAGTTTTCCCTTGCTAAACATCTTTAAATCATTTTGGATCAGTAAGTCGATTTAATCTCAAAAAACCAAACAAACAAAAAAAATAACGCCCAATTTGGAATGTTATCAGGAATCTACATGGATAATGCCTCGAAGTATCGGCATCAACAACAGGTAAGCTAATCTTATTTTGGTCTGTTTTTCTTTTCCCTTGAATAAACAAATTGTTGTGAAATCAAAGAATATATTCAAGCACACACACATCAAATGGACCTTGTCGTCCATATTTCAAAATTTCAATTTCAATTTTTAAACACTAGATGGTAGTATATATGTTTTGGAATTTTGTGCATGCGTTTTTCATTTTAACCCAATATTTTTTTTTTGATACAATTTTTATGCGTGTGTGTAATGTTGAGTGGGATGGACTTTTACAATTCAAACTTGCTTTTACTGTTTTATTTTGTATTTAAAAAAAAAAAATTATGGATGGAAGAGAAGTTCGACTTGTGTTTTGTATGTTTGTGTGTACACCTGGTTCATTCATTTCATTCGATATTCGACAGTGCTTTGAGTTGGGTCATTATTCGCGAAAAAAAGTTCTTTGAAAATTTAGTGCCTTATAGTATTTCGTCATTTTTTATTTTTTCTTGACCAATTTTTTTTTTCCTAATTCATCTTTATCTGAAAAATATTCTCTATTTTTGTTTTTTGTTTTGTTGAAAAATCGCATTAATATGAGTGTTAAATTATATCCGATAATAATGTCTTCGTCTATTTGTTATTCACGTCGATCAATCGATCGTACTGCATCATCAATCATATTGGAATCGATTCGTTCATCATCAACATCATTGTCATCAAAATATAATAATGGCCATAATGGAAGATCGCATCGTGTCATGTCCTTTGATAATAACAGTGGTGATAGTAATAGTGATCATCATCACCAATCACGTCGTCGTGGTACCGGATTCCGATCATCATCTTCATCATCATCATCAATACCAATATTACCATCTGAAGAATTGGAAAATATCGAACAAGAAGAAGAAGTAGCAACAACATTAGCAACATCCTTATCATCTCCCATAATTATAACCACATCAATGCCAACAGCAGCAACAACATCGGCAGCCGATATTGCCGGCACATCACATCAAATTCGGACAACTTTTACCGAAACGACAGCAGCATCATCATCTCATCACATCGAAACTCGTCAATTACAATCAGTACGTCGAAGATTATTTCAAACGGCAGCATCTTCAACAACGGAAACATCAAGTACCGATTGGCTTGCAGAACAAATCGAACAAATTCAACGACAACAACGTGAAAGATATAATTTTGATTTTGAACGTGGATCACCATTACCGGATAGTCCTGGTCATCGTTTTCGTTGGGAACCAGTCATTCAACAACAACCGATTGAATCATCAATTCAATCAACATCAAAAACTAAATCTTCCGGTGGTTTAACTATTCCTACGACAAGCATGACTAAACAAACATCTTTAATGGGTATGTTTTGTATATTTATCTTATTTATTATTATCATCAATTTGATAAAGTGTTAAAGTTGAGAGGGTTTTTTCCTTAATGTAATGTGTCACACACACCTATGATATTGATCGATTTTGGAAATGAATGAATATTATCATTTTTCAGATAATCAAAATGGATCCAATGATTTGATATGTGTAGCCTCTTTGTTTGCTAGCAATCTGTTTACAAATGTTAAATTAATATCAAGAGAGGCACACGTCAATTTTTTGAGAAAAAGATAATTTTTTCACTGTAGAGTTAGTCATAAATCCATGATATTTGAAATATTGAAAGTGTTTTTAGCCATTAAATACAATCATCAATCAAATTAGAATGGAGAATTTTTATAAAAAAATCAATTTAATTGAAAATTTTCTAATTTTGTTTTTTTTTCATCTTATTTTCCCTCTTGTCATTTTTGGATCATATCATATATGTAGGCATGTTACCGGTACGATGTAAAGCACGATCATTATCAACAATAACGACAACGACATCATCATCATCAAAGGCTGCTACAGCTAAAAGTATTGATATTGGTGAATATGAATCGAAACAAAAACGACCAATCTCTACAGTGGAATCATCCGAGGAAGAATCCAAACATTCTGAGTATTCAAAAATGTTGAAAATAAAACATCCACGATTGGAACAAACATCATCATCAAAAGATGATGATGATGATCCTAAATCAAAGATTGTTTCAAGTTCAACATCATCATTATCATCAGAACAGACCACTAAAGAGATTACGGTCATTGAATGTTCAACATCGCAATCACCATCGTCATCAACATCTAGCTCGTCGTCATCGTCGTCGTCGTCATCGGGAAAAAAACGTGCAACTTAAACGTAAAATGATACAATACAAATCGAAATCGATTGAAGTTTTTGTGATGATTTAAAATTTCGGGCACCATTTTTTTCATTAATTCATTCATTCAACCTAATGAGTACAATTCTTTCAACAAAATTCAACAAATTTTCATTTCATCATCCCAGCCCTTCTTACCACTCGAAATTTTCTTCTTTTTTTCAAATTCAAACACACAAACACTTTATTACTATTAATATCACATTACAGAATATATTTCCTATTTTATTAATGTTATCTATTATGAAAAAATTCATTCATTCATTTCATTTCATTTCATCCATAATAATCATTTCAAATGAATCTCATATTTATATAATTTCATTCATTTATTATTGATATATTTCAAGAAACAAACGCAAACAACAAAACATACAAACACTAAAATGATCTAAATCTTCTATTTCTTTTTTCCCTTCCATCCCTAGTCAATGACTAATATCTAATTTAAATGAAAAAAAATATTATTATGTCATCATTATCATTGTAATAATTGTTTTTCTCTCTCTTTCTTTCTATTCATAATTACACTGATAATTTGGAAAGAAAAACATACACCACACACACAATAATACAGCTACTAACCTGATTCTTTCTTTCATTCTTTCATCCATTTTTTTTTTGTTTGTTTTTTTTCAGAGATAAATATTTTGTGGTTTATGGTTTTCAGGCAATCATTATCAAAACTTTTGTCTGTTGGTCTGTTTTTAAATTTTAAAATATAAAAAAAATTTCAATAAAAAAATAATGAGTTTTTTTTGGAAAAAAAAAATTTCGGGAAATTTCCCATACAAATTGTTCCATTTCCTTTCGGTTTCTTGTCGGTGTATTTTTTTTTCTCATTGATGATAATGATGACCATCATCAAATTAACTGAACCTTGACCATTTGTTGTTTTCAAAATGAATCTCTTTTGAGGTTTATGGTTGAAAGATTTTCTGATGATCATCAACAATGAGAGCGAGAATAAGAGAGAGGATGTAGAGTGTGTCTATCATAGAATATTACTATTATATTTGGCCAAAAGACATCGAAAACAATAAAACTTGATTGTTTAAATCAAAGGTCAAAGGTAATTTCATTATTCAAAACAAAAGAACTTTTTTGACAATTAAAAATAAAAGAATATTCATAATTTTTGTTTTGTTTTACATTTCACAACTTTCACAATGTTTCCTGTGTTTGCTCTAATCATATTCGTGTGTATGACAGATGTTTGAAAAGGGCCGGGCAGAAGAAAAAAAAGTCGATCAAATAGCGGAACATATTATGAAAAGCAACAAAAAAAACAAAAATCGAAAGCAAAAAAAAACAGGCCATCTGTCTTTGAATGTCTTCAAGATTTTCTGTTATTGTTGTTGTTGTTGACAATATAATAACACCATCATCGTCCGGTCAATCCGCGGATCGTCAAGAAAGTTCTGTCCATTACGGTCATTGTATACCACTACTACTACTAGTGTTACACTTTTAGGAATAAAAGGACAAAGGTCATTCAACGAATAGAAAAACACAATGAGAGAAGCAAGCAAAAAAAACCGACAAATAAATGATAATATCTGTCGAATCATCTTCCTTTTTTTTATTATTCTTGATTTATTTAACAACATCCGTTTGTTGTTGTTGTTGTTGCTAGGATGATATTGGCCTTTTTGAGACTGAAATTGAATTGTTTTGTGTCCATTCGTATCGACAACAACAGCAACAGCAATTTTAAAAATCGATTCGGTTCATTGATTACGATCTCGTGCAGGAAAAAATAGAACAAAGCAACTAATTACTCATCATCATCATTATCTATTTTCTATTTAGGTACATAAAGAGTTAATGATAATGATAGAGGTCATTTTTTGTTTTGTTTCATTCGGATATGATCAATCAAATTTCATTTTGGAAAAATTTGAAAAAAACGATAATAGCCAAATGGTCATCATCATTTGGATATGAATTCAAATCACTTCTGTTCTCGTGAAAGGAATCAGTTCCTTTTTTTCTGGTGTTTGTTTGTGTGTGTGTGTGAGAAAAAAACATAAACACCTGCCCTAAAAAAAGGTAGAGTTTTTTTTTATTTTAATTTTGGCGCCAAAAATAAAAATAAAATCTTCTGTTCAAAATCTTCTGTATAGGTGCGTGTATGCAAATAATAATAATGTCAAAAAAACAAACCAAACAAACAAATGGCAAGACTATAAATGTAGAGCAATAGGGTGATATGGTAAGGTATGGTATCGACCCACACACACACTTACAAAATACAGGTAAAACACACACAATGGGTACTTTTTGTTATTATTATCGTGAGAAATACATCCATCCTGATGATGCAGGTATCCTGACTGTTCCATATAATGTTTTCCGTTTTTTTTCTCTCTCTCTCTCTCTCTTTCTCTCTCACTTCAATTTCTTCCCATAATGGTCGGTGTGTGTTTTTTTTCAATCGTTCCCTATGGCCACAGTTGTGTGTGCGATAAAATTTTCTCATCATCATCATCGCTGGGTACGTACCGGATGGATCAACACGTGTTCATTGTTCACACACACATCATTGAATGAAAAAGATATGACTGGTTTTGGCGCCAAAATTGTTTGGATTGGTTCAAAAAACAAAAAAAAATTGGTTCAATTTTTTTTGGCGCGTAAAACCCAGCCAATACCATGACCTCCAAAATGTTTATTTTGGATTACACCACCATCACTTGGAAACAAGATGCAGATTTGTTTATAATAATAGTGAAAGATGAACTTTTCAAGACAATTTTTTTTCCTTCTTCAATCTAATTTTTGAATTAAATTCTAAACATAAGGTACAGAGTGAAGAAAAGAAAATCCATTGAGGTCATTTGCAAAAAAAAAACAAAACTAAATATTAAAGACAACTGACAACAAGGGCAGATGTCTTACATCTGCAGATAAGAAGAATTATTCCAAAACAATTGTAATATACGTAGTTGAAACGTTTGGACCAGACGTTTGGCGCACGACGATTATGATGACTATGAAAATACCCCTATGGGCATTTATGGTCAGTTCAATGGCTTGAAAGAAAAAAAACAAAATACTATAGCAGCTGCTGTTTTTTCTCTTCTTTCTCTTTTTTACATTGATATAACTTGACCGGTTGAAATTAAATAAGCAAAGACAGTTTGGGTCAAAGCCAATTGAGACCCTTTTTTTTCTTTTTCTTTTTTCAATTTTTTTTAAAGAAAAAATAAGTTTGTTGTATTGGCACGCGTCATCTCCTATCATAAGATTGAATTTAAATCTTTTCTTTTAGTGATAATAAGGATAGTAATTTATTTGTTAAAAACTTTTTTTTTTTTTTTGGTTATATTAAGAATTAACCAAGATAATCATCATCATCATCGTCATCATCATAGAGATCAAGAATATGGGAAAATGTTTCGTAAGGGGAATGTATGAATGATTTATTGAATGATGATCAATTGAAATTGATATATTTCATTCCGATATGAATACTGGATAATCTTCGAGATCAAATTTTAAAATTTTTGATTGATTATTATTTAACGATGATGATGTTGATGATAATTGACAAACAAAAAATGTTCGTCCATTTGGTGTTAAACTTAAATCATGTGCATCATAAAATGATCCATTTTGTGGTGACCAAACATCCACTATTTGTTCGGTGCCTAAATCAATCGAAATACCAACTGTTGATTGTGGACCACCATTCAAAGCAAGAATAACATCACCTAATTTAATGAAGAAATAAATTGATTAAATTTTGATTTTTTTGTCTTTTTTTTCATCAAATACAAACCAAAATGAGCTATTGCATATACTTTTCGAAGTTCACTTTGTTCCAATTCAAATAATAATAAACCAGGTGGACGTCTTATAACATCCGATGAAATTGAACTAGTCAATCCAGCACTATAGCACATAATACGATCATTTTCTATTTGAATTTTAAAGAAAAAATTTCATTTAAAACTTTGGTAATTCAATAATTTTAATAATTTTACCTCGATCGGCCACACAAATTAAATCTTCGTTCTCCAATAATGCTAAACTATGTGGTGTTCGTAGATTATCTGGAAAAAAAATCAAATTCTTTAAAAAAAAGATTCTCAAATATAATAAATTTACTAACCATTATTTGCAAATTCTGTAACATAATGTCCATTCGGAGTAAAAACAACAATACGGGAATTACAATATCCATCACTAATATATACTGTTCCTGTCGATGCAACAGCGACATCCTTTGTGTGAAAATTAAATTAAAATTTATAAATTTTTTTTCTTCATAAAATCTTAATTTTAAAAGATAATACCGTTGGTTTACAGAAATGATTCGAATCCGAACCAGGTACGAAACGTTCACCAAGTACTAGATCGGCTTGTTCAAAATTATTATTTTTATAACGAAATGCTTGATGTAATGCAACATCGGTAAGCCAAAGATTTCCTTGTGGATCGACCGATATTCCATGTGGTAGATAAAATCTATTTCAGAATGAATTTTCACCAAATTGGTATTTCATGTTAAAGAAAAGAAAATTTTTTACCTATCTTTTCCCCAGGAAAACATAACATCAGCATTTTCTAAATCGACAGCCACAATTGTATCAACATTGACAGGTCGATCTTGATGTTGATAGATATTATCATCATTAAATGAGCTAAGAATATTTCGAATAACAATAATCAATTGGATTTTTTGTTTGTTTGATAATTTTCAAAACTTACCTTTGATCCCAGGTAATATTTCCACGATGAAATATATAAAGAAAATCTTTAGTTGCAGCTACACCGGATACTTGACCTAACAGTTGATCAAAATGATGTTTTTGTGCTTGTAATGCCCATTCACGATTTTCTTTAGCATGTTTTGAAGTCAAATATAAAAGCTCATTGGCTCCCGATGATGATGATGATGATAATCGTCCTTGTGCTTCTAATTGATCATCCATATCAATCGGATTAGTTGATTCAAGATCTTGATCAACAAAAGGTCGACCATAGAATCGTCCATGGCAATCATTTGTTATCAACAATATGATGGTCAATGATAATATTAATGGACAAATTCGATGATCCATATTGTTTTTTTTTTAAATTAAATAACAACCTAATCTTATGATTGCCAAGATTAACTGTCAACTTACATACGTATATACAAACACCAACACAAAAAAAAACTGTGACGCAAACAACTCGAAAGAAATCGAGCAAATCTGACAATTATTCAGTGATGTGTCAATACAGTTATATACGCTATATACATAATTTTTTTAATTTAGGAACCAAGAGAATGGACTATTATTCGATGGTCGATTGGCCAACCGATTCGGCGCCATTTATATACTTTTTTTTTTGTCGTTGGATAAATTCTAATATGAATCAAAAACTTAAGATGGCACTACCAGAATATACAGAATAATAATAATTCAGGAAAACAAATTTTGAAATTTTATTTTAAAAAAATGTTTATTTTTTTTTAATTAGCAAATTATTTCAATGTTATAGAATTATGAAATTCTAAACAATAGGATAGCTAGCTTGTGATGCAATACCACATTGATTATTTTTGTTACGTGACATAAGAATATATCCATCCATACCCCATGTTGTACCCCAAGAATTTCGAACTTTCCAATATTCTTTACCATCTGAACTAGTACCATAACCAACAACGACTACACCATGATCTAACCAATCTTGTGAACAATCATTATGATCATAAACACCAGATTTATACATCATAAAATAATTAGAACTAGCATCGATTGCAACCGAAATTGGACCAACTTTTGCGCAAGCTGATTGTAATGCATGTTCATCATATTTTTTTACATCAACATAACTTCGGATTGTAGCACCAACAACTTTGCCTTGGTCTTTAGATTCACATAATTCATCGATTCCAGCGTATGGATAAGATTTTTCTGTATCGATACCATGATTTTGAATTACAAATTTAAATCCATTATCCATCCAACCACCTTCACAGCCATTATCACCTTGACTGCCCGAACAATCGACTAATTCTTGTTCTGAAAGTTCAACCAAATGACCGGTTGCTAAAGCATGTGCACTTTCCATTGAACCAACAGCCGAAAATGCCCAACATGATCCACAATTTCCTTGATTTTTGATTGGTGCAACGACACCTTTTTTAGTCCAATCAACTTCAGCAGGTAATGATTCAACATCATTATCTGTATAGATTTTCGGTGCATTTTGCATTCCTTTCGATGCAATCAAACCATTCATACGGCGAAATTCGCTGACACTTTTATCAGCAAATTGATTAACACCTAAAAGAAATGAAGATTTTTTCTGATAATACAATTGATTATGTTGTTCAATGAAATCCAATTTATCAGCAAAGATTTGTTTACGGAATTGTTCTTCTTCGCTAGATCGATATGTTCGGTTATAATTTTTCTATTATTGATCATGATGTTTGGAAAAAAATTATGAAAAAAACGGATCAAATAAGATTTGAAAATGAGCATTTTCAATTGAAAAAAACTTACTTTAAAACTAGCCCATTCATGTTCTAAACGTATTGGATCGATGGCCTGAGCCATAACGATCATAACAAAGCCAATCAAAAGTTGTGTTTTTAACATTATTATTATTATCGATTGATTTTAAACAATAAAACAGAAAGAGAAAGGATTTTTATTGTTCCATCGAATGAATCCTTTTATATCAAAAAAAAAGAACCTCATTCAATCAATCAATCAATCAAACAACGATTTTTATCAATCGATAATCAATAAGACCATATGACATAAATTAATCAAATAAACAAAGGTACATTATTATAAATTTTTTTTTTGATTACAGCTAAATCCGTCTTATTCTTAAGTGATTTGTTTGCTTTTGATCATCATCTTTATCATTCGATACACATCTACCTAAAATTTTACCAAAAAAGATTATCACCAAACCAAAGTAATAAAGTCAATTTAAAAACTTTAAAAAAAAATTAAAAACCAAGTCAATGTCCATCCGGTCGTTGAAAGTTATTGTTGTTGTCGTTTTTATCGTTTATTTCATTCTTTAACACAGAGGTTGCAACAACGAAAAAAAAATTCCTATACAACAAGATTATGTAATTATGGAATCTTTCCATCCCCCCTGGCCACTACCAATAAACACTTATTACATTTATCATCAAATGATTATGATGTGATGATGATTTTGATTGATTCAATTGATGAAAATTGATCTTAATATCAGAAAAAACTATGAAAAGATTGAAAAAAAATAAGTTGAACTTGCTTAAAAAAAGCTGATTTTTTTTTCTCTTACTCCATAGGGAATTGACTTTTATTTATTTATTTTTCAGCACAAAAATTATCTTCAGCATCATCAATAGATCAAAAACATGTTCTTATAAATACGATATTACATTCCAATCACACACTCTCCAGCAATGAAAAAATTCAGTAGTGCGATTTAAAGAAAGAAAGAAAGATTTAAATTGTGACCATAATTTTAAATGAACCCAATTCAGCAACAACAATAATATGTTAAGATCAATAAAATATAATCACAGCAGTAGTTGACACCAATCTTCCAATCATTATATTATATTTGGTTTGAATTTCCAATTTCCAGAAAAAAAGTAAAAGTAAAAAATCGATGACCATTGAAAACAATTTTTTTTTTTGTTGGATCAATAATTGATCTGTGGTTGCTGATCCTATTGGTTGTTTTCGATCGATTTTTTTTGTTGCTTCTTTTAATACTTCAAATTTAAGATGATAAGCAAAGAAACGAAACAAAATCAAATCCAATAATAATAATAATCGATTTTTATTTTTTATTTGTATTTTATACATTGAAAAATTTTCCTATTTACAATCTCGATACATTTATGATTGAATAATATTATTTATATTCATTTTGATTCACAAGAATTCGTTGAACAAAAAATCTGTTTCGACTTTCGTTTAGTTTTTGATTTTCAGCTTCTTTCATTAATTTGAAATTAATCCCGACCATTCCTTCTTATTGCATAATATTAACATTGTGATTGATTGATTGATTATGTGTGTGTGTGTCCATTGATCAATGAATAATCCAAATGATACCGAACAATATTATTAATGAATTGATAATTATATAGTTAATGAATAAATGGTCCGATGATGAATCTATGGAAAACAAAACAAAACGAAAGAAAAAAAATTATTTTGTTTGATTTTTGCTTTGGATACATACTAAAAACGGTCATAAGTTTTTCGGCAGCAACCGTTTGAAATGTATCTTCAACACTAATTTCACATTTATATTTTCCACTTGTTTTACTTGATGCACGACGTATATAAACAATTGAACCACTTGATTTGGATAACTAAACAAAAATAGAAAAAACAAAATTTTAATGTTTCAAACAAAAAAAAAATCACTGATTTACTTACATCAACTTGAATACCATCTAATGGAAATACCTGTTTATATGGTTTATGTCTTGGTGTAAAGCGAAAAAATTCCTGTTCATCACGATCCCATTCATGTGCCCTGTAAAACCATTTTAATGAATAAAGTGTTGCATTATCCAAATCAAACAGGCAGGATAATTGTAAATCGGATCCTTTTCGTACATGTGGTGGTACATTTAATGATACTACTTTAATACAATCGATTGCTTTTAAAAAATTTGAAAAAAAAACAAAACAAAATTAAAATCAATTTCAACTAAATATTAATTGATTAATGTCATTTTATTATTATTATTGATTGATTTGACCATTTGATCTCCAAAACAAAACATAAACAAAAACACCATCAAAAAGTATTCAATTTTAAAATTGGCAATGTTTGCATTCTGTAACCAATAAATTGTATTGTTTTTTTTTCAATTCAAAATTGCTGTGAAATCTCTTTTTTTTCACTCACTCTTTGCTTTGCTTTACTTTGCTTCATCATGCATGGATCAATAAAAATTCAATCAAAAATGTTCTCACAAATAAAGAGATCATAATCTTTAGACAAATATAAATCTTTTCTTCTTGTATAGCTGGTATTTGCCGATTCAGTTTTTTTTATTCACTGATTTCAATTCAATTTCGGGGATCGGTTGTTGTTGTTATTACTACACTTTATCACACACAACTAAAAACAATCTTCCCCCAACCATCCACATTCGAAATCTTTCATTTTCTCTCGGTGTGTGTGTGGATGTGATTTTTTTTCAAAATTGAAAATTGAATAAAGTTAAATTTGAAGTAAAAAAAATAATAATAATAACGGGAAACAATTTTGAAAACACTCAGTATTTTTTTTTGGGAGGGGAGGAAAACGACAAGTAAAAAAATAAAAATGTCAACCAAGAATCGTAAAAAAAAAATCGTATATCGAATATCATTCCACGGATATTTGTACGAATCGGAGAGTGGGTGGGTTGAAATAGTATTATTATTATTATTATATGACTCTCTCTCTCTTCCGAAAACATCATCATAATAATATTCGAAAACGAAATTTTGTTTTTTTTTTCCCAACCAATTCAAGCACAACAACAACAACAAAATCTAAAATATTAAAACCACCAAATAATATATATCAGAACGAGATACGATATATAATATATTTGGCTAGTTCCAACAACATTCCAATCCATTAGATTTGTTTTTTATTTTCATATCATATCATATTTATTTATTTGTAAAGAAATTCAATCAACCGCCCCTTTTATAGATACATTTACCAAACAACCCCCCCACCATCAACCAACCATTCCCGTCCATTTTTACAATAATTCATAATGGATTTGACATACTGAAGTTATCGTCGAATAATACATAATTCAACAATAATAAATCGTTTCGATTTTTTTTGTTCAATTTCATATAATTTCAAAAAATGAAAAAAAATCACAAAATTTTGATTAGGATAAAATCGATAGCAATCGTTCTTCACTATCGATTATTTGTAAATATTGTGAATATCATTCGATTCCGGATATGTTTTTTGTTCTGTTTGAAAATAATTAAAATTAATAGCTGTCAAAATCGATGATGATGGTTGATTACGTTGTTGATGATGATAATCCTTGAATGACAATCATCCAATATTTAAACACATAATGAATCAATTACGTAATGTTGAACCAAAAAAAAAAAAAAAAAAAAATAGCTTAATACTTTCAGTTTTACTAACTTGACTAACAGAAAATTGTGTTATTGAATGGATGAATGATTAGATTCGTTTGCTCAATTGAATTCAATTTTCGTTATTCACTATTATCATCATCATCATCATTTTATTTATCCCAAACATTTCATCAAGCATTAAACATTTAATGGTTCGATTATGATTCTACCACCCAAAAAAAAAGAAAAAACATACCCATAGTTACAATTTAAATTGAACCAAAAAAAGAAAAAAAAAGATGTTATCATCGTCAATTCAAATCATTGAAGCAAACATTAATTCCAACAACTCTCAAACACACTTCTCAAAACATACACAAAAAACATAACTGAAGATGTTTTTTCATCTTCTTCGTTTTCCTAGATGATGATGATGATGATAATGTTCAGCTAAAAGTAATGATCGGCTAAAATGTTTGTTTGTAGAGTGTATATAGGTGTGTTTGTTCACTCTTTCTTTTTTTTTGATTCCTTGGTGATAATGATGATATCACCAAAGTGAAAGTGAGAAAACATTTTCACCAAGCACAAATGGCAAATTGTTCTTCTGTTGATGTGTCAGGTGAAAAAAGAAAATTTTCTCTCTTTCACCATGTCACTTCATACAGAGAGAATACACAGAATACGAAGATCATAAATCACATTTAAAAAAACGAAAAGAATTTAAAAAAAATTTCTCAACAACAAAACGGGACATGATATTCTTTGGTTGAAAATGATGATGCAAAAAAAATGCTGAGATAGCTTTTTTTTCGTTTTTCCTCCCCCCCGGTTTTTGTTTTAAACAACCACAGGACCAAAAAAAAATTGAGTTACAAGTTGTGGTTGTTTGGAATCGTTACGACAATTTTTTTTTTTTTTTTTTTTTTTTTTGGAATTGAATGAGAATTTGTTTTTCTTCCCGAAAAAGTGTCTCCATGTTTTATATGTTGTCGAGAAAAAAAAATACTTAATTATTACAAATGATAAATGTGTGTGTGAATAGTGAATACAACACAATCTTAGTCAGCAAATTCAAATAAAATTTTTTCTATTTTTCGATACATCATTTAAAATGAAATTATAATTGAGTAATGATTTTGAACTAAGTTTTTCAAAAGGGGATTCTCTTGTTTGAATAACATTGCTACATATATAGGAAATCGATATTTTGAATGAATGTTGTTGTCGACAAACAATGAATATACCTGATATCGTAATGATGAATAATAATGACAACAACCAAAATCGAATGGCCATTTTAAATGTATTCATCGATTGTTGAAAAATGTAATAAGAATTTTTATTCTGTTGATGTTGATTTTGATGATCCATTGGGATTAAGTTAGATTGATCAATAATGTCATCATTGCCAACATTATTATTGTTTATGGCCAATATTGTTGTTGTTGTTGAGCCTATCATGATAGCCATATGATGATTGATCATCGATTTATGAATTATAATGTTTGATATTCGTTTTTGTTTTTGTTTCTGTTGTCGTAATAATAATCGTTCCATATGTTTGTTCTCATTCTCATTATTACCATCATCATAATACCGTGATAGGCTTTGATGGTGATGAAAACTATGAAAATATTCGTAAAATGTTATCATTAGACATTGTCGATCATGATGATGATGGATCGCCATCATGTGATGTGATGTGATGTGATAGATGGATCGATCGATTCGTTGTTGATCACTTGATCATCAATGATGATGTTGATGTTGTTCAAAAAAAAAACAATGTTAGGCAATGTTTGTAGCACACACCAGAAACAAACTAAAAAAAACTTTCAACACCTGGACAACATCAGACAAATGATGATGATATTTATTTTTGAAAAAAAGTTAGTTTCGCGGGCTGATACAAAGCAAAAAACTTTTTCACATTCTAATCGATCAGTTTCAATATCCTGATACAATTGAGCAAAAACATACACGAAACAACATCAATATTTTTTTTTTTTTTTGGCTGGAAAAAATTGATGAGAGCTGATGATGATCACCAAAAAAAAAATAACTAATGTTTTTATTAAAAAAACAAACAAATGAAAAAAANAAAACAAAAACTTTTTCACATTCTAATCGATCAGTTTCAATATCCTGATACAATTGAGCAAAAACATACACGAAACAACATCAATTTTTTTTTTTTTTTGGCTGGAAATAATTGATGAGAGCTGATGATGATCACCAAAAAAAAAAATAACTAATGTTTTTTCATAACAAACAAACAATCGATAACAACGAATGAGAAATGAATGTTTGTTTGTTTGCTCAAATAGCGACCAAAAAAAAAAGATAACGGTATTCAATATTTCACTCGTTTCAAAAGATGCATGCGATCTCAATGATTGATGATGACAACGACTGACATTTGCGGCAGGTTGTTGTTGTTGTTTGAGTCATTTTTTTGCTAGTTTTTCAAAATGTCCAAAAGGAAGAAGATGTAACAAAAAAGATGGTGGAAAAGATGTTTCTTTTTATTTTTTATTTTCACGAAAGAAAGAATATTCGTTGATCAAGTATGATGGTTGACTGGATGGATGATTGGCTTGATGGAAAAAAAACCGCAAAAGAATTTGAATATTTTTTCTTCTTCTTTTTTGGGGATGAGCGAAGAAAACGAAGAAAAATATTTCAAATTCCAAACGGGAATTTTTACTCTTGTTGTTCAACTTGGAAAAAAAGAATGTTGATGGTGGTGGTGGTGGTGAGGAAAATGAATGAATATCGAAGGTTTTTTATGACAAATGAAAAAAGCAGAAAAGAAAACTTTTTTCAAACAACAAAATGGCAAAATTCCTTTTCGAATCCAAAAAGCAAAATGATGAAACGAATATCGAACGTTTAGAAAATGAAAATGAAAATTGCTTGACGAAACTCAAACCAAAACAAAACCAAACCAAATGAAACAAACAGATCAAATCGAATATATTTGGTACGCCGGTAGTGAAGTCCTGTAATAATAAAAAAAATTCACTTTTCCTTTTTTCTTTGTTGTCAAATAGCTAGCTGAACAAGATTATGGTTGTCTGATCTCTTCTGGTCTGGTCGTGGTCTCATATCTCTGGCCAAAATCATTATACGTAAAATACACACGCCCCCAAAATGCATCTGCGCATGATTATTTCGAATAAAAAAGAATCGAATTCGAACATACATACACACAGAATATATTATGAAATCTTTTTTTTTTTTATTATTCATTATATCAGGACGACCGAAAATGATGAATCAAAAAAACTTTTGAACAAAATTTTGGATGAATAATAATAAACGATGCGAAAAACAGTTTCGGGAAAACGAAAGAAAGAAGAGAGAAATGGATAAAGTGTGGTTAAAGTGTGAAAATGAAGATTCTCAAAATAGATTGAAAAATTTATTTTTGGCCAATTTTTTTCAAGTATTTAGTGTCATGTCATCAACATTATTGTCAATGTCAACATTATTATCCAACAACAACAACAACAAAATGATCGTAATAAGCTTCAAAATATCAACAAGAAAAATTATCGTCAAGTTTTGGCTGTATAATCCAATGATAATGTTTATTGACACTTTTTGTTTTCTTCAATGATTTTTTTTGACCCGATAACATACCCACATAGGTCAAACCAACCAAACCAAAAATAAAAATCCAAACCATAATCATAATCATAATGATCCAATCGCGTTGTATTTTTGGCAATTTAAAAAAATTGTGGTTTTTGGGTTCTGTCGTTGACATTTCTTATTAACGAATTTTTTTTCATTTGAAATTTTGAATAAATGAAAAATATATTCAATAAACTCTATATATATGTAGGATGATGAAGTAATAATAAATGTTTGGCCATTTTCTATGCCTATGTTGGTCTTCGTTTCTGGATTTAGACGATTTAAGTTTTTTGTTTGAAAGAATCATTTGAATGGTTCTACTTGAATCCAAACAGCAACAACAACGAAAGAAAATTATCAACGTTAAAAATAGAATTAAAAAGTTTCATAAATCTTTCAATTCATAAGAATCAGAGAGAGATTTTTGCTTTCTTCACTCGCACACACACACACAAACAAAAATCCATTTCTATTTTGAATGTGTTTTCAATTTTTTATTTCTTTGGATTGAATGAATGAATGAATGAAGAGAATCTGTAAATGATGGTGAAAAAGAGCCACTTATAAGAACATTTTTATGCCCATTTATACTACCAGAGAAAAAAAACAATGATATCTATCTTTTTTTTACAGATGTTTCTTGTGTGTGTTTCACTCACCATAAGATCATCATCATGATGAAAAATTTTTTAAAGTTTCAAAATCCAAGTGTCATTTTCAAACAAATTTGAAAATAAAAATAGATAAATAATCATTGTTAACTCGTTTTTCGCTGAGGCAAGGATCCCTAACCCGAAAAAAAGATGGAAAAGTGGATCTGAGGTGTGATATATACCCAGAAAAAATGATTCAATTATACATTTTTGGTTTTTCTTTTGTAAAAGGGTTACAACAGTTGCTTAAAGATGGGCAGATATTCTGTCAAAATAATTTATATAAGTGTTACACACACATCGGATGCTGAAAATGATGTTGTTTTTTCTTTCAGAAACAAGCGAAGCATGGTATGAAAAAATATGAAAAATATGATTACGAAAAACAAAAACAACAAGAAAATTTTTTTAATCCAATCTTTTGAAAAGCTTTTAGACCCATAGATTATTATCATCATCATAATGGAGATATGACGCCCAATTTGTTGTTGTTGTTGTTTTGGTGTAAATGGTTATGGTGGTGTGAAAATAGTGTTTCAAAAAAAAAAATACGATACGACAAATTTCCGATTGATGTATGGGAAGGTAGATATGGTCGTCTATTTGTTTTTCCTGTTGTTTTTTTCATCTTTTTCTTCTTCTTTTCGGATCTTGAGCTTGAAACAAACAAAAACAACAACAAAAGTAGATCTCATTTAATTAAAATAAATATTTACAAACAAACGAACGAAAAAAATCACCTACCACCCACCATATCATCATTATGATCATCATCGTCACATGAGGATTTTTATAATAACAGAAAATAATAATGACACGTTTTCAGTATATCATCGTCATTAATATCTATATAAAAAACGACATACGAAGGGAGACAAACAAACAAAACAAAACAAAAAAGATATTAGAGATGCCCGTGGCATGTGTGTGTTATCCAAGTGAAAATTTTTCTTTTTTTGCCTTTTTGTTTTATATCCAACCAGACCGAATGTGTGTGTTCCGTTTAAATACGAAAAGTACCCAAAGAACCAGAAAATTATTACACTCCATAAGTTATATCCCATAATAAATAAGAATGAATGAATAAAAAACAATTTTAATTTACACTTTTTTTTCCACATATCTTTTGGTCGTCGTCATTGTATACCATCGGGATCAATAATTAAAAGACCCTTAGTGTTAGATTAGATTATGACAGCTTTGGCTGAATTTCATATACATGGAGATATATAGTGTGTATTATGCTTTCATTCATTCATTTGTTTATTTATTTATTTGAAATTTTTTTGGGACCTTCACCAAAACCAAAAACAAAACAAAAAAAACAGCCACCAATGTGTTATGACAATCATGTATTGTGTAACTTTTGTATACATTTTTCTTTCTATTTTGTAACTAATTAGTATATTGTGTCCATAAATGTTTTCACTTTCTCTCACTCTCTAATGATAATCTCTTGCTAATCTTTTTAATATGAAATGCGAAAAAAAGGAGAAAACATCATGATAAAATCACTTTCAAGCCAAAAACAACAAATTTTTGCTACCAGATTTGAAATATTCATTTGGGAAAATAATGATGACCTTCTTTGATTAGTTAGTTGATATTTGGGTAGTCGTTATTGTGTGATTTTTTTTTGAATCAGGATGTGTGTGTGTGTGTGCGAATGACAAGTTTAAGTAAAATTGATTACCGATGTCAACTAGGTTTTTTATCATTTCAACCAAAAATTTTTTTTTTCAAATCTGAATCCATTAGAATAATTATTATTAAAATATTAATACAAAACAAAAAATATTTTGTCAACAGCTTTGGATTATTGTTTTTTTCAATTGGTGTCACCATTTTCATTGTTTTAAGTGTAGGGGTGTTTATAAAAAAACAAACAAAACATTATTATTTGTAAGCAATTGACCATTATGGGCCATTATTATGAGCGAAAAAAATACTGGATCAGTAAATGAATGAATGAATCAGTCGATCCATAGTTTTTTGCTTTGTTTTTAACATGAAATGAATGACTGATTTTTTTCTTCTTTGGATTCTTGTCGACTTTGGTGTTTGGTGTGTGTGGTGTGCATCATTTATTTAGTCAAAATGGTAGTTAACGGTAACCATTTTTAAACAGCAGCAACATCGACAACGATTTTTTGGAATAGGATGAATATCCATACTATGGGTAGTGCAGTAATTTTTTTGTGATGTTGTTCATAGAAAACAAAATAAAAGGAAAAAAACGATGTGAAATGGACCGAAATGACTCTCGTGTGTATAATCGGTCAATTGGTATATGATGGCAATGTTTATAGTGAGTATAGTGAAACGGGTATTTGATGTTTGACTATTGAATATTATGAATGTGTGTGTGTGTTTGTTCAGAAAAGTGAAGTGAAGGATAATGTCTTGGGATTTGACTAATCTTTTTTTCTTCTTCTTTCATTTTGTCGGTTGATGTTGTTGTTGTTTGAAATTTTCTATCTTTTGGTTTCTCTCACTCTCACTTTACACATGTTCTGTACCGAAATGTTTTAGTTGTATCATACATTCTTCTTCAACAATTTATTATTATTTAAACACCATTCATTTTTTTCTGGTCATCGTAATCAGTTTGTTACATAACTGACCATCAATCTATCACTTATAACCATTTTTTTTTCACTAAACAAATAAAAATTTGACATAAACAAGTCATAAATCTCATCAATTAAATATATATACAAACACAGACTCTAACCTCTGGAAGCAGAAAAAAAAACATTTAAACTATCAGATTTGGGCCAGTTTTAGTTGAATTTGTAACAAAGTTTTTGTGGATCCCGGATAGTTTTTTATTTGTATGGCATTCTGGTTTTCTGGCCATTGAAGAAAAAAAATATTTGAAAGATGCAATCATTTGACAATCAAACTTTTTATCTTTTAGCTTGATCGGTGTTTATCTATTTCAGTTTTCCTGATTGGAATCACCTTGACAATCATTTTTTTTTATTCATTCATCCAGACGAATGAATGATACATTTTTGACAATTTTTCGTTATCATATTTATCGCCCAATTCAGATGTTTGTCAGAATGTGATGCAGCTGCTATGAATTTGACGTCAATTTTGGAAAATTCTGATTTATTATATAAATTGATTTGATTTTTTTTGTTGGAGAAATGATTTTTATTTGAAAAAAATAAAACTTTTCCGCATTAGTTTTCACTGATTATAAAAAAGAAAAACCTTGAAAAAACCATGAAATTCAATATTCAAAAAAGTTTTGTAATGTTGATGATAATTTTCGATATTGTTATGATTATCGATGGTCATAATCATCGTATGGAACGGGCATTATCCGATTTAACTAATCGTAGTACAAATTGGATGGCTAAACGTAAGTTTGAGAAATGTTGATGACGATTGATTGAACAGTTTTTTTTTTGAATATAATTCATTAGCATTAAGAAATCGTATTAGTAATACTAGAGATAATTTGAATGGAAAACTATCTAATCTATCAAATCAGGTAAAAGCCGATGGTTTAACTGATGGTTTAAGCGATACAATATCGAATACATTATCAACATTAACCTCGACGATTGGTGATTTAACATCAAGCCTTTCTAGTTTATTATCCGGTATATTATCAACAATTTTATCATTACCATCATTTTTAACATCAACATTATCATCGCTGGTTGGTGGATTATCACAAACAATTGGTGATCTTGGTTCATTGGTCAACGATTTATTAAGTGGTTTAACTGATTTATTAACTGAGTTATTAAATCTAGATGTTATTAATACGGATATTCTTAGTGATGTTGCCAATACTGGTTCAAATCTTCTTAATAATTTAGGTGGTATACTTAACAATACAGTTGATTCTTTATCATCGATGATTAGAAACAGTATGTATTGCAGTAATTTAAAACAAACAAACAACAATAATCTAATCTATTCTCGTCTTAAAATAAAGCTGATTTAGATAATGAAACACTACAAGGGGTTGTTGATCTATTGGGAAATCTATTGGATTCATTACAAAATACTACTACACGATTGATTAACTTGTTGAATTCAACTACCGATACAGTAGTGAATGGAATTCTTGTTGGTTTATTGAATAATGTTCAGGATTTATTAACCGGTACAGCAAATCAAATTGAAGGACTATTAAATTCATTACCCGATACGCTTAATTCAATACAACAATCATTACAGAAAATACTGTCCGGTTTACAGGATACATTGGATAATTTGACAGATGCATTAAATTCAAATAATAATGGTTAACAACAACATTATCGAATAATAATACATAATTTCTACATCATCTAAGATCTCTTTTTCCAATCAATAATTTTTTCCTTTTTTTCTATCTTTCCAATTCACAAAAATCAATCAATCAATCTTTAAAAGACAGTAATTTTACTACGAAAATTTCCAAATAAAAATATTATCATTCAATATTTTGAATGAAGTTAACTCCCAAAAAACGAAAAAACAAAATTACCAACAATTATAGATCAATGAATCAATGTTTTTTCTTTATTGCTGTTGCAATAATCATTGTTATATGCCCGATGATAATAATGGTTATAATTAATTTAAAATTCCCATTGGAAATTTTATTCAATTTTACCATTTAATGGGCCCCATTTAATTACATTTGAATATAAAAAATAAAGTTTTTCGACAATCCACCCAATATATCACGCAAATCTCAATGAATGAACTGATTTTATTTTTTCTGTTTGTTTTGTTGTTGAAAACATTTTTTTTAAGCAAAAAAATAAAAATAAATTGAATTATGATGAGGAATTTAGCATTGGCAATTTTCATCCACATAAAATGTCATTTCATTTTAACTTATCATTAGATCATTGAAGGAAAAAAAATCTTAGACATCAGATGATCGAAACTTTTAAATCGAAAACATTCATTTTATTAATACAAATTAATGATGATCATCGTCATAAATTCATTCACTAATATAAACTGCTAGAAATTAATCTAAATTTGTTTTTGTTTGTGCTAGTCTTATTAATAATTGTCAAAAATTATCATTTGACCTAGCGATGTTTGTTTTTTGTTTTTGTTTTTCTAGCTGTCAAATTTGACTGGGGCGAACTGGAGGGGTTAAAAGCTTTAATTACTGAAAATTTTTTGCTTAACAAATTTGTTTGTTTGAAAAATCAAGAATCAAGAATTGACCATCATGATGGTGATGAATCCCATCGGTGCGTTGTGTGTGTATTTTGCCATCATCAAATAGATTATATAATGAGTGTCTATGGTTGTTTGTTTGTTTGTATTCGAATAATTTTCTTTTTTTTTCTTTTGCTTTTTTTCGCTCTACTTCTTTAATTCAAATCAATCATCAAATTAGAAGAAGAAGAAGAGTCTATGTTTGTGTTTTTATGTGTGTTTGTGTTTGTAAGTACGTTTGTGTTAAATGTAGTACAAGCATCATCAATGATGATGATCATAAATTAAATACTGTTGTTGTTTGTAAACTTTATAAATGAACGAGGTCGACAACTATGTTGATGTTGATGTTGATGACGATTAATTGACCTGTCCAAAAATTGGTCCACCATTCACCATTTACATCGACAAAATTGGCTGATTAAATGATTAAACGTTTGTCGTCGTTGCAACAACCGAATGCTGACCATTTTTTCTCATTTCGAAATTAGCCAGAAAAAGGAAAAAATCCAAGCACCAAAAACACAATGACAAATTGCTAATTACATCATCAACATCGACAATAAAGAATTTTTGTGGAATTTTCAAACTTTATTTATTTAGATCTATAAATGTAATCAATTCAGATAAGAAATTATATAGTCAAACTATAGTGAACGAAGCAATTGATGATTCCAAAAAAAATGTACCTGTGTGATTGGAATAGTGCTGATATGAAGAAAAAGAAAAAATCAAAACTTTCATTTCGAAGAAAAAATTATCGAAAAAGTGAAATGTTTTTTTTCTCGATTCAATCCATTCAAGTCGACCATATTTTTGCTCCATTAATGTTTTTTTTTGGCCAAAAAAAATGACAAAATCAATTTTAATTTGCAAAGGAAAAAATCTTTGGCCAAAAAAAAATTGCTTGATGATCAAAAAAAAAAAAGTTTCTACAACTTTTAAATTGGTTTTTCATGCACACACACTATATGAATTTTGGTAAATTTCATTCAACATGATGAATGATTATGGACAAATTATTTAAATTTTTTTTTTCGTTAACTGCATTGATTTTTCATTTTTTTTCTGGTTGAACTTTTAACTTTAATTTCAAAAATGGATTCAATTCCATAGACTCGAAATAAGTTTCAAGTTTTTGATTTCGTTTACAGATAATTAAAAATACATTCAAAGTTCCAAATATAATTATAATGTAACCTAATAAATGAAATGTTTATTCATTTTTTTCTGTGGTGCAACAAAAAAAAAAGTAAATTACTTAATGAAACTAGAAATACATTTCTGTGGGATTCCATTTCCAAAATCATAAATTGATGACAATCAATATTACTTTTTTACTATTACTTATACATTTATATTACTATTATCACCTTTGATCAACAACCAAAAAAAAAGCTCCCAGTATAATTCGTTTGTGTTGACACAAACACTCAGACACACACTTATTACATGCAAGTGTAATACCCAATTTGATGATACCATTATCAAATAATAATAATGACCACAAAACATTGGCTTAACTATGAATCTCAATTGATTGATATAAAAAAAAATATGGAATTTATTTCATTTTGGCCAGCAAAAAAATAAACCCGAGGCTATATATAAATGTATGTGGTCGTCTTGTTAGTGATGGTCATTACCGTTCTCTTATTTCTGCTAGTAATATTTATCCCAAATGATTATCATCATCATCATCATTATTGTTATTATTATTGGAGAACCACAGATGAGTCCTTTGCTCTACATCTATTTAGAGCCTCATTTACCATCATCAAACAACATTATCATTATCATCATCATATGAAAGAATATAGAAAAAACAAACACAACAATAAGAAAACCGACCAAAGATTTGTGTTTGGTTGTGCTTTCTTGTGTTTGTATGTGACATGATCAACATCATTAGGATATGAACAAACAATGTTTGTTTATCGATTTTAGCTACATGATGATTATGATGATTATGACCAAAATCAGTAGGAAAAAATTGCAATTTATTTTACCAACACAAAACAAAACAGAAAATTTCTATTAACAATTTGATGAATTGAATATGAATTTTTTTAAATTTTCATTGTAAAATGGATTCGATTTTCAATTTTTTTCAAAAAAAACGCAAAAACACATGTAACAAATGACTTGTCTTTCCATTCTATAGAACCATCTGAATCGCATGAATGTAAAACCAAAGAATCTGTAAACATATCTGTACCTTTATATACTGGCTAATTATAGAAGAAAAAAAAATGAAAATTTCGATTAATGATTGAATCACATTGGATAAGCAATTTAACTAACTAACTAACTAAATCACTCACTTCTTTTACTAAAATAATTAAATTCTAATCACGTAATCATCGTATTGTGTTTTTAATTAAATTTATAACCACTACAATAAATCATTTGGACACTTTAAATCATCTGTATATAGCAATAACATTGTGTGTTTGTGTCAATGCAATCAATTTTTAAAACAGGTAACACTAAAAAAAGGAAAGATTGATTTGAATTTCATCGATCAGTATTTACATTTGATGAAGAAAATTTTCCATGTTTCTTTTTCGCAACGATTAAAAATAGCATCATGATTATGATTGACAGAATGAATCAAGAAAAACAGAAGAAACAGTTTGATGAAATTATCTGTGTGTCACAAATTCATTCATTCAGTAAAAAACACAATGATTTCTTTGAGCCTCTTTTTTTTCAAGGTTATTTTCATGAAATATTTGAACAAAAAAAAATTAATATTTGGAATTATATGCAAGTCACCTATCAATCAATAACGTACTAATTATTATAGCTCATTGAACTAACTAGATCAAGTTTGTTGGTTTTGCAAGATGTTTTTTTTTTGTTTGTTGCGGACATGGATGTATCATCATTGTTCAGCAGAAAAAAAAAGATTCCATTTCTTTAAGATTTTTTCGTTCTGTTTTGAGGTCATCATTGGAAGGAAAAAACAAATTTCATACCTATCCCCTGTTTACAAACAAAAATTGAAAACATTTATTGCGTTTGAGGATAAGAAAAACATTCTCATCATCATCATCATCATCAAGGATAATCCACACAATCAGCATGACTGTCAATCTGACTGGCAAGTTGTGCCCTAAATGAAAAAACAAATCACCACCAGCAACCAGATGATAATTAATCACTATAACCGATATCACCCAAATTTATAGATGATAAATAATAGTTTACAAAAAAAGCCGACAATTATAATGAAAAAAAAATTACATACATTTTACATATATGTTTAACCGCATATTAATGAGATATAATCGATTTTTTTTTTGGATTTTCGGCAATGAATCTTTTTATCGATCAAATCAACAACATGATGATGATAGAATGCCATCAAAAACCAATCGAAACAAACAAACAAACCATTTTATTTCATTAAATTCTAAAGTGTACGTGTTAACGAGCTGTTTTTCTTCTTTGATCATTTTGCATTGATCGACGACGTGTTTAAATCCAATTTCGCTTGGACATAAATTTTCAACCGATGTTTTTGTAAAGAGAAAACGAAAAAATGATGAACAAAGAATTAATGTTAATACAATTTTCCAAATATATAACCATTGCAACAGTTTCAATTATTATTGGTATGATTTTAGCATTAATTTGTTTATGGATCTATTCAGAATGGTTAATATATCAACAAAAGTATGTTTATTTTGATATTTTTTGCTATCTTTTTCAAATTAAAAAAATTCATTAGAAAAACAAAACAATTAGATTTGGTACGCGATAAAATGGATGGTATTGAAATGAAAAGATTATTACGACAAAATTCATTTGAATCGAATAAACAAAAGCCACATAAAGATGCTGTTGTTGTTGATATATCTGATAATAATGATGATGATGATGATGATGTATCGATCAAACAATCAAATGATAATAATAATAATAATAATGATACGGCAACCGAAATGGCTTCATCCGATAAATCTATGCAGATTAATACCAATAAAGGTATCAGTTTAAAATCATTGGATGGTCTACCTCATTGAAAACGATAATTTCTTCATTAATTTCATTATCAACGAATTTTGATCATCATAAACTTTCAATTCTCCACTAAATATTTTATTCTTTCTTTTTTTTATGGTAATAATATAATATAATGTATTTAATGTATATAAAAAATGAAAATATTATTATCGAAGAAAAACAAATTTGAATTTACAAATTGAAATAGTTTGTAAAATTTAAACGAGCTTTTGGCCATTGAATTAGGCTGTTGATTCTTGATCGATGACGTCGTTGTCGTTTATCGTTGGAAATTTTATTTACTGCACCAGTTTTGATTCGTGTTTGTGAACAATATGCACTTTGTAATAATGTTATACAACAACTATGAAAACGTTTATAAACCAATTCGTTATGAATTTGACAGATAAATGTTTGATCGGAAAAATTTCCCTGTTTTGATTGAATAAAATATTGACAACAATCACGTGTTGGTTCTTCACTGTCTGTATCACGATTTTTCCACGGTTTTAAACCACAACGACAATTTACAATCGAAGTGCTTTGATTGGTCGCAGATGTTGATGAATCTAATGTAGCTATATTGAAAGAAAAAAGAATGGAAGATAATGGATGTTTAGGTTAGGCTAGATGAAAATTACCAACCTGTTTCATATATCGATATGAATGACCATATAGACCAGATCATTAATAGATAAAATGATGGCCAAATTTTAATGGCAATGAAAAGATCCATGATTTTTTTCTTCTTCTTTCAATTTTCTTTTTAAATGAGAACAAACAAACCAAACAATTATTAATGAAGCAAGAAATCATTCCATATGATGATCATTTAATACACATAAACACACACATCTAACATACATATTTGATCCTCAATAAATTCATTTCATTTCATCATTCTCTTTGATGTTTGAGTATTCATAACGTTCTCTTTTTTATCAATATTTATTTTTTTTTTCGCATAATAATTTGCTCCAACAACATTTCAAACAAACAAGGATGATGATGATGACATATGATTAAGATGATCGAACCTTTGTCCTTGACTGATTAGCTGATTGTTGAATATCATAAATCATAATTGAACAAAAAATTTTCATTTTCCAAACTTTTCATATTTTTTTACATACTAATGAAAAAAAAGAAAGAATTCCATTTATTCATAATCTAATTAATTCGATTCGATTTTTTTGTAAATTCGAATCCAAATATATTTAATGGAAGCTTGTAGTAGTTTTTTAAATCCATTCTTAATTATTGTTTGAATATCATTATTAATATCGTTGTTGTTTTGTTGATTTAAAATAATTTCTACTATTCGAGCTTTTTTTCACAAATATTTCTCTCACAATGGTTTCCTGTCGTGGTTCAATTGCTAAAGCAATTCTTTGTATGATGAATGCAACATTCATTATGATATCATTGGCCATGATTCTTTTGGGATTACAAATGAAAGTACAGCAAACGACATTATCATACGAAATGGACAGCTCAAATATGACAACCAATAGTTATCCATATAATGATGATTCTGTAGAATTGATGGGCATAATGAAATGGGATCGAATGGCTAATCTGTTGCTATTGATTGGAACATTTTTGATCATCATATCGATATATGGTTTTTGTGCAGCATTAAACGAATCATCATTATTATTGAACATTTATATCTATTTTTTGAGTATAATATCGTTGGCTGTATGGGTAACAGTTATTTTTATACTTATGTTCAATCCAACGTTGTTTGAATATAGTCGTCATTTGTTTATTGCACGAATGGAAGTAATTTCCAATCCAACACATCGTGATAGAATTAATCATGCTTTGTTTTTGCAAAATTTTCAACAAATTTTTCATTGCTGTGGTATAGATTCGCCAAACGATTGGTCAAATTCAACATTTGGAAATGTATCATTAGGTCGAGAACGATTGCCTGCAAGCTGTTGTTCAAATGAACGACAACAAAAACAAGATTTATCAATCAAATTATTTATGAAAGAAGATAGTTATAAAACTTGTGTCAAAGATCAAATGACTTATCATGATGGCTGCTTTTCATCGATACAGATTTTACGTTACCGTTTATTTGGATTAATGATTATAAGTGCCGTCATTTTAATGTTGGCTTTATTATTAGCATTAACATGTTGTCTTGAACGTGATAAACGTTTACAATTTGCTCATATGGTTAATATGCAATATGCTACACATTTATCTGGTTGTCATCAAAGTCCACATGAACTTGGATATTTTGGCCGTCGTATACATTGTCCGTTTCGAAAATCTTCTGTTGAATCACAAGGTGAACAGAATCTAAAACGTACAATGATGAGTTCCATGATCGAATCTTAGAGTCGATGATTTCGGATAAATTGCACCATTGCAATTATCAGTATTGATAACTTTTATAATTTTTTTAAAATTAAAATTTATGAATTATAAAATACATCAAAATATCCCTTCTTGATTTGTCGCCATCTATTAGCTTGTAGTGTAAAACTAAAATCATTCGAAGTATTTCCTGTTTTTATTTTTCGATTTTAATACTCAATTAACCAGCTGTAACAAATTTTAATCAAATTATGGCCACCAATTATAATTATTCAAAATTTCTAATTTGTCCAATCAATCCTAATCATAAAGTGAATTCAACACGTTATAATGATCATTTGTTGAAATGTAAATCGATGAATCATGAAAAATTTCATCATTACGAAAATCTGGATATGAATACTTCTCAGAAAGAAAACAAAAAACAATATTCAAATTGTTCGAATGAAGATTATTCATCATCATCAATGGATGACGAAGAAAGCATTATTTCCGATTCGATTCCTGAACATTATACAATTGATTATGAACAGGAATCTGGAAGACAAATAATTTCTATTGATTGGCAACGTTTGGAACAAGTTGAAACATTTCGTGAAATTCCTTGGGAGATATTAATGATTATGCCCTCTGATCAAAAACAACGTTATATAGTTTGTCTTTTCAATTATAATAAATCTCGATATACATGAAAGATTTCTACTTTATCAACACATATTTCCTCATCAATAACCAAACAACAATCATATTCTTTTCAACATTTATTGCTAATTTCTATCATTGATGTATATTCATTTCTTAACTTATTTTGATTATATAAACAAAAAAAAATTTATTCTTTCATATGAACACAACTTTTTTTGATTTTTGTACATGCATTTTTGTCATTCGAATGACTGATGCAATGTTAAAACAATAAGCCAAAATAATAATAATAATTATAATGAGGAACAATTAAATTGAAAAACAAGAAAATAAAGACAAAAAAAAAAATAGAAGGATTTGACTTAGAATATTAACAAAAATTATTTTTTTGATTATGCTTCAACACAATTGAACAGGATCAATCATCATCATTAACATGTTTGTTAAACTTTTGTCTCCTCTTCGGCTGTAAAAAGATGTGAAATCGATACGAATGATGGTATCGATGATGAAGATATGGCTGTGATAATTGTCGAGTTATCCGATTGTGATGATGATGGTGGTGATGATATGATTGTTATCGAATTTAATGATGGTGAACAAGTATTGGTTTTGGAAGATTTTGTATTTTCACCACGAAATTCAGGTGGAGGTTCCGGTGATGATTCATTTTTATCACCATCATCATTATTTGGCTGTTTTGATTGTGATAATAAAGTCGGATCATTCTTTTCGTCATTTGTTGATTGAATATCATCATTATTGTCGATTATTGTGCATTTATGTTTATTTTCGGCTGTACGACGTTCAATCTCTCTCAGTAATGCATTACGTATAATTTCATATGACATAACTAATCGTTCCATATCAGTTCGATAAAGGCGATTCAACATAGCTTGAAAACAATCCAATTCAGGTAAACGAAATAGTTCCCACTAAATCAAACAACAATTATATTTTAATATATTGAACAGATTTATGTTAAATCTTACCTTAAGTTTATGGTCATGTTCAGGTGGAGCTTTTGAATAGATATATAGCCATTGAGGAATCTCTTCGGTGAGATATGGATTTGCGGGAACAATACAATCATTGATACGTGATGGACGTGGTGGTAATGGTAATGGTAATGCTGTTGATGGTTGATTTTGTCGTAACAGTAATGGTGAATAAATAGGTTCTATCGATTTTGAAAGATTATTATTATTGTCATCGTTTTTTTCGGATTGTTCATTAGAACGATTATTCAATAATTGAGTTGATCCAAATAGTGCAGTGCTAAGCAACCTATGTTTAGGTAATAATAATGAATTTATCATTTGATTATCCAATGATCCATTAGCTTTATTATCATCATTCAATTCAGAAGAGGAAATTCTATTCAAATTTCCAGTATTGGCATATTGTCCGGAATCAGTGTCTAAAATTGATGTTGAGCTACCACCATCATTTTCCATTAATGGTGATAATTGTAGTTTTTGTTGTTGATGATGTTTTGGCAATAATTGTTGAAATAATAAAGGCACATTTGAATAAACATGATTATCTAAAATAGTGTGATTTTCTTCTTTAGGTAACGATGCAACAATTTCTTTACTTAAATTCTGTTGGTTCATCATAAGCAATTGTTGTATGTTGGCGGCATTCATGTAAATATGTTGTTGTGATTGCTGTTTTGGACTATTAAATTGTTGTGATTGTGGAGATTGAGAATGTGACCAACAAGATCCGATTGTAGTACCATTATTGTTTGTTGCTGAAATTAAATGTTGACCATAACGAGCAGCTAATGGATGTTCAAATTGTGTTTGTTGTGTAATGTGACTGAACAAATTCAAAAGGACATGATTAATTTCAGAAAAATGATATGTTTAGTTTACTTACTTAACATAATAAACTCCATATTCGGGAGATGTTACACGTTCCCAACCTGTTGGTAGACCTTCAGATTCTAATGGATGACTCCAATGAGTAGTTTTAGTATTATGATCAATATAATATTTTCTTCCTCGTAATGTAAAATCAATAGACCATCCAGGTGGTAATGGTAATGATTCTTCTTGGCCACTATTATTACTAGCAACTGCACCGATAGCTGTTGGTGATGAAGCATTCTCAGTTTGTTGAGTCGTGGTATTCACCGATGAATTCGAATTCGATGCAACTGAAGTTAAATTCTGATAAGAATTAGATTTTGAATTTGATCCTCCAGCTATCGATAATGCCTGGTTAGATGATGATTTGAATGGTCCAGATTGTAACGAAGATAATGATGATTGTGATGATGATGTTGAACAACTGACATTTGGTTGCACTTGATTTTGGCTATAAGTATTAGACGGATTTGTAACAGCAGAAAGTACACGAGCTAATGTTTCATGTGTTTGTTGATTAGAATATTGTTCCTGAATTTGTTTATGATACATTTGTATTTGCATGTTTTCCGCAAATGAATCCAATGTTGTATTACTACCATTATTATGATTAACACTTGTAGATGATGGTGATTTTATCATGGTGGGTAGATTATTGATCGATGAACACGATGACGTATTCTGATATAAGTGTTGAGCCTGTTGCTGTGTTTGAGGTGTTCGATTCTGTTGTTGTTGTTGCTGCTGCTGCTGCTGTTGACTTCGGAATTCTTGTTTAGGTGTTTTGGGCGAAAAATTATTCATCGATGTTTGAGATGATGATGATAATATTTGTTGTTGACTATTAAGATTTGATATTGATGTGGCTGCAATGTTTGATGTGGATGAATTTTCGTGTATGGATGATAATGATGATGATGGTGAATAATAAGAAGAAAATGTATCCATTGCTTGATTGATCGATGAATTAGATGAGGCATTATGTTGTTGTTTATGAAGTTCATGTACTAATGAATTCATTAACATTATCTGATGATTTGCTTGTTGTTGTTGTTGAACATAATTGGGCAATTGTTGTTGTTGTTGTTGATTCGAATAACAAGTTGTTTGATTATTTAGACAATTGTTTGAAGGGAACTGTTTTGAAAAATGACGATATTGAGAATGAATTATGCAGATAGATTTAAATTTAAATAAACTTACCGACGAACCAACAGGTTGATTATTATTAACAGATCCGGATGATGATGAAACCATTTGATTCAAATTCATCATTGAACGGATTTGCGATGATGCTTGAGATGGACTCGAAGCTCGTAATGTTGGTTGTGAGATCCACATTTTACTATGTTGATGATTTAATTGAAGATAATTTGGTGCTGTTGTCGTCGGAATCGGTTGAGTTGTAATTATGCTTGAATCGTTTATTCCGCCTACGGCAACAGTTGTTGATGTTTGTAAAATTGGTAAGGCTGAAATTTGTTGTTGTCCAATTTTTTGACAAGATTGTTGCCGATAGCCACTAATTGATTGATACATTGCACTATTATTTGTAGTCAATGACGATGTTGTAGTCGTTATTGTAGTCGATGATGATGGCGATGAATCGATCATTTGGCCATTGTAATTATGTATCGATTGCAATGATGAATTGCTTGATGATGGAGTCGATTTTAATTGACTATTGTTTGTCCCAGTTGTCACAGTCATTGAATTCGTCTTCGAGGATGCTGATGCATAAATCGGCCTACTTGTTGGCACTTGATAACCTATTTAAATTATAGTTATTTAGTCAAACAAAAAATTTGATCAACAGAGTCAAACAAAATGAACAAACCATTATTGTTTATTGTCATTTGTGATGATGCTCGCGTCATATTATTGCAATAATCAGTTGTCAATGCTAAATGATTGGCCTTTGTTGATCGACCTGCAATTGTTGATAGAGAAAATAGACTTTAACTCTATTAAACATGATTTTTACTAACCTGAATTTGCAGGATTATGATGCTGATTAAGATGATGGTTAAAAAGATTCGAAGTGGAATTGGCATGAAAATGATGTTGTTGTTGTTGTTGTTGTTGTTGAATCTGTGGACTTTGTTTGGTATTATTGACATTCATAGCCGATTGTTGACCAATGAATGCAAGATTAGGTATCGATGTACTAAAAGATGATGCCAATATATTTGATGAAGATGAATTCGGTTGATGACTAATACCGGCTCCAGTAGCCGTTGTAGATGATGTTGAATGAACATTATTAGTACGTCTATTAATTGCCGATAATTTAGAATTAGTTGTTGTTGATAAACTTGATGATGTCCAAATATTTATAACTAAAAATTGAAACAAATCGATTAAAGTAAAGTTAAAAATTATTATTATTACAGAATATTACAAGACTTACTTGGCAGATTAGGTGGTGATTCGGTTTTAGTATATTTACCAACAACACCATCACGTACAATATTTGAAAAATTTGATGAATGATGATCTCTTTTTTTAGGCATCACGGCCAATGTAATGGGTAGAACCATTTGGAAATCAATAACTGTATCGTATCAATAATGAATGATAATCAATCAATTTATTGACTATCGTGGAATTCGATAACACATTCGAACAGCAATAACTTGATGAATCAAAGGTGTTTGAGACCTTTTTTTTTGTTTTAAATCAATCGTGTGTGATGTTTTAAATGAAAAAGATGGATACAATATACACACACACAAACAACCACAAACAGACAATGATGGAAAAAAGAGCAATTGAAAATAATGTTTTTGGTTGGTTCGTTGATCACATCATCCTCAATAAATAAATAAATAATAATAATAATAATGTAGTCGTCCGTCAAAGTTGATAATGCCAAAAAAATAAAAAATAAAATTTAAGGCTGTTGTAAAGCTTCAACAAAAATGAAAATGAAAATCGTTATTAATTGTAAAAATGTTGAGATGATATTCCCGTACATGATGTTTGGCTTTGGCTTGTGTGTGTATGTGGATTGTCATCTAATGATGTTTGGCATCCAAGTGACATTAAACTGAAGTTAGAAAAAGAAAAGAGAACAAAACAAAAAAATTGATGCGTCAAAATGATGAAATTGAAAGAAAAAAACTTGAAATTAATAAATAATAACACAGTTTGCTTGTTTGAAATGGAATATTTGATGGAAAGAATTGGAAATGTTTCTTGATCAAAAAAAAAATGATGAATGTCAGCTAATCGTAAAACCAAAATCTCCAAATAATAATGGCAACAAAACAAAAAACACACAGGTTTTACACATTTTTTATTGTTTGTAACCAAATTTTTGTTTCATTCTCTCTCTCTCCACTAACCAACAACAACAAAATGTATATCATTGACGACAATCTCTCTTTTTTTTCTTGCCGGCTATAAGACACATTCCAGGCATTCCAAATTGATGAATATCTTTGATAATCAAATGTTCTTTTTTTTTCTTTTTTTTTTTTGGTTGAAAAATCAACTAACCTCGAGTCCAAATAAATCCGGATGCATCCTATGAAACAATAGAAATGAAATTTTCAATCAAAAAAAAAATGATGAGGTTAATTTCAAAAAAAAGATGCCGGATATGATTTGTGATTTTTTGATAACAGAAAAAAGTAAGATAGAAAAATTGATTTACATAATGCCTGAGCAGGTACAACAACAACAATGTGATTTGGAAAATTTTGGAGAAAAACTGAATTAAACATGATGAAAGATCATGGTAACTAGAAAAAAAAGACAAAGAATCTTTTTTTTCCTATCGTCTTGTTCAGAATAAAAACAAAAACCTTGAGAATTTGACAATGAATGTTTCTTATTAATCCAATGTCGTTGTTGTTATTTTTCGGGAGATATTTTCCAGGAATTAGACAAAGAGATACGTCGAAGAAGAACACTGAATTTAGACAACAAAAAACATTGGCAACATTGTGACAGAAAAAAAAGACCGAATGAACGAATGAAAACAAGACATTGATGGTTGATTATTATGTAAACTGCTGTTGTCGTCGTCGATCTTTAATTTTACACAAACAGAAACAGAAAAACAAACAAACAAACAAATCGGACTGTTGTTATGATGATGATGATGATGATGATAATAATTTAATGATTCAGTCGATAGGAATCAAAGATATGGAATGTGTATGCATCATTCACAAAGGATTCTTCATTTTTTTTCATTTAAGAAAAAAACTACTAATGAAATAGCGTCATCATCATCACAGACATTACAGATTCTGGTTCAAGACAAAAAAGAAGGATAGCGTTGGCTTATGTTTGAAACATAATTTCATGGTAAATGATCAACAACAACAACAACATTAGTGGTAGCAGTTATTAACCATCAATAATATGATGGTGGGTGGATTACCGCTGTTGATTTTATTCGCACACACACACAAAGACATTATGAAGAATTCTATAGATGAAGATTTCTATAGCAATCACAGAAATCAAAAAACCAAAACACAACGAATCGAGAAAAAAAACAAACTTAAATTCTTTGAAAAATCACACACAAAACATCAAACAAAAGACAAACGAATGTAAAGAATTTTTTCATTTCGAACAAAATTCTTTGAAAAGATGAATGAATGTTCCATAATCAAAGAATTTTGTTTTTTTTTAGAAGCAATAAAAGAAACTTACATAAAAATATTCTTCAAATTAAACAATATGGATTCGATTTAATCGATAATATTGAATGTGACAAAAACAAAAACAAATCATTTTCTTTGGAAAAAAATTGAAGCATCTACCAAAAAAAAAAAAAAAAACTGGACAACATAAATACCATCAAATCATTATTATTGATTGAGTAAAATAAAAAAAAAATAAAAAACACTAGGTTCATTTTCAAGAAGTTCTTCAACATATGCCTCTTTCTCTCTCTCTCTCTCTCTCTCTCTTTCATAAATGAATAATATTCGTGGCTCGTGGACTTTCTCTCAATTTTTTCATTCATTCGGAAAACAAGAAGTGAGAGAGAGAGAGAGAGAGAGAGAGATTCAATACAACAAGCTATCTTCATCAATTGGCGGTTTAGTCGTGTGTTGTGTGTGTTTGGTGTTTTTTTTTGTATATAAAGTGAGTATAGAGTCTGCAGAGTTGTTTGATCGGTCGTCGTCGTCGTTATTTTTTTACGAAGACGTTCAAAGAAGAAAACAAAAATGTGTCCTTAAAAAACAATTCAATATGCAACAGGTATACAAGGGACTATCAAAAAGATTATATATTTCAAATATATTCAACATGTCCATATATTTATTACCGTCGTCGTCGTCGTTAAGAATTGAAAATATTCAGTAAAAATATACTGTGAATGAATGTGGGAAGAAACTAATTGAAAGCAAAGTAAAGTAAAGTAAAAAAAAAATAAGAACAAGCTGGATTTTTTTGTATACTGTATTGTGGGTATATAAACTTTAACTAAACGTTGAAATTGTTGTTGTTATTGAGGTTCTGACTCCAAAAAAAAAAAAAAAAAAAATTTTTTTGCCGAGCAGATATTACAACATTCCAAACATTCCTTTGTTAATAAACACACANCGTCGTCGTCGTCGTTAAGAATTGAAAATATTCAGTAAAAATATACTGTGAATGAATGTGGGAAGAAACTAATTGAAAGCAAAGTAAAGTAAAGTAAAAAAAAAATAAGAACAAGCTGGATTTTTTTCGTATACTGTATGTGGGTATATAAACTTTAACTAAACGTTGTTTTTATTGAGGTTCTCAATATGATGACCCCAAAAAAAAAAAAAAAATATTTTTGCCGAGCAGATATTACAACATTCCAAACATTCCTATGTTCATATACACACACACACACACACAGACATTTACAGGAAAAAAAAAAATAAATGATTGTTGCTTTGGCAATCGACATGGCATTGTTGTTGTTGTTGTTGTTGTTTTAGTTTTAGTTGTTGATGATAACAACGTAAAAAAAATAATCTGAAAATTTATCGAATCGAATTTAACATCGAATAATCATCATCATCAGGATAATCAGATTGATCTGATATTACACAATTGATAATTTTACAAAGAGAGCAAAAAAAAAATGATGATAATGATAATACCTTTACTGTGAATACAAATGTAAAACTAAAAAAAAAACATTCGAAGGAATTTTTTTTTTTTTTTGTTTTTTGTTTTGGTTGAAATCAATGAAAGATATTTAAAGAATTCATTGATTGATTGCGTGAACCCAGATTTTTTTTTTTGACAAATTAAATGATTGTTCCATGATTTACTATTATCATCATTTGGGGGGGGGAGTTAGGTAAAAAAAAACTAGGGAAAATCATTATCTTGTTTTTTTTAAATTTAATTCCGTATCCGTGTTCTTTTTTTTTCTCCCACATCAATCAATCAATCAATCAAGTGTTAATTATGATGACTCAATGTTGTTTGTTTTTTTCTACTTTGAAAAAAAAATTGAATTAACCACCATCATGATGATCATTGAAAAAGAAAGAGAATTATTCATTCATTAAAAAAGAAATTTTGTTTATTTCAAACATTTTTTTTTTGTTTTTTGGAAAAAGTTATGCAGAAAATTTGTTCAATGATTTGTTGTTGATGTTTGTCACATTCCTTTGAGAATAAAGTCAAGAACACACACACACACTACGGAATTTGTAGAAATTCCAATCATACCAATTGCGTAGGAAGATTTTGTTTGTTTGTTTTTCATTTGACAAAAACGAAAGAATTTTTGATTATGGCCAACCTAATTTATCAACATAGTAAACATGATCATCATCACATAGACCTGTTCGTCCTGTATGTTGATCTGTATCAATAAATTTCGAACAATCAATAAAATCTAATTGATCATCAAAACAGAATCGAATTTCATTTAAAATTTTTCGACCATGAGTAACGGTTGTATTATTACTATGTGCACATCGTAATTCATATACCAAAGAACTATGATCCATTTGATTTAGATGAGAATTAAGTGTTTTACGAATTTTACTTGTTAAAATTGAATGATCATTTGATGGTTTTAGATTATTATCATCAAGCCATTTACGAATACGTAATCGATGAAATAAATCTAATGCTAATGCAAAATATTCGCCAACATCAATTTGATCATATTGTCTGATACGTGAAATAGGTTGATCGATTGCTGTTGGATCATGTGAACAGGCACCATATCGATGCCATTGTTGTTGCCAATATTTATAATGATTTGTATATGATTCAGATGGCCAATATCGTTCCAATGATTTTATCATCGATGACAATGTTTTTTTATTGAATCTAATTACAAACCCAAAAATGATGAATTATTTTTTCCAAAAAAACAAAAACAAACTTACTGTTGTTTATGACAACAAAATTGAAGCGGATGTTGATGATCAAATCGAATAGTCGAATGTGTTATAATAGGTGTTGGCCAAAAACCTTGAATAACCCAATCTGCTGGACCATCACATTCATCATGTGGCATCGCAACACACCAACCAGGCGGATAACGTAGTACAAGACGATAACCTTGTCGTTGTTGATTCAATTGACGACATGGTTGTTCGCTTAGGCCATAACAATTGGAAAAAATTGTTATTACGAAAAATATTGTCAAAAATCGAAACATTTTTTAAAAACTAAAATTTTTTTTTTATTTAATTCTCAATTCCAATCACAACAAATATTGCAATAATGAATGATTGAATTGAAAATGAACAATTGGCAAAATAAACAAACAAGCAAAAACAAAATAACAACATTGACTACAAAAGAAGATAAAATTTGTTTCCGGGAAATGATAACAATTTTGTTCATTTTGTTTGTATCATTAATAATTTCATGGATTCATTTTGCAAAATAAAAATAAAATATAAAAATTTATCTAAATTCAAAAAACTTTCACTACAAACTATGATAATTGCACGAAATTAAATAGCTTTGACAAATATAAACCCATTTTGTTCCAAAAAAAAAAAAAAATAATAAAAATGATGATAAGAAAATATGAATATAATAAAATAATCAAGAATTATAAATGAAAAACATGGATAAAAATT